CGTGCTAAGCAAGATTTCTTTTATGGAAAAATACAGAATATCCACAAGGACAAGTGCTAATTAGATAGCAATAGCACTTAGACTTATCTGCTGCTTTATAGTGTTCTACATCACTCTCTAAGTGGTTTACAGAGTCAGCATATCGCCCTCGACAGTCAGGTCCTCATTTTACCAACCTCAGAAGGATAGAAGTCTGAGTCAATCTTGAGCCTAATGAGGATCAAACTCCTGGCAGTGAGCTGAATTAGCCTGCAATACTGCATTCTAACCACTGTGCCACCACGGCTCCTAGATCGCCTTAGGGTTTTGTTTTTTTAAATAAATTTTTATTATTTTCCACCAATACAAATCTTAATACTTTTTCAACAACGTTGACATCCACATATAATATTGTCTTATACTTTAACATCTATTCGTACCTATCTTAGTATATATTATCTTTGTTTATCATTAATCATCGATACATATATTATAGTTATTATTATACATCCTTAATATTGTCTTATTCTTTTAACATCTATTCATACCTATCTTTAATACATATATTACACTTATTATTATACATCTTTGATCTTTCTGTCTATCCTATTATATCTTGTATATCACTTTCTTGAGAATTCTTATTTAGTCATCTTTTCTAATTCTTATCACTCTTTTTCTATCCACATGTACTATCTATGCCAAATCGAGTAGTATTCTGATTCTTCTTTCTCTTTCATTCTAAGTGTGAGCATGTCCTCAGCACAGTCTGCTATTTTTTGTATGATTAACTCTTCAGTTGGAATCCTCTGCTCTTTCCACATTTGCGTGTAAGCTATTCTGGCCGCTGTCAATATGTGTAAAATTAAATATTTAATCTTTTTTTGATATTGTTTTTGTATAATCCCAAGTAAATAGATTTCCGGTTTGAATTCAATTTGGCATCCAATAATTTCTTGTGTCCACTTCCTAATTTTATTCCAATAGGTCCTGGCCTGAGGACATAGCCACAACATTTGATAGTAGGTACCATCAACTCGTTGGCATTTCCAACATTTTGGATTGGCATTCGATATATCTTGGCTAGTCTTGTCGGGGCTAAGTGCCACCGATAGAATATTTTATATAAATTTTCCTTGTATGTTGCGGCCATTGTTAATTTATAATTTGTACTCCATAGTTTTTCCCACTCATCTAAGTTTATATTGTAACCGAAATTCCGTGCCCATACTATCATTGTATTTTTTTACTTTTTCTTCTTCCATTCTAAAATCTAGCAGGTATTTATAAGCTTTAGATATAAATTTTTGCTCTGGTCCAATTAATATCTTATTCAATTGATTCTGTCCCATATCAAACTCAAATTCTTCTGAATCTGTTTTGTATCTATTTTGAATTTGGAGATATGGCCACCAATCAATTGTAATTCCTTGTTCTTTTAATTCTTGATTTGATTTTAATCTTCCTTGGGTATCTAATAGATCCTTGTATTTTATCATTTTGCCTAAATCTAGTCTGTTAGGATGTATCATGGCTTCCATGGTTGACAGCCAGCGCGGTATTCTTGTGCAGTGTTTCTTTCTGATTTTTCTCCATGTTTGTAGTAAGGAATCTCTTATTTGATGTCTATTAAAATAAGCTTATGTTTTACCCTTTTTCTCCCATAAATATATGTGCCAACCTTCATGGAGGAAGATCTACTTAGTTTTTTTAAGAGATGTCACTGGGTTGTTAAAATGGCACTGATATGGGTTGGCCCAAAATTTGAGATCCAACATAGTGGTTAAAGTGTTAAATTTGGAATGGGGAAAATCCAGCTTCTACTCCATCCCCATGGACATTCAGGTCATAACTATTCATTTTATCTCAAGCCAACCTAACTCATAGGTGGTTGTTGTTATTGGAAAATAAGTACATGTCAAATAAAAATACTAAATATTCTCATCTATTCCTTCCTCTTTTTGATATTTGGTTATTTATCTGGCTTCAACATACTTGGTTATTTTTTTGGCTTCAACATACTCTCCCACCTTGTTTTTATTCTCCAATCCTATTTAGGGTTTTGCTTAAATGTGTAACTGCTTGAAACTGAAAGGTGTTGGGACTATGCACGCTGTCTCCAACCTCAGTGTCTTCTCGTATCATTCATTCTCTGGAGTATAAAGTTCTACTCACATTCAGCAAAAAGTTATCACAATTTTCTGTCTCATCATAAATCTGGCTTTCTTAGAGTCCATGACCATGAAGACAAGTAGCACTTGCAAGGCAACTATCTTAACTTTTATTATTCTTCATTTCTAATTGGTTGTCAGAACTCCTGTGTGAAGTAATTGGTTTTTATTACATCAGCTTTTCTCCAGCTTGCTTCTTTCTCTGGGCCTGTTGTGCTACATTTCCTACAATTTTCAGAATGTTGAGTTTTTAGCCAAATTATTTGTTGATCTACCTGGGAAGTTAAGAGTCAAGTTGGGTCTCCTTCAAACCTAGCTGGTCCACATGATTTATATGAACCTATGTCTGCAATTTTCTTGGTATGATAATGAAATGGTTTACCAGTGTCTTCTAGATTTTTTTAACTGGCAATCTGGCTCACAGACTTGGAAGGTCTCCCATTTTGGGTGTTTCAATCCACAAATTAGTTTCCTAGACCAATTGAGGTTTATCAGATACTGCTGTCTGTTGAGGCAGATTATAAAATATGGGAGGGCTATAGAATATGGAAAGTGAAACCAGAAAGATTTTCTCTTTAAGGGATAGAATATCTTTGCTAATATGATACTGGCTTTCAGTAATTGGAATTGAATAAATACTGAGATTTATGTTCTGTTTCTCTCCAGTGACAAGCAAATGGAAATTCTTGTGTGTCTTTTGGCTAATAGGTGAGTTAGCTTTATCTTTTGAAACTTTCTCTTGCAAATGACACGTTGTCTAGAAAAAAAGAATGGTACAATTTCATGTAGTGTGTTTTTATGTTTCATATGCAACTTCTTGTAAACTATTTTGAAGTGTTCAGTAAGACAGTGTAAAACATGGTTAATACATAAATAAGAAAATAAATGTTTCCAGGTACATCTGAGTTTGTGATGTTAACTCTTGTTTCCATTGTCAGTCATTTGTGTCTCTGTCAGGCTTCTACTTTAGCTATGCTTGCTTAACAGATACTAGCTATGCAAATCCTTTTCAAAAAAAATTCCACAAGGATGTGCATACATACATATGAAGAGTCAGCCTGAAGCAGACTTTGAGGCAGCTGTGTAAGACTGAAAAAAGATGCAGTACTTTAATGCTTTGAAGAGATGCTTTATACATGCACTCCTTTGTGTTGTGAAACACTTTTGTTGAAGGATTGGCACACCTTTGCCAGTTATTGATCAAGCTGAAAGCTAGCCAAAGTTAAGAGATTATTAACTTGATTACTAGAGTTAAACCATAAGTACTTTTAAAACCCAGATAAAATAAAATATTGGTAAAAGTATGAAATCAGAGTCAGCAATTATTGAAATGTCATGTTCCAGGAAGGGATGCATTTCTGCATATTGTTAGGGTGCTGAGTGTTGCAATCATAAGTAGATTTGCTTGAAGTAAGTGAGCTTGAATTCAAACACTCTTATTTCTAAATATATATGTAAATACTTGCACTATAAGATCCTGCTAAAAGAGCTGTAGCTCATTGAAAGGTTATTGATGCCCTTAACGGGCATTTCCAGTTAGATGTTTCTGGTAGCAGTTGGAAAAGTCTTTGTCTAAAATCCAGATTTGGGGAAATTCTGAACTGGCAATGTCACTTGTTTTTTTTTTAATCTTTTCAGGGTTAAAGAAACACTCCAAAAACTGCAAAGTGGGTGAGATTGAAATGCATAAAATATTAAATTTTTGAATCTGCTTAACCTTTGAAACCTATGCAGGTCAGGTGGACAGATTTTATCAGAAAAAAAGTTACCTAGACTCTGAACCATTCAATACTATAAAAGTAGTGCCTTGAGTTGCACTTGAAAATATATAGCTAATCAGTGCAGTACTGATTAACTATATGGGTCATTTCAATTTAGACCAACTAAGTTTTTGGTTGGTCTTTAGGACAGTCCTATGGAGAATGAGTTTATTAAACTGATATGCAACCTGACTCCCAGAAACTCTCGGTAGTTTAACATTTTTAAAAAAATATTTAAAAATAGATAAAAAATATAAGAAACTGCAAGAAAAAATGGGAAAAAGGAAAAGGATTCACAGAGGGCTGAGTGAAAAGCTATGTCTTCAAGGCCTTTCTAAATACCAGAAGAATCAAGGCCACTTGAATCTAAGGGGAATCTTATTACAGAAGACTGAGGCTGCAACAGAGAAAGCCCACTTCCAATGTCCTGAAAGTTGCGTTATTTAATCAGTAGATCCTACTGATTAAATAATGCAATGCCAGCTCTACCAGAGTGGATCAGACACAATGGGAGACAGGTGGTTCCTCAAGCATCCTGACCCTTTGCCATGAAGGGCTTTACAAGTAGTGACCAGCATGCCCAACACTGCCTGTGCTGCTGCATTCTGAACTACTGGTAGTTGAAGATACTGGGTGGTTTTTGAGGGCAGTGCCATGTAGAATGCAAGTCTAACATTCCTTTTCTTTAGGTTTTCTTAAAATATTCCTGGAAAATATTTACTTGTCAGAGGTTATTGTCTCCCTCATTATCTGTAATACAACACAAGATGAACAGCATGTAAATTTGATCAATAAATACACAATAAAGAAAAATAACTTTAAAAAATTACCTGAATGACCTAAGATGTATCTTGTTTCATTAACCATGCAATAGCTATTCTAACGTATTTTAAACAGGCTGGCTCCTGAGCCATTACAACAGTCTTTTCCAGATGGACTGGACAAGTCTGAGAATACCACAGAAAATGGTAAGGTGGAAAAGTGAACTCTTCTACTGAAAATATAGAAAATAATGGTTTGCTTTATTTTAATTCATTTGGCATTCATTTTGTAAATGTAATATTTTGTCTCCCAATCCCACTACAAAACAACATGGTGTTTTTTTTTTGCTGTTTTTTGATTTGAGGAACAAAATTCATCAGTGGGATGAATCTCCCCACTGATGAATTTCTGGCAGATATTCTTGGCTGGTGCAGATTACAGCATCACACTTTGAATCAATATTTCTCAAACTTGACAACTTTAAGGTGTATGAATTTCAATTCCCAGAATTCCCTAAGAAGCCAAGAGTGGATGAATTCATATGCAAATCCAACCCAGTTTAATAGTCATACTTCTATTTACATAATTGCATATTTTCAAAAAGAATTACCAGTATTTTAATCAAACTAATATTTTTTCGGTGGTCACAGCAGTAGTTTTATCATATTTCTCTCTGCCATGTTATTCATTTATCCGTTCATTGAGAAATTTTTAAAGTGCAAACTTTTGGGCAAATCCCAGGTCCTTTTTCAGTCTGCTTTTTTTAAAATCTATTACTGTTCTTTTTAGAGGTAAAGAGGAATAAATGGGCAGAAGAGGTAGACAATTTGGCACTTTGTCTTCTGAAGATCATAGCAATAGCTCAGGATATGCAGGTGTTTGCATGGAGATTTCTGGAGCTGCACATCCTTAAGATTGTGTCCACTTGCACTATCTGGATCACACTTCAAGAGGTTAGTAAATAACTATCTCATCTGGGAAATAGTTCAAAGGAAAAACCAGGAAGTAAGGTAATTCAGTCAAGAAAGCAGAACAAAATAAATCTGGATATAAATTTTGAAGAAAAGAACACTCCTTTTCTTCATGAAGTTGATTTGTTAATATTTAATGTAGATTTGCATTAATAAATTAATAACTTAGAATGTTATTTAGGTATGTTATGGGTTCTTCAAGTTACAAAGGCTCTAAAATTTAGTTGTGATTATAGATATAGTGTGTTTCTTCATCAACATCTTGATCTGTATATTATATATTGTACCTAGCTACAGATGCATGAAAAATCAAACTGCTATTACTATGGTTAAGTTTGAGGGTAAATTTTCCAACCTGGATTAGATCATCTGCTTCACTTGATCAAGACTGAAAATGAATTGTTTGCAAATATGTTGCTTTTTACTTTCTTTGCTTGTCTCCAATTTTCTGTAGGTGTGTTTGATGAATTACGTTTTCTTTCTTGTGTGGACATTTGCTATTCCTTATTCCAAATTTCGTCTGTATGCCTCAAGAATCTGTACATTTTGGTCTTGTGTGATGGTCATCTGTAAAATGTTATATCAGCTAAAATTTATCAAGCCCTGGAATTATTCCTCAAACTGCACTCAGGTCAGTGTGCTAATAGATCCAAATTCCTCAAGCATTTTTTTATACTTCCTTGAAGGTATTCCAGCTCCCTTAATCATATACAGAATGTTTTGCACATTTCTGATGATTAACTTAACTTTCTACAATTTGGTATCTTCAAGATATATTGGAATTGCAATCCCAAAATTTCCAACCGGTATGACTTATGATTAGTATGGAGTAGAAGTGGGGAGGTTTGAAGAAAATAAAGAAATGAAGCCCCCTTCTTTTTTCCTGTTCTTTTTCTTTAAAAATGAAAACAAGAAGTACAATTGTATACTGTAGAGTCATTTGGCCAATGAGCTACCATATAAATTAAATATGAAGTAATAGAATTTTGAAAACAGAAGTGTTTGGCTAATAGATGCCATGTAAACTGAATGAATGAAGAATGAATGAATGAGTGAATAAAATGTCCATCTCTTCAGGATCTGCATTTGAATATAACTTACCGTTCTATCAATGTTGATGAGTTTTTGGAGAAATCATCTTTGTACGTAGCACCAATTGACCCAGCACTTTGGATTGGAGGGCTGATGAAGTGCAGTGACAATATTTTTCTTTCTCTAAAGGTAGGACTCTATTTAGCCACTAATATTATGGTAAGCAAGAGAATATTACAAAATGTATCTTTTTGCTTTTAAGACAGTGATTTTGAGATTAGTTCTTCTAATGAGAAAACTGATGTTTGCCTAATAATATCAGTTAACTTTGTAATATCATTTTAAAATTAGGAACAAGACTGATTCAAGACATTTTGCTATTTAAAACAGATGGTCTGTTAGATGTTCAGAAGCAGACCTAAATCATACTTTTGCACTAGTACTTGATTTCCATTCATCTACTATTAAGGAGGATCATAAGAAAGATAGTTCTGTCTTCCACCAAAGAGAATGATTCGTGAATAATGACCATCATAAACAAGTATATAGTTGTCTCAGTAGGGTGAGCTATTGAAGAGGAAAAACATAGATGCTTTAGGTAGGTAGGGTACTTGGGGAACTGAACATTCTTATGAAGGATGTATTTTCCTATATTTCTTAGAACCATCTTACCATTCTGATTCTAATGGCTTTAGAAGCAACTGTGTATCGCCACCAATATTTTTACTGGACTCAGAATCAAATATTACCACCTGTCACAGGTAGCCTTTTTAATAATATTGGCCGGGAGAACTTGGACGAAGGGCTACTCAACTGCATCAAATACTGTCTCAACTATAGTTTTTACAAATTTGGACTGGAGGTGAGAAAATGTTGGTAAGAAAGGAGCATAACTTCTTGGTATTGGGGAATGAGACAGGCAGCTTAGAAGACAAAAGATGTTTGGTTTCAAGTAGGAAATAATCTGACGTGGCGCTAGAGAGCCAAGTGCTGTGGCAAGGTGATGCTTTCTGACACCTGGTTCACATTATGGACTATGTCAGTTTATAGTTTTGGGAATTCAGAGAGAAATCCATCTGTCTTCCCTACAAACATGTAGATAAGACTCCGTACTCCTGTCCAATGTTTTCAAATGTTTTGAGACTGATATCCACAATTCTTTAGCCATATTACACACAAAAAATCTCTTCTAGGCATGTTAATTGGGGACTCTGGAAGTTATAATCATAACAGACCTCAAAGTTACTGGATTAGGAAATACTGAATTCATCTATGTTGGATTGTACAGATGGTGAATTGCTGTCACTGGTGTATCAAAATTGCCCTTTCCCCTACTTGTATATAATTCATTTAATGAAGTACTGTGAGTTTGTCTGTCTATAGAAGGTAAAACACAAAAATGCCCATAGTGAACCATTGGTTTGCTTAACAGCCATCACAAGAAACATTGTGATGTACCAGTTATATAATCATCACAACATATGACCACAATGGGCAGGCTCTTTATAGTTATATGTTGAGTACTACCTGTATGCAGATTCAGTTCTTGCACTCAGTGTTAAGTCCCTTCAGCCTGGAGCCATTGTAATGCTAGCTCAGCTGCCTCTTTTCCTTTTTTCAGATATGCTTTGTGGCGGCAGTTAATGTGATTGGGCAACGCATGGACCTCTATGCACTTATCCATGCAAGTTGGCTGACTTACCTGTTGAGCTACCGTCAGAGGAAAGCAATAGCCCAAGTCTGGCCAAAATACTGTTTCTTCCTTGCCAGCATTGTGGCCTTTCAGTATTTGCTTTGTATTGGTCTCCCACCTGCTTTGTGCCAAGGTGAATGCAGCACTGTGTGGGGAAGCAGAGATATGTCATGCGGAGGGTAATAGCCATAATTGAGCAGAGGGCTGGCTTTGCCACTGATGTTCAGCAGCTCCCTTTGCATCAAACTTATATGGACAGCAAATTTGTAAATTACTTTATGAAGTTTTGTATAATGAGGTTGATCTCTTTGCTGGCAGATTATCCATGGAGAAGTTCCCATTGGTTGTTCCCTTCAAATCTGATTAAGTGGCTTTATCTGCCTGATTTTGCTGAAAGACCCAATACTAATTTTCTCCTGTGTAAGTATAATTTGGAAAGGGTAATATCTGCTTAATGAGGAAATGTAACTTATTTTTAGAGCATGGCCCTTTCTGTAATTGATAGCAAGATGACATTTTTATATGACTACTTATCACAGATGCTAAAAAGTGCCTTCTTGGAGAAACATGTTATGGTAAGAAGGTAGAGTTGAAATCTTCCAGATTTATTTACACACACACACACACACACACACACACACACACACACACACACACGCATATATATATATATATATACACACACACACATATATATCTTTCCTTCTTTATGGCAGATGATTTCCTTCTTCTGCTTTTTGCTTCCTTCCAATGGCAAGTTTTTGAAGATGAGGATCAGCTTGTAGTCAGGCTGCAAGCTGGAGATAACTCAGAGATTAATCAAGATTTGGGCCCAGCAGGTCTCAGTGAATTCAGTTGGGTACCAAACTTTATCCATTGCAGGTAAGAAATAAAGGAAAACATGTTTATGTTTGGGGTTTCTCCAGGAACAGACCAACTTTACAATATACTGTCCTCTAGATATGTAGGATTAAAGCCCTCATAATTCCTGGCTGGTACAACTATTGGAATTTGGGACTGCTTCTTAATATAATGTGGATTTTTTCAGGTATTGAGAGCAGTGCCAGCTCAAGGTATATGGTGCCAATGTTAACTGGTGGTGCCACCACCTGCTAATGCACAGGTTTTCATTTTTAGAATAATTTGGAAGAAGTGGCAGCATTGGTGGCTCCTACATTTTGGGACCTTATGTCAACCCTAACCCTAACTCTAATCCCAAAAGGCCATAGTTATAAACAAACTTACTTTATACAGTGAGTGATTTGAATCAGCACATTCTGTAGAACCTATAGCCAATTCTGTCTTTGATTTCCTTGTTACTACACAATCTAGTTTCTATTAATTGTCAGCACTGGATACATCTTGGTTCAGATTTAGGGCTGCCACAGTGGGGGATGGGCACGCTGCGGGAATGGGAGAGTAGTGAAAAGGGAGGATAGCCACAACAACATTCTTTCACCATAGCTCAAGGTCAAGTCACTGGGATTTAGAGGGGAGTGACTGGACTTGGTGACAGTTCAGAATTGAGGTGGATTGGAGAGTGTGACTTGAGAGTCATCAATAGGGCAGGGTGTGAGTTTTAGTGCAGAGGGCAGAAAATGTGGGAATTCAGATTCAGGTTTCCCTCAGATGTGCCAATATGACTTCTCAATACATTCTTACTTGGATGGACTTTGTCTCTGAGTGCTGAATTTGGGATGGAGAGTTTAGCTGGAACGCTGACATTAATTCTATTCTCATGATTTTCTTCTGAACAGATCTTATTTGGATCTGATGAAAGTGCTTATATTCAAGTACCTCTTCTGGATTGTCCTTTGCCTAATTTTTGTGACTGCGACAGCCAGGATCAATATTTTCTCTGTGGGCTACTTTGTTGCCTGCTTTTACTTTATGCACTTTGGACAAAGCCTTCAGCTGAAGCCCCTCAGAGACATTCTTAGACCATGGGACTACTTGATTGCCTACACTACTTTGGTTATAACAGTAAAGAATCTTCTTGCTGTACGTAGTGGGTTAATGTTTGTGATCAACTGGGTGAGGCTGGGTAAAGGTATTTCTTTATTGTAAACTGCCTCAGAAAAACAGCTATTCTACATTTATTTCTAACACTCTTTAATTGGATGGAAAAAGATTTGTTTATTTGTTTTGAAATGGTGTTTCAAAAGATAGAAGAGTTTCTCATGTTTTTGCTCTTTTTAGATACGAAGTAGATATGGAGGTCCTGTTTTTTGGCATACAAATTGATTTTCAGAGATCTGCAATCTTCATAGCTTCTTATATTTAAATCTTAAAGGAATTTGATTTGATCCCAAGGACATTTTCTTAAGTAATTTATCCCACTGGGCATTTTTGAAATTGAGAAATTAGGATGGCTAAAGAAGCTTGAGAATGGTGGAAAGCTATGCAGCAGAAAACAACAGAGAGCAATTCCAAAATTAACTAGGCTTCAAAGTACCAAGAAGAGAAATTTAAAGGAAATTCTCAAGTATTCTAAGAAGAAGGTAGAAAAAGAGAAATGTAAGCCTCTTTTTTAAGGGGTAATGAGAGAAATGTCAATATTTTGGCATAATCTTTAGAAATATAGTTTGGAACCACTGTTGATGCAGGAGCAATTTAAGTGCAGTACATTGTAATTCTCATTGGGAAATAAGACATGTTAGACACTGCTCATAATTCTTAAAGGGATGCAGTACAATTGGTTGCAGAGGTTGGGATTATGCAGCTTCCAACATGCTTTTTCAAAATCTAAAAGAGAAATACATGATAGGTGGTTATTTCTGATAACTGATAAAAGATTTGGAGTCCTAATCCCTGCTAAATTGTTCTTTTTCCTCCCTTTTTTTTCTACAGGTTGGATCATGTGCATACCTTAATAAATTACAAATAAACTATTGTTGGCTAATTCAGACCTTTGCTATGTATTGCACAATACCAGGATATGAAGTAGGTAAGTGGGAAGCAATTCAATAGAAAGTGTCTTTTATTTATTTATTTTATTTATTTATTTGATTTGTCAATAAGTCTTTATATTATAAGTCTTTATATTATAACGCACCCCAAATATTCCTAAAAGAAAATTATTTATCCACTTTACTTCCTGAGTTTGTGTGTGCTAAGTTGTAAGACTAGGAGTTGAGAGATTCAAGTTCTAGTCCTCCCTTGGGCACAAAAGCCAAATGAGTGATTCTGGGGCATTTCCCTCAGCCTGGGGCTAGAAAGTCAAAATAATCTATCTATTGATCTGCACTGGACCTGGATGGTAGATTATGGTCTTTCAATGTACCGTATTTGCCGGCGTATAAGACGACCCGGCGTATAAGACGACCCCCCACCACCACCGGAAACGCCCTCCAGAAATCCCCGGGGCTGCAGCGGCAGGGCAGAGTGCCAGGGGCCGTGGGAAGAGCAGTAAGGCTGCAGCCTCGGGCGGAGCGAGGCGAGCGGGATGAAGCGGAAGCGACGCAGGGGATCCAGGAAGCCAGAGGCGCCTTCGCTGCGTCCAACAAGCCTCCGAAAGCCGGCAGTGGATATACCGGCGTATAAGACGACCCCCCCACTTGGAGGCATGTTTTTCGGGGCAAAAAAGTCGTCTTATACGCCGGCAAATACGGTAGTGGTGTTAATTCTACAATACATTGGAGAAACAAAGCATGGCACAACATAGGAGAAAAAACCCATCAGGAGAGAATTCAGCAGTCCATCTGCGTTCGAAAGACAAAGGCCATTCTTTTGAAGACACTCTTTTGAAGACAGTCCCACATTCTGAACAGAGAGGACTGCTGGTTTGAAGAGGGGTCAAAGAGGCCATCTACATTGAAATTGAACAGCCGTCTCTCAACAGAAGGGGAGGAATACAATACAACCTATCACATGTTTACAACACTGTCCTTTCAGCAGTTCCAAGAAGGTTCCACACCCATTTGCACTGTTCAGGTGACACAGATAAAACTCCAAGTGGCCTCAACAACTCTCAGAGAGAGTGTTGATAACGAGATGATTGCAAGAAATATAAATCCTTCTATTCTCCACATTCAGTCAGAACTAAAGAAGCTTCTTGGATGAGAAGTGAAACATCTTCAAGAAAAAACAACAAAAGCCCAGTAGCCTTTTGAAAAAGCACCTTTGAGTTCCCTTAGCATGAACACCTAATAGTATAATGATTATGACTCTTGCCATGAAAATAGAAATTTTAGTCTGAAACTGGCAGAAAGCTTTTTAATTATTATTTTTTCTTTCTCTAATCTTCCCACTTGCATGTATCGATGTCACCACAGGCATTCATGTATATATGGATAAGTACCACAAGTAACCAAAAAGAATATAAAATGTTGCATCTGGAGAAGAAGCTTAATAGTAGAATGTTTGATTTCCATGCAAAAAATCTTAGTCTCAATTGTTCCTCAGTCCTTGGAAAAATCTTAAAAAGCAGTGGCCAATCACAGTAGGTAATGTGAGGACAGCTAGATAAGAACTCTTATCCAGAATAAGACAGATAATTATTCTGAAAGTACAGGTGAAACTCGAAAAATTAGAATATCGTGCAAAAGTTCATTTATTTCAGTGATGCAACTTAAAAGGTGAACCTAATATATCAGATAGACTCATTACATGCAAAGCAAGATAGTTCACGCCCTGATGTGTCATAATTGAGATGATTATGGCTTACAGCTCATGAAAACCCCAAATCCACAATCTCAGAAAATTAGAATATTGTGAAAAGGTTCAATATTCTAGGCTCAAAGTGTCCCACTCTAATCAGCTAATGAAGCCATAACACCTGCAAAGGGTTCCTGAGCCTTTAAATGGTCTCTCAGTCTGGTTCAGTAGGAAGCACAATCATGGGAAAGACTGCTGACCTGACAGTTGTGCAGAAAACCATCATTGACACCCTCCATAAGGAGGGAAAGCCTCAAAAGGTAATTGCAAAAGAAGTTGGATGTTCCCAAAGTGCTGTATCAAAGCACATTAATAAAAAGTTATGTGGAAGGGAAAAGTGTGGAAGAAAAAGGTGCACAAGCAGCAGGGATGACCACAGCCTGGAGAGGATTGTCAGGTAAAGGCCATTCAAAAGTGTTGGGGACTTTCACAAGGAGTGGACTGAGGCTGGAGTCAGTGCATCAAGAGTCACCACACACAGACGGATCCTGGACATGGGCTTCAAATGTCATATTCCTCTTGTCAAGCCACTCCTGAACAACAAACAACATCAGAAGCATCTTACCTGGGCTAAAGAAAAACAGAACTGGTCTCTTGTGCAGTGGTCCAAAGTCCTCTTTTCTGATGAGAGCAACTTTTTCATCTCATTTGGAAACCAAGGACCCAGAGTCTGGAGGAAGAATGGAGAGGCACACACCGCAAGATGCTTGAAGTCCAGTGTGAAGTTTCCACAGTCTGTGTTGATTTGGGGAGCCATGACATCTGCTGGTGTTGGTCCACTGTGCTTCATTAAGTCCAGGGTCAACGCAGCCATCTACCAGGAGATTTTGGAGCACTTCATGCTTCCTTCCACAGACGAGCTTTATGGGGATGCTGACTTCATTTTCCAGCAGGACTTGGCACCTGCCCACACTGCCAAAAGCACCAAAACCTGGTTCAATGACCGTGGGATTACTGTGCTTGATTGGCCAGCAAACTCACCTGACCTGAACCCCATAGCGAATCTATGGGGCATTGCCAAGAGAAAGATGAGAGACATGAGACCGAACAATGCAGAAGAGCTGAAGGCCACGATTGAAGCATCCTGGTCTTCCATAACACCTCAGCAGTGCCCCAGGCTGATAGCTTCCATGCCATGCCGCATTGAGGCAATAATTGCTGCAAAAGGGGCCCAAACCAAGTACTGAGTACATATGCATGCTTATACTTTTCAGAGGTCCGATATTGTTCTATGTACAATCCTTGTTTTATTGATTGCATGTAATATTCTAATTTTCTGAGGTTGTGGATTTGGGGTTTTCATGAGCTGTAAGCCATAATCATCTCAATTATGACAAATCATGGCTTGAACTATCTTGCTTTGCATGTAATGAGTCTATCTCATATATTAGTTTCATCTTTTACATTGCATTACTGAAATAAATGAACTTTTGCACGATATTCTAATTTTTCGAGTTTCACCTGCAATTGCCTGTACTCATTCATCTGTTGTGCTCCTTCATGAGTTTCAGATTGATACAGATAGCTGGAAACTTCTCCACTGGTACATTAAATTATGAGAGCCTTCATACATAGTAATGTAGGTTTGCTATACAAGATTCGATTGAATTTTATAAATATGTTCTATAGATTCAGGAGATTTGTGTTGCCTAAGCAGAAAAGCAAGTTTTTAAACTCAGGTCAAAAAGGTTCTGTAGGATTAATAGAGACTATCAAGAATTCCCAAGACTTTAGACTAGATTGGGAATTGAAAACATATCCTGAAAGAAAACAATGGTAAATCTTTTCTGTATCATTACCAAGAAATTAGCAACTTTATGTTCACCAGTAATAAAGTTTAACTAAAAGGACACTTTCCCTTAAATCAAATGTATGGAAGGTGATAGCTTGGATTATTTCTATGCAAAAATATATTCTCTGTTGAGGGTTAGAGTTACTTTACAATAGGATATACTTTAAGTTTTGTGGAATTTTATCCATATAATGTGATAGAGAAGCCGTAATGAATTTATTTGTTTTGTTTTGTGGATAAATAAAAGTAAACATAGTTTGTGATTTGTTTTCTTTGGGAGAGCTAAAGTTATCTTTGCTATCTCTGAAAAATAATTTCATTAATGGTCTCCACAATATTCACATTACATTGCACAAAATGCAAATTTGTATAAATCTGTTAATATTAACAACAGCAACAGCAGCAGCAACAACAACATGATTGTTCCTGTAGGGAAACTGTATGATCTACATTTCCAACTTACCATCTAGAAAAACAAGTTTGTATATATTGTTTCTGCATAGATCCACCTAATAATGAGATATGTGAATTGCCCAAAAATGAAGCAGGAATACTGTGGGATGCAGTATGTTTCACATTCTTGCTGATTCAGAGAAGAGTTTTTATGAGCCACTATTATCTCTATATTGTGACTGATCTCAAGGCTACAGATTTCTTAGCCTCCAGGTATTTATAAACAATATTTGAATTTAAAATATTGCAATTGTTTATTGTAAGTGGAGATGGAAACAAGGCTAAAGATGGGAGATGAACTGATGTAATTAACATCAAAGCAGATAACTGACATGGAACTAAGTGGGATGTTAAAGCATCTATTCAATGTCTGGAATACTCTACCTGACTCTGTGGTTTCTTCCCCAAACTCCAAAAACGTTAACCTTAGACTGTCTACTATTGACCTCACCCCTTTCCTAAGAGGTCTATAGGGGGCATGCATAAGCGCACCAACGTGCCTACCGTCCCTATCCTATTGTTTCTTTTTTTTTTCTTATTCGTAATCCATTTCATGTATTCATAACCATGTTTATACTGATACCTGTTATCTAATAATCGCTTGACAAAATAAATAAATAAAATAAATGTAGTGCCCTGAAAATTTTAACATTGCCTTAAAGTTATTTTCTTTAAGCTTTTCTTGAATTTACTAGGGAAACTGGCAACTATGTCCTTCTAATCATGTGACGTATTTAAAACCACTACAGGATTGAGCAAGGATTGTGGTGATTTTTCAGAACAACATTAATTAATTAATTAATATAGATTACCTATTCAAATTTCCTGGGCAAATGTGGGTTCCTAATATCATGGAATCATTCCCACAATTTCTAAAAAAAGGAGTAGCTTTTTTTAGAAGTGTGTCTCTAGTCATAATATATCATGTTTTCAAGTTATAGCATTCCTGATTAGGCTTTGATTTGCTTATATTTTTCAGCACTGTTGGTTGCTAATATGTTCTATTTCCAGATGTGATATAAGGGAAAATAATTCTCCAACAATGAATTTCACTGCACATTTTTAATTAGATTGTTATGCATAAGGGGAACTATCTTTTTTATGAAAATAATATTTTGAGGTTTTGGAGAATTAAAGTTTCTATAAATGCAGTTGTCTAATAAATTGCTGATTATTAATGGATTCTGATTTTTTTAATTGGTTGGCATACACACACACACATATATAAATGGCTTGATTTATAACTTTTTTCTGTCTGAAGTATACTTAATTAAATTGCTTTTTCAGCCGAATGATTTTTACATTTATTGGAATGGCAATGTCTAAAATTTTCAGTAATGGTAGGGATTTTCATAGTTTGTGTTAGTTTTTATGTGATCTTTAAAAATCTTAATATTATACAAATAATTAATTGTAGGGAATTTCAGTTTATGCTGCCTGAAAATTCTGCGAATTTCAACCCCACATATTTGAGGGATCCAGCCTACGAACATAACAGTTCTGATCTTCAGTTGCCCAGATTAAAGGGAGATGATTCCAAAACAGCAAATACTGGGCATGTTTATTGACTATTGTTGATTATTGTTGGAAGAAAAAGCCACATGGTACAGACAATAGAAAATAATAGGTGCATTCCATGTTCTAAAATTTTGTTGTAGATTCCTCTGCTGTTAGCAATATTAATTAAATAGTTCCTTTGCATACACATCTGTTTGGAGATAGTACACATCTGAATATTATCAATATAGCAATCTGTAAGCTTCATAGGTTTCCTACAAAGGCAGCTCACTGGCTACCATTCTAATGTAGAAAAAAAAGGTAATGCTGGATATATTAGATCCTTGATCTAACAAGGCACAATTTTGGAAATATTTTTTTCAACTTATTTTTCAAAACAGGGCAGCTGAGATGTTTGAGTTGAAGCTGAAAAAAAAGGTGACTTCTCGGATGGAACAAAATAGAAAAGCAACGGAAATCATGAAAAAGCAGTAAGTTTCTTCATTCAGTTTCAGCAGCATCAAAAAACATACCTAGGAAATATGACAAACCTATTTTCTTCTGAGGTAGGGAAAGGCAGTAAAGATGGGTCTTCAGCTTAAAGGCAAAAAGTTTCAGTTTAGCATGTCAATATTATTAATGTCACCCATGTAGGCTGGATAGCTTTCAATCAGATTGTTCTTTGTGACCAGAAGTATTGGATAGATACTTCGTCTTTCTTTCTTAAATTTTGTTTTTGTGGCAGCTTTTTCTTCAGCTGTAGCATAAACTGTAGTTATCTCATACAACATGTTCATGAGATAAAATCTGTGAAATTTGAGACAATTTACAAATACAAATACATATTTATTGTTGTCTTCAGTAGTCCAAAGAAGTCTGCATGTCTAAATCCATATCATAACTGCAAAAAATACTTACAGCTGGTGTGAAATATCCCCCAAACATCTTCTCAATGAAAGGATCTTGATATATTAAAGATGCTAAATGGAAATTTTGCTCCTTGATAGCACTCATCACAAATACGGAAATGTGGTACATATTATTGGGGGAAAAATAAGCTCAAATTTCAGATATCTTGTACTTTAGGCTTCATAGGAAGAATATATGCTCAATTATACATTGGCAAGCAAGAGGCCACAAAAGAAAGAAAGGAGAGAAATCATAATACTAGCATAGTCTTTCAAAAAATCTCAGTTATATTAGTATAAAAGCATCCTTGACTTTTTGGGGAGGCAGGAAATTATCTGTTCTTTTGTGATTTTTTTGAGGATGGACCTGATTAAACCAAAATTTAAAAACCAAAGTTCCTGCAAAATACTAGAAGCAGAATCTGATCAGAAATTGGAAGAGGAGGATCCAGGTAAAAACCCTCATTTTTTTTTCACAAAACACCTAAGCCTTATTGCTTAGAAAATCCCAGACCTTTTGCAACCTTCTGATAACAAAGTCAATGGGGAAATCAAATCCATTGAATAACCAGGTTATTAACTTAACAACTGCGATGATTTATTAAACAACCATGGCAAGAAAAGTAATAAAATGAGGCAAAACTCACTTAACAAATGTCTCACTTAGCAACATAAATTTTGTGATCAATTATGGTCATAAGTTAAGAACTATCTGTATATATCTCTCACACACATATTAAGTATTTGTTTGGTGTGAATGACTGCACTTCTAAAATTTCTTTTGAATAATCCCATTAATTTCATGAACACATCTGTGTACTTTTCTTATCAACATAGACATGGATTGTCTTTTATTGTTTTCAGCTTCTCAAACCAGTCTAGAGTCCTGGAATTCCACTGGATTCCAAACATGAAAAGGGCTTTTACCAAATTAGCTTTTGAGATAAACCAAGGTCAGCTCGATGCTGATATATAACAAGTATTATTTCTGTTTATCTTGAAAATAAACAACACTAAAATTACATGGGTATTTTGGTAATGATGGCACTCTCAAATTTTGCTGTTGCTACAATGACTGTATTAGCCACAATGTTTGTGTGACAATGTCATTTGCACATCATTACTTACCCCCTGACCCTATGGATGCCCATGCTTGGTCATGAAATCTGGGGATTCTGGGAACTCCAATTTCTAGATATTTGAAGAGTGACAGGTTGAGTAAAGTTTTTCTCTTTTTTCTTAAGGCACTTTTTACTGAGTAATTCTTTTTGTCTTTTCTGCAGGAGATGATACCAGCAAGATAGAAAAAAAGAATAAAAATAATTGGTGGCAGCCATGGGTGACACATAATTCAGGTAAATTACCTGTGCTTACTAAGAAAAGGTCTATTTACTTGGTATCCCCTTTGAACAGAATCTTCCATCTTTTCAACTTGTCCTTCATGGTTTTTTTGACGTTTATGTTGTAAAATGATTATTACTAGGCTTGAAAAAGCATGATCAATGAGTTAAATCAGTTGGTTAAAAACATTTTGGTAGATCAAAAAGATGTCTTTGAGTTAATAGTCAAAGTTTTTTTTAAAAAATATATGTAATGAAAAGGACTTACAAAAAATATAGGTGTCATCTTCAGGTACTGCATATAGCTCTCTTTCATGCAAGTGCAGTAGCTTAACAGTAAAATGTTTGGCTAAACAATTACGGTTTTCCATCTTTTCTACCTAATTTTCTTCTGATGGGTTAGGCTACAATTGGCTTGAATAGAGGGGAGCTGAAGTTAATTCCATCTGCAGGACACTAGATTAGATAAAAAGCTATTTTAATTGATTTTAGTATTTGTGAGTAAGTAATGTGGCAGCAGAGCTGCAATCTTTGAGGAGCGCAGAAAACTTGGCTGAAAAATCTGAGTTTTGTCCATGTGGCACATAATTCCATAAGAGGTTTTTAATATCTGGATTTCCTGTCAATTTCAGTGGTTCGAAGTGGGAGCTATTGCCTTTTTGATACAGATAGTGAAGATGAAGAAGGACATGAACACTCTGAAATGAAAAAAAAAGAATTATTTAAAAAGAAAACAGCATGGCAGGTGTGACCAATTTCTGAAGGGAAAAAACCTGTGCTGGGGAAGTGATTGAGAACAAATGAAAATAGCACATAGGCATGTAGTTATTTTTAAATGGTAGGAAAAACAGCTCATTCACACTTTGTGGGAATACAATTCTATACCCTTGACTTACAACCATTCATTTAGCAACCATTCAAAGTTGCAATGGCACTGAAAAACGTGACTTACATCTGGTCCTCGCATTTACAACCATTGCAGCATTCCCAGGGTCATGTGATCACTGAAACCCAAATTACAGTATTCCAGTGTCATGTGATGGCCATTTGCAAACTTTCCAGCTGACTTCTGACAAGCAAAGTCAGTGGGGAAGTTAGATTCACTTAACTGTTACTCTTACTTAACAATTGCAGCAATTCACTTAACAACCGCCTCATGTCAATGGTTGTCCTCCCCTAATGGCTTCAGAAGTAGTTAAACTGGGGAGAGGAACTAGATTCTATTTTCTTTCAGTACATCAATGTTATTCTTTGTTTTGGCTGTTGTACAAAACTCACCATTTTGTTTAAAGATAGGCAGAAATTCAGTAGGAGATAATTTAATATATTCTACCCCAGGTTAGCCATTGCTAAATAAGATTCTGTCCTCTTTGCAGCTTGCATATGAAGCCTCGATGAGGAATACAAAATCAGCTCAAAATATGAGAGAGCAAGATGAAATCAGTAGTCAAAAAAATACAAAAGAGGAGGAAAGGAAAAACGAGCAATTGCCAGGGATTGAAAAAGGTAGGAGTACTTATACTTATGATTGGTTAGAAATGGACAATACTGTATTTTAAAGCACCCACCACCACGTATTAATATATTTGAGAAACTTTTCCACTTAAAAATAAATTTAAATTCTTGTTGATGGAAAGGTGGAAACCTCAATATACAACTTTGGTCCCTTCATCAAGGGCATTGGCCTAAGTCATAATTCTGGGATGCTGTTCTGATTTTTTAGTTTTTGTTTTGTTTTGTGTGTTTAGGTAATGTCAGTTTGGAATCCTCTGATGAAAATATCGAGATACTGGCTTCTGAAGAGGACTTGGATAAGTCAGGTAATTAATTCCATTGTACAGAAATCATTAGCGTACAAATTAATGAGTCAATCATCTATCTCTCATGTAGGTCACAGGTGAGTAATCATCAAGGTATTCAGGGCTATAACTCAGCCTACCAGTCTTGGAAGGGTGGCAAGAAGGCCATGTCATCAAAGGGGAAGCAGGGGAATCCACCAATGAGGATCTGTGCTAATTGCAGTAGAGACAGGACACCTGGCTATTATTCTGTCTATTTGGGATTTCTTAAGATGTTTTCATTTCCAGTTTATGCATGGGAGACAAGTAGCTGAGGGCTACAGTGTACAAATGCCCTGCAAATTAAATTTTAATGGGATTAATTCCATGATAGTGATACTGGTGACATTTTTATGCTGCTTTGAAGGGACAGATTCTACAGTAAATTTTGAGTCAATAAGCTTACCATATCTACCAAGAATAATCATGACTTTCTGATACAGTTTCTATTTCATTATTATTCCATGTATCTCCAACTTTATTATCTTGTTAATATTATATTACAGGTATATTTAACTGCAGGGATTTTAACTGTGATCAAGCAGGTATAATAAAATTTTCCATGGAGATATGAAGATATCTCCATGGATATCACATTAAATGCATTTTTGCACTTTGCAACAGTTGATAGCAATTATTAAAATCATAAGCAAGGGAGGTATTTAACTCTTTCTTCTCCTGGTGAACTCAGAAAAATCTCTTTGTAAAAGAAGAATTTTTGGAGAATTGGGAGAAAATCACAGTGACAGTTTTAGAGTACTTTTCCCCAAAGTATCAACTTCAGAGAAAGGGTTTTCTTAAGGAATGTAGTAGGATAAGATACTCAGATAAATTTTTCTCTCTCTGTAGCTCCACCAGATTAATTAATACTATTTGCATTTTGAAAATCTGAATGTTAAAGAGATTGAAATATTCTCTATATGTGTATGAGTATTCCTGAGAGCAAGATTAGTGAAGCAGTTTTTATAACTATAATATGTGGGATATGCTTGTTCTCTTCACAACAGAAAGTATTGTGCAAAGAATAATCAACATTATTAAGCTTATCTCCATCTTGATGCATGCATTGATGTATGGAACTATAGAAGCCCTTAATTCCCTTGTTAAAGATAATTTGGACATTGCTAATGCATTGAGGATGGAAAAACATATTCTTTGGCAGCAGATGAACAAGGTAAGGTTCCTGGATTTTGAAGTACTGTAGCTTACATTCAGTTTATAGAGGCTTTGTGTTTTAGTTGCAATTTGAATTTACGAAATTGGATTTGAGTTTTATTATTTTTACTGGGCTTAGTTGTATTGTTGCTAATTGATGTCAATTCATAGTGACTTTGTAGATAGTTGTCCTGAATTGCATTTGGTGTTCACTCAGATGGCCAATCTTTGCTGGAGTGATTGCTTTCAGACTGCTAGGATGAATTCAGCAAGTATAAATGTAGAATGCATGGGACTTTGTGGTACTATGATGGAATATTGTTGTGCAGTTTAATGTATTATGTTTTTTTTACTTAGAATTATCAGGAATAAGACAGCCGTATGCATTTCTCAATGTATAATGTAGGCAATGTTAGTTAGCATTGACTAACAACTAATTTCTACTAAAGACAGTGGAATGTGTTGAGCTTTTCTCTTCACTGGAATTTTTTGCATCCTAGGTAGGGGCTAATATTTGGAATAGACTCTCCTGCTCAGGTAGAGGGTTGGACTAGATGACCTCCAAGATCCCTTCCAACTCTATTATTCTATGATTATAAGATCAATTCCAGATAATACTAATTTCTTTTGAGCTTTCATAAACTGAAGCAATTCCATTTAATTCTCCTTTACTGTTCTTTTTCCACCCAATTAACTGTGCTCTGGATTATTTTCTAAAGGGAAATGAGGTTTCAGTAGATATGGTTCTACAACATTACAGATTTGAGAATAATCAGTCAGTTTATGGAGAATATAAAGCCAAAGTAATAAGAACTGAGGAAAGCCAAGGCAAGGTATCTGAATCTCCACCGACTGAGAATACTGAGCCTTCATCTCTGCAACTCAGGTAAGAAGTACCTGCCACAAGATGGAAACCTCCAGTATTTTTTCTTCAGGTTCTTATAATATTCCTGTCCATTAGGAAATATACTGTGATGTTGGGGAACAGATAATGTACATTTATATATATTTTGAATCTGTAGTATCTCTTTTGCCCATTAAAACATAACCACAAAGACATTATCACAGCTTTTGTCTTTGATCCTTTAAAGCAGTATTTGTCAACCTCAGCAACTTTAAGATGTGTGCACTTCCAACTCCTAAAATTCCATAGACAGCATGCTACTTGACAATTCTGAGAGTTGAAGTTCACACATCTTAAAGTTGCCAAGGTTGAGGAAGGCTGTCTTTAAAGCAAAGAGTGCTGGCAGTCTTCACACTGCAGGTACAGGGGAAGGAGAGCTGAAGTGGTCTTCATAAATGGAAACTTTCAAAGGTGGCTGCCTTTCCAGATAATATGACTGTTTAAGATAAGTTTGGACTTGGATGGCAGATATTGCTTCTACTAACATATAAAGGGTGTATGCAAGAAAATCCTTTTGACAGAAAAGGAGCATGCAAACAGACAATTTTGGTGCACCAAAATTACATTAAATTGATGAAATGCACACTGTGGTATCAATGTCATGGTGCACATCCCTCCACTGCATATTTACATCCTTTGTACATGTTGATGCAAGCAGAAACATTGTGAGTTTTGCAATATGACACTATCTTTCATCACAGCCATTTTTCTTGGCTCCACTGGCAAACACTAGGATAGAGAGAAGTGAGATTTGGAAGGTACCAGCATTGGATGCATAATAGAAGAGTGGTTGTGATGTCAGGTTTTTCTTTCTGATTTATTGTTTGTTTGTTTTTGCTTTCATTGATTTTTTATATAATGGTTGTAAACTGTTCAGAACTGTGCTTTTAGGATGGACAGCCACAGGAGTTTGAAATAAATAAACAAATAAATAAACAAGCATGAGGATTTCTACACTGGGCAGGTTACAGTTAGGTGTTCTCCAAAAGCACTGGATACTGTGAGGTTGACTAGATGATCTCAAGTATCCCTTACAAACCTATGATTTTATGACTCCCACAGAGACATTCTGTGCACACTGAGAAGGAACACAAAACCCACTTTTTTGGTGCTTTGCTTTTTTAGATTTTTCAACTTGGCTTTGAACAAAGAAAATATTCATTAGATTTTTATGTTTTAAAACAAGATTAAGTAACCTGTTGGATCAAATGTGTGGTCTCTCCCAGCCTAACTATACTGGGTGGTAAAAATGCATAAATCCCTGATGGTAAAAATGGTTCAGAAGTGAAGGATAATGAATTGTTTTTAACAGCTCTTTGGAAGAAACACCATTGTAAAAATGCCTCTCAGTCTTGAAGCTACTAAAAGACTTCTGGGCAATTTTTTTATGTCTTTGGAAATCAGGAGAGCCAGTGAAACTGACAAAGATGTAATGGGGACTGAGAAGATAGAAGGGGGAAATGAAAAAGAAGCCCTCTCCCAAGGATTCACTCTGACCACTTCCTGTGCAGAACCTGCCGTTCTTTCCAGCTCTCCATCAGAAATTCAAGAGTCTGCAGATTCCTTGTTTACTAGAAGTCCAAAAGCCAACAAGCCATTAGGTGAAATATCTCCTATGATGACAACCAGTGAGCTGGTGCTTAACAGGCAAGGCATATCCCATTATGCTTTTATTAAAACTGCCTTCTGACCTCACTTTGCTTTCAAAGAGCATGAATTCAAGATTGCAAAATCCTTAGGTCCACAGTATTTCAGTGAGTGACTCTTGTTTGCTGTTTTGACATAACCCAAAGCAGACATCTCAAAGCTCTATTATGTTCTTCAACACACTGGGTCAAATGCCGAGATTCACAATCCCACATTTAGATGACTTCAGCTGTGGAAGGCTGACCTACTACCTTAAAAATCCCCAGTGCGGGGGAAAAATGAAGGAGGTGTTCATAATGAACTGTATCTAAAGTTCAGGATATTATTTATTCTAGAATATATTTGTGCTGGTATATATTATTTTAGTTACAATTATTAATTGTGAGCTAGTTCGGTCTGATGGTTAAGGAGCCAGGCTAGAAACAGGAGACTGTGAGTTATCCCGCCTTTGGCATAAAAGATGTCTGGGTGAGTCTTTCTCAGCCCATAATGTCAGCCTCAGACAACAAAGTACTTTGTTAATTCTTGTCACAACCAATGGATCAATATTTGGTTGATCCAAAAAAAAGGACCCTGCACCTGAGGGAAAATGCTAAGAAGGGGAAATAAGTAGCATTAGTTAATGACATTTTTTGTGCTTTTTCCTTAAATATGGTCTAGCATTCTTCATGACAATGAGCTGGAGCAGTCTGATAAATTTTACCAGTGCCTTCCTTGTCCCTTGAAGCTGGGAGTTGCTTTGTACCATGTTATGGCCTCTACATCAGAAATGCTTTGTTATTTTGTTATCATTATCAACCACATGGTTTCTGCTTCCATTCTTACTTCGGTTCTCTCCATCTTGATATTCCTGTGGCCTATGTTGTCCATTCCAAGGCCTTCCAAATTCTTTTGGATGATAGCAATCATTTACACTGAGGTAAGTGTTCAGTAGATGCTGCATTTAGCTGCTTTAGTCTTCTCCGTATATCATTTTCACTCCTCTTTGAGCTTCATTGAAATAAAGAACTGACTAGATACTAAGGGGTCACAAGCCTACCTGAGAATTTTAGTCTCTGACTTGGAAGCAACTACTGATCACATTGGAAAGAAAACTAGAACAGAGCATGGTACAAGGTCTCAGGCAAAAAGGAGGAAAGCAGGACATTTTTTTCTTTTCTTTTTAAAAAAAAGTTTACTGTAATAATTCCATCTTTAATTGAACAGTGTGTTGTCTGAATACAAATATCTTTTTAACAAATGCAACATCATTTGTTACATTAATATTAATTCTATAATATTAAAATAGTAATATTCCATATATTCTAGAATATTAAAATAGTAATATTCAACATAATAGTCATATTTACTTATCTCTTTTAACATATCTTCTTAATTTTGTTTCCCTGTTTCTAACTTTTATTATGTAACCATTGATAAAATAGATCCCATTCCATATAGTATTCAGTTTGCTCTTTCTCCTTAATTGCCAATGTTAATCTACTCATTTCTACACATTTCCTAATCACATCTTCACTCTTCCAATTTTGTGCAAATACAATTCTAGCAGCAGTTAATATATGAATAACTAAATATGCATTTTCCTAACTGTATTTTTTGGGTAGAATCTCCAATAGAAATATTTCTGGTTTTAAATCAATATGCTGTTTTATCATTTTTTCCCAATTACAGATGTATTTTTGTCCAGTATTTTTTTGCTTTTGGGCAAGTCCACCACATATGATAATATGACCCAGGTATTTGGTGGCACTTCCAGCATTTAGCTGATTTGTCTTTAAACATCCTTGCCAACCACATTGGTGCAAAATGCCATCTATAAAACATCTTATACAAGTTTAGGAAAACAGGACTTCTTATTAGTATCTTCCAATACAGGCCTTTTGGTGATTTGTATCTGGAATATATGTCCTGCTAATTATCCTGGGAAAACACATGGATAAGAATGGAAAACACTGATTTCAGCTGAATCCTACAAGATAAATTTTAATATTGTCTCACAGTTTCTATTGACTGTTTCCTTTGAAAATATTATTATTAATAAGCAGGATAAAAATACGAAGCCTGTGTCATAGAACAGATCACTACCCCGCACTTTAGCATTGCTCACTGTTTTAGAAATCTTGAAGAATTATCATTTTATGATAATAGTAAATCTACATATGTTTCCTTCCTCTGCCAGATAATGATTGTGATCAAATGTATTTCCCAATTTGGATTCTTTCCTTGGTCTTCTAAGTTATATTGCAGTATCAGTGCAGAAGCACCATTTGCCTTGCCAAATCTAATTGGGATGGAGAAGAAAGACGGATATGCACAGTATGATTTAGTGCAGCTCCTAGCCTTGTTCTTGCACAGGTACATCTTGAAGGTACTGCAAACTATCCTTAATAAGGAAGAAAGACTTTAATCCACCTTTTCAAGCATGGATTTGTTAACATGTATAGCAGATGTCTATGATAACCTCAGAAGAGTCCTGTGAATCAAAAAACTATCTAGTCCAGTCATTTTCGGTCACTTTCCCATAGTGATCAACCATGTCCCAGCAGAAGAACATTGATGCAATAGAGAATACAGTAGAGAATGACACTCAGGTTTTCTAGCAGATGGAAATGTCATTGCTAATATATTACCTTTGAAACTGCAGCTAATATCCATTGGCAGCCTTATGCTCCATTAATGTCTGTAACTTCTCAGCTTCTGGAAACAAAAAATTCTATAGTTTGGCAAATATTTTGTAACAAAACATTTCTTTTGGTCTGTCCTGAGTAGCCAGTTGTTTTGTACTATCATTGAGAAAGAGAGATGTTCCTTGTTTGGATATTCTTCATACTGTGTATAATTATTTACACCTTTCTTTCTTTTCCCAATTATTTTCTTTTTTCAACTAAAATCTCCCAAGCTGTAATTTTTAACACAAAACTCCTCCAGCTATATCACTGAAGTTTCCCTAATTCTATAATAGACTTGTCATAGAGCAAATGTAGTCAATGTTATGGTCATAATATTTGAAGGATCATCTCTTCAAATGTTTTTCTGTCCTAAAGCATCAGTCTGAGTTCCCTCAAATACCGAAATTTGGGTGGTTATTTGACAGCCAACTTTCTTCGTGAAAGCTCCAATTATTTTTCCTGCTCTGTGCTCTGACATGTATGGGAATTATGCATGTATTGATCCAGCATTCTCTTTCACTTCTTTTAAATGTGGTTTAAGATTCCCACATGAATAACTTTTACTTTGTTTTGTCCCACAGTGTCAAGGTCTCTGGGATTCTAAAATACTAGATCCTAAACAAAAGGACATGGCCAAGAAATCTAAGAAGAAAGGTTGCAAAGGTCATTCGAAGGAACCCAAGTCTAGCTCAGAACGATGGCATCTCTCTAGGAACATTTTTAAGAGGACTAATAGAGGTAGATAAATGCAAATATGTGGACAAAATATTCTTGCTATGAAAGGAGGAGAGGAAGAGAAAAGGGTAATCCTGTCCCTCCTGATCAGCAGGAAGAGTAAAAGTCAAAAATATACTAATAAAATAGGTAACAGATAATCAGAAGTAGAAGAGACCTTGTAGGTCATCTAGTCCAACCGCCCACCCAAGCAGGAGACCCTGCACTATTTCTGGCAAATGGCAGTCCAATCTCTTCTTGAAAGTCTCAAGTGATGACACTCCCACAATTTCCGAGGGCAAGAAGAGCTGGAGAAGTGAACATTTTATTGCCAGAGTGGGAGAAGCTAACAGCAGCTTCCTACTCAGTCAAGATGAATACAAAAGCCTAGTTATATTTTGGCACCTGATATATATCCTTAATTTAAACTCACTCTTAAGATCTGACAGAAATATAAAATAATAACCTGCACTCCCCTTGACAGCCTCCCGCCTGTGATTTCTGCTCTTCTGTTCTGTGGGGATCAGAAAACCCACGGATGATCCTAATCTGCCTCTCAAAGGAAGAGGGCCCATTAAAGAAATGTCTTAAGCTCTCTCGTATTGAGAGAGGAAATAATTTGAGGTGATCCTTTCAAATTTCATTTGCATTTGTTCTTTTTTATAATTTTTTTTTATTTCAATCTACACATACACAATGATATATTAGCAGTGTGGCATCAATATATCATACATTTTAGTATAGGCAAATTAATAGTACCAATCATATCTCTCAATGCATACATTGACATTAGTTCATAATCCTTCATTACTTATTTTCAATCTTTCAATACTCTCCCCAAATGCTTACCACCATATCAATTAAATATACCTAGTAATTCCATTATTCAATTTTCTCCCTGCTTTTATTTTTTTAAATAAAAAATTCTCATTTGGCAAGCAGTGTGGTTCCAGGTTTCACATCTCAATATAGACATGACCATAGTTACCTATTCATTTTATTTGTTTAATTTCATATTGCATCATTCTTATTATTATTAAATATTAAGCTTACCTTATCCAGTTCCAATTCATGTTATGTTAGTATATTCTCATATCTTATTTTACAATGTTATCTAAAATTCTCATCACCTTTCTATGTTCATTTTTACCATGTTATCTAAAATTCTCATCACATTTCTATATTCATTTCTCATATTACTTTTTTCTGTCACATTTGTCATTTTATTAATCCTTATCTATAAATATAATTGTCCCCTCTAATTAATAATTCGAGCTAACCACCTTCATTCTACCTTAATATCAATCTCTCTACCTAGATTATAGCACAAATATATATATATATATATATATATATTAGTATATATATATATATATATATATATATATATATATATATATGGATCTATATATATGTGGATATATATATATATATAATCTCAGATTCTTCATTACATTTTCTCAAACACCTTATAAATCATCTATACATTACAAAATACTATTCTCAATATATTCTTATACATCACAACATATTACCTTGCAGAATCTCCTTCCTTATCTATTTTTTTTTCACCCATTATCTCTCACTCTTTGGACAATGTAACTTCTTTTCATCCTTGTTTGTTTCCAGCTCCTCTTTATTTTCTAGTCCTTTTTCTTAATTCCCCTTTCCCCCATTCTTATTCTTATTCCCCTCCATTTCTCATTCCAGTTTTTGAACTTTTCTCTCCCCCTCTTTCAATTTTTCTTTTGCACTTCCCTTTTCTGCTTTTTCCCTCTCCCTTTATCCATTTCCTGAACCATTCTCCCTTTTACCATCCCATCAGACCACAAATTTTTAATTCTAATTCCTTTCCCCCCCTGTTTAAGTAATTGTTGTTCCATTTGTCCTTCAAAGTTGGCTTCCTCTTTGTAGACCTCCTCCCCCTCTGGTTTACTTTGTTCTTGTGTATGCTGAGTCACCGTTTCTAATTTCTGTAATACGTAATTACACATTTCAAGTTTAATTTTTATCGTGTCCCTTATATCTTGCAAGTCCAATCTTGTATCTTGTAAGTCCAGTCTTATATCAACAAAAAGTTCCTCCATTATATCTTCTCTTTTTTTCTCTTTTTCTTTCCTCTTCCTTAATAGCTAAAATCCTCTTCTTTAATATATTCAATCCCAGGGTCCAGTATATTATTTCAGCCAATTTATTTTCAACAATCCATACTCTTGATCCTTTGTTCCAGGTCTTCTAATTGGCCCCAACTATTTCCCAAGTAACCGGGTGGTTCTATGACAATAATAAAGTTTCTTTTAAGTTCCAAAATCCAAACTCTAGAGAAGACCAGACACTTTTTAAAACATACTAAAACTTTCCTGTACCATCAGATGGCACTCTTGAGTCTTTTGCCTTTAACTTTCTTTATTAAATGTAATACTTTTATTAAGTTCGCTAACTTCAATCATTAGCTGTTATTTCTTTTCTTTTCAACACACTCAATTTTAGCATTAGTAGTTCAATAGTTATCCAGTTTAATTTCTAAACCTTTATTGTGTTAAAGTATTTTCCTTTAAATTTTCTCCTCCAAATTAATCCAATACAGTAATTCAATCTGAATTTTATAAAATCCAATTTCCTTCTCACTTTCTTTGGTCACCACTTCCACATACTTTCCTCCAAGATAGCCCTTTATTTTAAGTCCAGGGTACCTCAAAAATGATGTCTTTTGCCTGGTTCACACTCTGCTCACGACTTCTCTGCTCCAGCACAAAACTTATTTTCCCAGAGTGTTCTTTGTCTTTGTGGTGGCCATTTTAAGACTACCGCTGCAGCTTGCCTTTGGGAGGGTTTTTCCCTGTTAGGGAGGGGAGTTGTGGCTCCCCTCAACCCTCCAGGCTATTCCCCCCTTCTTCACCACCCCTACAGGGTGGTTCTGGTCTCAACCGAGACCCTCCAGCAAGTGAGCTCAGGCGAAACTGCGCACAATCGCGGATTCTGCTCCAACTCCAACGAGGAGCAAACCGGAAGTCCATTTGCATTTGTTGTTATCCTATCTTAGAGTGAGTAACCATAGGCTCGGAATCCCCTTTTGTGATTCTAGAAACTTCTCCAACTACAGTGCCATTGCTGAAAATGGGCAGTGTGATTTCCCATCATTTTGAGAGTACAAATGTAGCTTAAACTGTAAAATAAACTCAATCTATTTGAGAAACAAAAGTAGCCCCTACCTTAAAAATGGAAATAAAAATAGAAAATCCAAGGGTTTCCCCTTTTTTAATTACTCTGTCCACTGTGTCTCTCAACCTCCACCAAATGGCCTCTCCCTGTCCTAACAGCTTGCTCACTTTTACTGTTATTGCTGTGGTTTGGTTTATGTTGAGAAGTTTCACATTTCTTTTGCAATCAAAAAGTGAAAGTTTGATCGCTCTGTGTTCATTAGATTCTTTTGTTGCCATTTGGGGAGGGATTCTCCCACACAGGAATTTGCACAGGGGCATTTCTTTTAATGTTTCAGAAGACATGGTTGGACTGAAGATCAATTGTTATGTGCTTGGGAATGGAACCGCATCAGAAGTTGGGGAGCATTTAAAAAATTTATCCTGTCATGTGAAAGCTTCTCAGATAGCATAATGAATGTTTTCCTTTACTCTTGACAGACAAATCTCTGAAAGAAGAGAAGACATGCAGCCTTTTCAGAAAACCTCCCTCTGGCAAGAAGAGACATTCTAAAGAAACAAGGAACCAGAAGATACTTAAGACTAAAAAGTTGCTGATTAAAATGTAAATGGAGGGTTTCCTTTCCTTTTATTCTAAAACAGTATTTCCTGACCTTGACAACTTTAAGATGGTCAGACTTCAACTTCCCTTGGCTGGGGAATTCTAGGAGTTGAAATCCACCCATCTTAAAGTTGCCAAGATGGAGAAACACTGACCTAGAGAAAGTAAGGTGTTGCAACCCGAATGAGCAGAGTTGCAAGTAGGGCAAGGGATGTCAGGAAGAGTAGACATTGCCTGATGATGACCATGCCTGAAAAAACAATGCTTCTACATAGAATTCTACAAGAAAGAAACATGCTACATTTGCTTCTGACTATAAAATGGTCAAGATCTTTGAGAGTTTGTTTAGCTGACTTGATGATGCAAAAAACATAGCTCTGAGAGAAGATCTGGGGTCAGAATGATGCAAGAAGTACTGCACTGTTGTACTTAAGTTCTGCATGTTTTGTATGTATGTGTCACAACACAATGCATGGACAAAATGGGCAGAGCTTAATCACAACGGTGTAATGCTCATTTTGTCATTTGCTTACTTCTGGGGATGCCTCTGTGATCATGGCTTTATGAATAGACAAATCAGTCAATTGCTGAGAAACAGACTCAGCCTCCCTCACACACCTTGCCCTCCAATTTAGCCATAATAAGACGGGATGAAATTTTTGTCATAAAGATAGATGATGTAAAATAGAATAACATCCTGTGGTTTGCTTTCATTTATGATTACAATAACTGTCTTTTCATGGTTATCTGAGTTGAGATGTCCTAGAATGAAATCAGATATATCAGCTTGATATCTGACCCAACCAAAAAGTAATGTGCATCAGACTACTGTATGTGTGAAAGAACAGATGGAGAAGGAGGTATCCAGCCCTAGAAATAGGAGGTCCTGAAATGATGGGTTCCTTAGTCCACATTTAGACCACTTTTTGGGTCTACAACCTCATCTCAACTAGCTAGCATATGTGTTTTCTGCAGTGTCTGCTATAATGCTATCACTTTTTTCTTGAATTTTAAGCAAGGACTTTATCTTAACAAATATGACTCTACTTTGCACTTTGACGGATCTAGATAAATTCTTACCCCCAGTGTGCTTTGGATTTATCGGCCTATCAAGCAATTCTTCTATGACATCATTTATCTCAAGAGCAGTCCAGTCTGCGATATCTATGGTTACATCTTTATTGCTGATGTGATTAATTTTATTATTACCATCTTTGGCTATGGGGCATTTGGGGTAAGTAGCAATGTGTGTTGTTGAGATTCTAACAGAAAGGTTTTGTAGAGTATGTTTTGGTGGGTCTGGAAGAAAGGTTTTTTTTTTCTCCAGAATTTCAAACAGATAATGCTTCCCTCAGTGATGAAGAAGAAATACTCATATGCTCATGATGTGCTCAAAAGCTATTACTATTTTGCTATTATTTCAAAAGTTCCAAATCCATGAATACTTTTCAATTTCAAGTTCTTCAGTCCAGAACAATTTCAAGTTCAATGAAATAAATGCTCTTATAAAAGTATCTTTAGATATTTTTGTTGCAAGAATATGTGATGTCTTGTGAATGTATGAATGCTCAAGAACCAATTTGGGGTAGTAATTTTAGTTTTCGATTATTGGGCCTGGATTTAAATCCCCACTTAATTGTGGAGTTCACTAGGTGACCTTGAGCTAAGAACTGTTAGCTCATGCAGTCATTGTGACCCTAATATAAAAGATGATTACCTTGCAGGGAAGGGAAAGGAAAGGAAAGGAAAGGAAAGGAAAGGAAAGGAAAATGATATTAGAAGACACTACAGATCTAAGAGGATAGGACTCAAATGCTTTAAAGCAAAAAGTAAACCCGAAGTTGATGAAGCATATTTGGAACTGAGTCTATGGAACATAGGAGCAATATGGCTTCTATATGATACAATGGAAATTAGAGATAATACTTGTTAAATAAACTTATGAAGCTGGATTTGAAAATAAAATGCAAGTATTTGCATTTAAAACTTTAAATGATTTTAAATGCCAGTCTAAAGTGTGGAACCATTATATGTGTGAATACATTGATTTTTTATTGTTATGGTTATTGATATTAATACATATGTCTCATACTATTCCTTTGGAATAAACAGCACTAAGCAAAGTGCAGAAATACTGTATAAAAAGTCGTAGACAAAAGAAATTGGAGTTCAGAAAAAAAAGAGGAAATTTAACGTAATCTAGTTTTATTTGGCATTATTATGATGATGTTTGGTCATATATGTTTAGCTAGATGTTTAGATTCAACTTGGTATTTTTATCCACCAATGGAGTCTTTCCCAAGGGCCTGGGATAGGCAGAGATGTTAAGGGTTTTTGTCAGTGCTGATGCTATTCAAGTGGTCTTTCACATGTTTTGGGATTGCAAGGTATCTATTGCTATTAATACTGTCTTTTGCTTTCTTTTGTCACGGTGTTATTATTAATTTTTTCTAACATATTTCAGAAACATTCAGAGGATGATTTCGCAGAATCCCTTTTGGAAGATGAAGTCCCTGTACCTTGGCTTGTGATACTCTTGATACAGTTTGGCACCATGATAATTGATAGGGCACTCTACCTAAGAAAGAACACGTTTGGGAAGTGTGTTTTCCAAATGATCTTGGTCTTTGGCGTTCATATTTGGATGTGTTTCATTTTGCCACAAGTAACACAAAGGTATGGCAACATCCAGGAAGGAACTGGGAGTTGCTTCCTGCAAAGATCTTTTGGGGCTCAATTCAAATGGGAGATATATATTCAGTGGGTGGAATGGCCTTTATTCTATATGTGTCTTTTCTGTGTGCTTCGAGGTATTACTTCAAGTCCTCAAGGATAACCAAGTCTTCTCAGGTTGAGTATTATATTTTGTATTAATTTGATGTGGTGGGCTGTACAAAAAGTCATGAGTAGGTCCAGGAAAAAGACCCTTTACAAAGCTGAATTATAGTGAAAGTGTTCTTTATAGGAACATGAAACTTAAATTAACAGATGTAATGGTTTCAAATGATTAAGAAATGAAAAAAATACCAAAAAGGTGCTACCAGATTTCAGAAGCAATGAAAGAAGGAATTCTGGAGATTACTCAAATTTAGGTACTGTGTATGGCCTATGGTTTACCTAGTTCTGTTTTAGATTCATGTTGGTGGTTGCACCCACATTGTGGAATGTTCCTTCAGTCATTGTTGAATGTAATTGGGCATTTCATAATTTATTGCTTTAATTATCATTTTAAAGATTGTTTGAAATATGTATTGTTCTTTAGACTGAGAGTGTTAAATACCATTTTAGATATTGATGATTCTGTTTAGTGTCTTTAGTTACTTTCAGGCATAAAGTACAAATATTATTGCATTTGAAATGAAAAAAAAAAAGACAGGATAGTTTTAGTACTGTGTTTCTCACAAAATAAGGCCGGGCCTTATTTTTTTTTTTTTTTGAGCCCTGAAAAAATGGCTAGGATGTCTTTTTGGGGGTGAATTAATTTCTCCCCTCCCGCACACCAGCACCGTCTCCAACAACAGCATCTGAGTCGCTCCCACTTTCCCCCCATCCCCCGTAACAACAAGAAAAAAAAAGATTTTGAGGTACCTGGGAGCGCCGTGCGCTGCGTTTTGGTTTAATCCCGAGCGGCTGGGTGAGCGTGAGAAGAGCCGAGTGAGCATCTCTGCTGCTGCTACCCTTGGTGCTCCAGCCTCGGGCTCTGCAAGTTTGCAAAAGTCCCGGTGTCTAGCCCGTTCCTGCATTCTAAGCGCCCAGGCCGAGCTGCAGCTGTCCCTCTCTCACCAGCGCCATCTCCAATAAAAGCAGCAGCAGCGGGGGGAACCGTGGAAGTTACAGAGGCGGCTCCCCCACCCGAGAAGTGGCTGAAACACTTCCACGGTTCCCGCCGCTACTGCCGCTGTTATTGGAGACGGCGCTGGAGAGAGAGGGACAGCTGCAGCTTGGCCTGGGTGCTTGGAATGCAGGAACGGGCTGCACATTGGGACTTTTGCAAACTTGCAGAGCCCGAGGGTGGAGCACCAAGGGTAGCAGCAGCAGAGACGCTCGCTCAGCTCTTCTCACGCCCACCCAGCCGCTCGGGATTAAACCAAAATGCAGTGCGCAGCGCTCCCAGGTACCTCAAAATGTTTTTTTTTCTTGTTGTTACGGGGTCGGGGGAAAAGCGGGAGCGACTCAGACGCTGTTGTTGGAGACAGCGCTGGCGAGAGAGGTGCCAGCATTGGTGGGAACTGTGGAAGTTACGGAGGCCTCAGAAGCGGCTGAAACGCTGCTGGACATCCACACCAACACCGCCCGCCTGCTGACCTGGGTAAGGGAGAGGTAAGGGAGCCCTCCATGCTCCACCATGGTGTTAGGAGCGGCTGATGGTGAGGCATAGCTGCCCGCGGGGCACTCCTAATGGCAAGATCCCCCCTGCCTCCCCCCCCAATTTCGCATGTTTTAAACTAGGCCTAAATTTGGGGGGAGGGGCTTAATTTCATTTTATGCCTAGAAAACATGCTGGGTCTTCCTATTGGGGGGGGGGGCGTATTGTTGGAGAAACATGGTAGTATATAGGTAACTAGTCAGATTACTTTCCAAGTATGTATTTAATATGTTTCTTCTTCTGCCACATTAAAATAATGCAAATTGGTGAAAATGTTTGTGATCTTTGGGGGATGCACCTAAAGTTTTTGATAGCCATGTATACAAGGAACTTGAGTTTATGATACTTGTGCTGCAGAAAGTATACCCAGATCTAAGCAGTAGAACATATATTTGTACTTGGGGATTATGTTTGTTTGTTTATTTATTTATTGTGCATGCTTACATTAGTATATCGATGAACAATTCTCCAGGAGAAAATAAAGTCTTATATTTATAGCCATCCTAATGCTTCATAGAATCTGCCCTCAATTCATTCATTAACTGATAAATATAAGGTACAGAATTATCTGCATGTAGTTCATGTCCCTAATAAAGCTGTAACCATTTACTTTATATAGCCTTCAGTTGTTATTGAGGGAATGAAGAAGAGGATTTAACTCTTCTCTTTTTCTCTCTTCTGTGCATCCACAACTGGTCTGCAGTATCTTATCAAAATTTGTAAGATGGCAAGCACAGTGTGGCAATAGTATCCCTGTCATCTTGGTCCATGTATCTATTTAACTCACATGTACAAAAGTGGCAGAGCTTCATTGTGATGTTGTGCCTGCCATCCTGCAGATTTTGAACTCTTCCCCTGTGAATACATAATGTAATTCGTGTGTAATTAATGACAATTCTGTCTGTCCCCTCACAAGGCTGTACATAGACACTAAATTAAGTAACAGCCAAGAACTAAGAAAATTTTTATTTTTCTGTTCCTTTGCAGGAGATTTAACAGGAATAGATTGGCTCAGGTGTGGTATTTGGTCAAGTGCATTTATTTTGGTTTGTCTGCATATCAGATCAAATGTGGCTACGCAAATCGGACCACAGGCCACTTTTTAACCAAGAATTACAACTATATAAACCTCTACTTATTCCAAGGGTAAGTAGTAATTTCATGACAGGACATGTGCTCCAATGGTGGGATTCAAATTCTTTTACTACCAGTTCTGTGGCTTTGTAGGCGTGGCAGGGGAAGGTACTGTAAAATCTCCAGTCAGAGGTGGTATTTGCTGGTTCTCCAAACTACTCAAATTTTCCGCTACCGGTTCTCCAGAATTGGTCAGAACCTGCTGAATACCACATCTGATGTGCTCACTTAGAAAAAGGTGGCCAGAAGAGAGATTGGAACGAACTCAGAGGTGGTATTCAGCGGGTTTTGACCAGTTCTGGAGAACCAGTAGCGGAAATTTTGAGTAGTTCAGAGAACCCGCAAATGCCACCTCTGACTGGTCCCGCCCCCATCTATTTGCCCCCTGAGTCCCAGCTGATCGGCTGGGTCTTCTTTTGTTGCCCTGCACAGGAGAATGGAGTTGGAAAACAGGTTAGTGGGGTGGGGAAGGAATGGGGATTTTGCAGTATCCTTCCCCTGGAGTGGGGTGGGAATGGAGATTTTGCAGTATCCTTCCCCTGCCATGCTCACCAAGCCACACCCACCAAGCTACGGCATGCCCACCAAGCCATGCCCATAGAACTGGTAGTTAAAATTTTTTGATCCCACCACTGAACTAACTGGTAGGTTTTAGACTCTCATACTAATAAAATAACTTCAGCAGCAAAAAGATTCTTCTTTGGCCCAAACTATTCTACTGATATAGATTGTGGGAAGGGAAAGTGAGCTCTATTCTACAACTCCAAACATATTTCTAAACAATATTCTAAACAATATGACCTTATGGTTAAAATGTGGGACTAAGGTTGGAAGACGAAGTACTAGTCCTCCCTCAGGCACAGAAGTTCACTAGGTAACTTTCAATCACTTTTTCTTTCCAGCCCAACAACCAGTAGTTGTTATGGTACTGAATGAGGAATTAGAAGACCCAAGATCTACTCCACCTTCAATTAAGGAAGGTCACTAGTTGTCTTTAGGTTGATAAATCTCTTTCAATCAAACTTCCTAGATTTAGAGGGTTTATGTGGGAGGGGCAATTAGAGGAAAAAGTGCTAAACATGCCTCCTTGAGCATCTGGAGTTCACAATGTGAAAAAAGATGCTGAAGAGTTGGAAAGAGTGCAGAGAAGAATACAAAACTAGCAAGAGGCTTGAGGGCTAAATCCTCTGAAGATTGAGTAAAGGAACTTAATAGGATTAGCTTAAAGAAGAGAAAGATCAGGGAAGACATGGAAGCAGTCTTCAGATGCATGAAGGAACATCAGAAGGTCTGGATTTATTTCTCCAGAGCATCTAAGGGCAAGACAAAACTGGCAAGTGAAACTTAAGAGGGATCCAAACATGGAATAAGGAGAAATTCCTGACTGAGAGCAGCACCTGTTGTAAATGTTCTATCACTGGAGATTTTCAAGAAAAAAGATTGGGTAGCCATTTGCTTAGCATAGATGCACTGGGATTGATTTACTGAATATGATTTATGGGGGGGGGGGAGACGGACTAGTAGGTCTATGTTCAAGAGTATGTCTATGTTTAAGTAGAATGATAATCAGAACTCTGTGGCTCCCAGACAACGGAATCAAGGAACAGTCCTGGCTATCCCCATTTCCTTTTTCATGTAGTAATAAATCACTTAGTTTTGACAATTTGAATAGATTTTTTTATAAACAGCCATAAAACTACGATTATAAATTTTTTATGAGTCATCCTTTTGTTTAAGTTATAAATGGAAATCTATGAGTGACTGGTCCTAAAATCAATCAATTAGTCAATCAATAATATATGATTTTTTGGGTTGCCTCTATGCCACTTGTAAAAAAGTACAATTTATCATTTTCATTCTGTCTTAATATTTTGTACCTGAAAACATATAGGGAAGCTCCAGTGTTAGCAGCATTGGTTAAATTATTTATTTGCAGAACATTTCTGCAGTGTACATTTAAAATGAGTGTAGATGCTTTGATTTGTAATTCTTTGAAAGATGAATTACCGATATCAGGATATTATTGGTATCCAAATTAAAGATCGATAGTTCTCTGCAGATTTTTCTTTAGAGGAAAGCCTTTGAATAAACTCCTAAAATTAATTTATCAAATGTTTATGTTTGAACTGTTTATTACAAAATGCTAGTACCAATATCAATTTCCCTTTTTTATTCTCTCATGGATAGATTCCGCATAATGCCTTTCTTGATTGAGCTGAAGGCTGCCATGGACTGGATCTGGACTGATTCTACACTCAGCTTGTCCAGTTGGATCTGCCTAGAGGATATTTATGCAAATATTTTCATTCTAAAATGTCAGAGAGAATGTGAAAAAGTGAGTGGTATTTTTTCTGGATCTTGCTAACCCTCTTAATGCAGGTGACACAGGATAAACTTGCTGGGAACTCTGGAAATTGTAGAGTAAAACTTCTACAAAGTGTCAGGTTGGGTGGGTGGGTAAGTCTGGGATGGTCTAGTAGTCAACCTCTGAAACGGTTGGTTTTCATTAGCCATATTACAATAAACACTGTATTTAAGATTTCCAACTTCTGTGATAGCCATCTTTTTGCTCATATATGGAAATATGGCAACAACGTGGTTTTTGGAAACACTGATATGAAAACACTGAGATCATTGTACATTTGTGTGATAACTCATAAAGGGATTTTGAAATATTTGGCACTGGAAAAATTGTATTATACCTACAAAAATATGCTTTCCTTGGTTGCTGGGCTTGATGCATATCATCAGCAGGGATAGAGTTTTCAGTTATGTGTATGTCCTAGATGCTGTTTTTTTTTTTTTTTTGGTTTAAGAAAAAAAAATAGTCTTAAAAATCTTATCAGAATTCTTCTGGATCAGACCCTAAGCCCATCTAGCCCAGTGTTGTTATGAGCAGTACATAAATTAATAAATCGGTGTCCTCCAGTGTTCAACTAGATAATTGGGGAAACTAACAACCCTGGACCAGAAGGCAATTTACTGGAATTTCTTAGCAGTCAGTACTAAGGCCCATTGCTCATAATTCAGAGGGCAGAAATCTCAGTAATCACTGTTATCCCTGTCTTCCATGAACCTCTCCAGTCCCCTTTTAAAATTATTCAAATTATATGCCACTTCCCACAATTTACTTAGATCCTGTAGCTCAGGGGTCCCCAACCGCCGGTCCGCGGACCGGTACCGGTCCGCAAAACAAGTCTTACCGGGCCGCTGGTTGCTGGGCGCCGCCATCTTTTTTTTGGTAAAAAAGTGCTTCCGGTGAGCTTTTCCGGGTAGAAAGCTCACCGGAAGCACTTTTTCATCAAAAAAAGATGGCGTCGCCAGCGCTTCCGGTGAGCTTTTCCGGGTAGAAAGCCATTTCTACCCGAAAAAGCTCACCGGAAGCGCTGGCGCCATCTTTTTTGACGAAAAAGTGCTTCCGGTGAGGTCACTGGAAGCACTTTTTCATCAAAAAAAGATGGCGGCGCCCAGCTGATGCCGGTACCGGGCCGCAGCGTCAAAAAGGTTGGGGATCACTGCTGTAGCTGACTCTCCCTGCCTTGTTATTTGAGAGGGAGAAGGGAAAGGGAGAAAAACATTGAGTCATGCATTGCCTTGGAATATTACCACCACCAGTGTAGCTTTGATCACCAGAGCTTAGGAAATAGAATTCAGAACATGCTGCGTTGCTAGTTTTGATCACCTTCAAAATCAAAATTAGCAATGCTGAAGCCCTTGTGTAGAATTTTAAGGTTGCTGCTCCTGGTTCTGGCTTCAGTTGGCTCTATACTGTATAGATTGGTTATACTATTTACTTATTGAGCCGTGGTGGCAAAGTGATTAGAAAGCAAACTTTGCAGGCTAATTCTGCCCACTGCCAGAAGTTCAATCCTGACTCGCTCAAGGTTGACTCAGCGTTCCATCCTTTCAAGGTTGGTAAAATGATTGTTGGGGGCAATGTGCTGACTCTGTCATAGAGAATGCAGTAAATCACTATGAGGTGGTATATAAGTCTAATTGCTATTGCTATTATTTCAGTATGTATATGGAATAACCAAAGTCTTTGTCAATTAACTTCTCTTTCCCCTCCAGAAATATCCCCAACCTCCTGGGCAGAAGAAGAAACCAATTATGAAATCTGTGATGGGTGGCTTCACTGTCTTCTTACTTGTCTTCATTGTATGGTTTCCACTTCTTATGTCATTGAAATCTGTGGCAAATGTCACCAACCAGCCCCTGGATATTTCTGTCAAAATTACCATCAGTGGTTATGAGGTAACAGAGAGGACAATTGAGAAGAGAACATTTAAAGCTTTTACAAGTACGATAGCTCCATTTCCACTGCTCAATTTAAATCAACTAAAAGAAGAAGGGAGCTATGGGTCTGTGGTTAAGCAGATCCTCGCCTGAAAAAGATTTTTACTTATTAAATTAATAAGGCCTCATTCAGTCTTTGTTATCTCTATCAGAAAGAATTACACAGTTGGTGATGTGGAAGATTTTTCTTCCTGATCAGAATAGATAATTTTTCCCCAACTTGTTCCAAATTTGGGAGCCCATCCTGGAAATTGTAATTGAGCACATCTGAAAAGAATGGGTGGAGGAGATAATGGTCAGCTGGAGACTTAAATGTCTGATAGAAGCCATGATGACATCACAGGTGTCATGATGTCATCACATAAATAACACAAGTTGTGTAATTTGGAAAACAATGCTGTGAAATTCCTGGCCCACACCTTTGGAGCATTATTTGGAGATGAATCCAAAGAGCTGCATTGCTGCATTAGCGCAAGGCTAATATAAGCCAATTTACAAGAGTTAATACAGTGAGTTACATTTCTAGCACAGCAAAAGTTTGTAATGTAGTCTTCATTTTTTTCCCCCCAGTCCTTGTTCACCATGAGTGCTCAGCAACAAAATCTGGTTCCTTTCACTCGTGCAGCATATAACCAATTAACCGCTCAATATGCTCTCTACCCTGTAAGTTTATATGTACCTTTGTATATACACAATATATGTACTTTATTTTCTTAAGTTTTCGCGGGTATTTATATGTATGGCCTTCAGCTTTGTTCGGGTATTTTCCCACGTCATTATAGTTGTGCTTTTAAAGTTGTAGCAACGTTTCGGCAGAATCTCATCTGCCATCATCAGGCTGCTGTGCCAGAATGGTTTTTTCTTCATCCTGATTGGTTGGGAGTCTTGGTCTGAGTTTATTGGTCTTGGAGTTTGCTGTGTTCTGCTAGCATAACTAGCATAGCTAGTAGGCTAGCACCAAATTTAAAACAGAAACGGCTGTGAGTCTGACTCACAGACGAACACAATACAGAAGCCTGATGATGGCAGATGAGATTCTGCCGAAACGTTGCTACAACTTTAAAAGCACAACTATAATGACATGGGAAAATACCTGAACAAAGCTGAATACCATAAATATATGTACTGTATATACACACACAAAGACAATGTGAACTGCAGGGATCATGTTTCCCTGGCATTTTTCTTCCAGTTGCCCCATAAAAACACATTGCAGATTTCAAGGAAATTAATTTAATTTCTATAGTCACCCATCTCAACCAAATGATTCTAGGTGGCTTACAATTCTAAAACAATAAAGCACTTAAAACCAACAGAAACAATCCAAAACTAAATATATACAGCATATATTACAATGTATCTCCAAATTTGGCTTTGTTACTTCATTTTTGAGAAAAATACTTTCCGCATCCCGTTTTACTGTTAATTTCATATTATTCCTGGTTTTAATCCTGGTCTGAGAAACCAGTTCTTGGCCCAGGGTGTTGGTGAGTTCTGATTTAAATTCAATTCAAGCCCTAAAACAACAGAATTATGGAAAAGAAGATGTAACTGAATCAGTACAACAAACTGAACCAACTCTCTTAGGGAGTGTTGTCCATATTACAGCTTTAGAAGCAGGGATAATGCACGTTGTTATTGGTTATCTTCCCTTTTTCAATTACTAGCTGCTTTCGTAATGAAAAGCAGGAGCTGTTGGCTGGAAGTTGTATTCTTCCCCTCCTTTGCATTCAGCGTAAAATGTGTTGGTTACCAGATGCCTGGAAGGAATTTCCCAGGTCGACTGTAGCCTATTTCTTATGCTATCACGTTTTCATAATGAAATAGAAAGCAGGGCACATTGGGGAAGTGGTGTCCTGTTAAATGCATTCAAACTAGCTCTGCTGGCTCCATGCCATGCCATCAATAAATGATTATGGCTTAGCCTACACTCAACCAGCTCACAAAAGTCCAGAAAATGTAACAACTGGATCTCACAATTGGCATGAGACAATTCAGCACGCCACTGGATTGGGACTGTTCACATGTTTCTGGGCTCTCTTGGCATATTCTTGATATATAAAAAAATTCAAACTATGAATAAAATGGTATAATCATAAGATCTGAACATCAGAATTGAAAGATAGTGGCATATACCAGTTGTTGTGATCTTGGCGATTATTGGCCCACTGGCACCTGTCCAAAAAATCTTGAATGACACTTTGAAAATCTGCACATTGACAAAATTTCCATTTGACAATTACAAAAGACAACACTGCTTGGATCTGCATATATACTACACCAATACACTAAGATATCTAGGTTCTTGGGAAGCCAAATCCAGTGTAAGCATCTGATTGACTGTGCAACCAGCCATAATAATAATTGCTGAGAGATGAGTGATACCTAGATAGATACTGATAGATTGATAGATAGATTGATTGATAGATGGATAGATTCATAGATTGATAGAAAATTTGTTGTTGTTTTGAGTTGGCTAGAAACCCTAAGGCCTGCAATTCCAATATCTTTGGAAGTTCTTGGGTTGGGGTAAACTGTGAGTTTTACATTGTGCTTTTAAAACTGTTTTCAAATTTATTTTATTTTCCCTATAGTTTGCCTCGTACTTTATAGATCGGTATAGCCCAGAGGACATTGTAATTGCTAAGATAAAAGGCAATGCCAGCCTGCTCTGGAGCATCAGTCCAGGGAATCGGAAAGCTATGATCGCAGAGCTCTCCAATTCCTCTGCAGTTTATGTCAACTTCCACTGGACACTTACCAGGTAAAAGAAAAACAAAAGAATGTATTTTATGCACATATTGAAGCTAGCTTAGAAAATGAAATACAGTCCTTAGTTATTGCATTAATTTCCTTACATTGTGGCCTGGTTCCCATGTTATATTAGGTTCTTTTTAAACCATAGATGGTTTAACAAGGGACCCTGGCCTGGTTCCTCTGTAACACTAAACAACGTCAAGCAGATTCAGAGGCATCTCTGCGCTTTTCTAAAAAGGATGAAACCAGTATTGTGCTATTGCAACTTAAGCCCTGCCTCTTTGTGAACATTGTGTATGCAATGTGCTGATCTATGTAGAAGAGGTGGGGCTTGCATTATATTCATGTAATGCTGCTTCCATCATTTGTCTGCCCTTGACCCTGTCTACAAACATCTTGAGGTGGTTTCCCAAATTCCACTGAAGCCAAAGCAATCATATTATGATGCAGCATTAGATGTACATCAGACTCGTAATCCTCCTCAAAGGCAAATATTCTTTTCCAAAAAGAGGCGCCCTTCTTAAATCCCTATTCGTTATGCTTTCACAAATATGTACAGTCCAGAAAATATCAGAAAGATGCATCAGACCTTCCCCAAGTGGCTTCTGTGGTGTTAATTTAAGATTATTGTTCATTTCCTTATGAAATCAGGAATGCTTCTCTTGTGACAAATATTGAAGCATCTGGCGTACATACCATGCGATATGGAGAGAAGAAAATAAGGGATCAAATCGTTCACATGCTCTCTGGGACTCGGACTGAACCAATGTAGGTAGTATTTTTTGTTTTAGTCTAAAAGTTCACTCTGGCCAATAACCAGGAATGTCTGCAACAAGTCAAGGTGGTGATGCAATTGCATGATCAAATAATGCAATATCATTATTAGATTTTTTGGGGAAGGCTATTTTTGTATTTCCAGTGTTAAGGCTAATGCTTCTTGGGTTTCAGATTCAAGTTTATAATTGTTTTTCTAGCTTTAGGCACAATGTTTCTTGATCTGGATGGAGAAGATACAATATTTTTGCTCCACTTTAGGCAGTAAAATATGTAGGCTGGATGAGTGTGTTTAAAAAATGAAATTCAGCATTAGCATTGGTTTGGAAGCTTGTAAAAATAACAATGTTATTCTTTTTTCCTTCTCAAGTATACTTCCTGGTGTTCTACCAAAATATCTCAGAACAACTAATGAGGCAGATGCTAAAATAGCAAATAGCTTGAAAGTTGGTAAGTTCTATGATTGGCAGATTAACATGTGCTGTCTACTTTGAGATACTGCCCTGTAATCCAATTTCTAAACTGCTATTAAGAAACAGACAAATTTTATAACTGTTGCTTGGCTGAGTAGAAGCTGGGAGAAGATATAAAGCCTTTTTTGTATTTAAAATCAAATACATATGCTTACCCATCATAGCTAGCTAGTTCCTATGTCTTGAAAAAAAAAGAGTATTTCACATCACAATGAGCTATATTCGTTTGCTTGGATTGGTTAGGGGTTATTGCAATGCATGAAAATCATAGTCAATGTTTAACATCTCATGTGAACTAGATCACTCTAGCTTAATTAGCAAACCATGGTTAAAACAAATTATAATTTAATAGAATGGACGAGCCCAGTTGTAGTAGACTACATTTTTCCTGTGTTTTGAAGCATTTGGTAATAATTGCACACAAATAGGGGGATGCTAGTGTGCTCTATAGTTTTGACTGTACAATCAGAAGATAGAAGATGTGAGTGTGCAAACCACTTTTGACTGTTCATACATAATATTAAATCATCATTTTCAATTTAATAAGTTATAATGCCCTAAAAACCCTAATAAATGGTTTCACATATTCATATGAAAACAAAAGAAAATAGAGCCAATTATAACTTAGCGTTATACACAGCCTAAAGCAGTGTTTTTAAGATTTGGCAACTAAGATATTTTGACTTTAACTCCCAGAATTCCCCAGCCAGAACCCAGTGTTTTGCTCCCTGTCTTATTATAAGATGTAAATAGAATTGAGAGCAGCACAGGCATCTGTTCTTTATCAGGGAGAAAGTGTGGGAAACAGAAATTAACTTGCTTTCAACAGTTCATTCCCAGAAGGTAGAAGACATTGATGCAATGGCCTTCTTCAGAAATATAACCATAAAGCTGCAGCGCTTGCCAGACAAGTCTTCAAGTCACGTTTCTGAATGGTGGATTGTTAAAGAGCAGATACCTCTCTGTTTGGATAACAGATGCAGCAAGAATATGGAGATTATAATTTGTAACGATAAAGTTAGTCCTTCTGGCCTGGGATTCATCAGTGGATATGGGTAAGGATAGTAGAGCCAACATTTCCTGCTCTGACTCCCTAATCAGCCATTGACAGAATTGGAGTTAAATGAACCTGAACGCCACCAACTTGAGGAAGTTGTCCTAGAGCAGGGGTGTCAAACTGGTGGCCCACAGGATGGATGCATCAAGCGCAGGCCCCGCCCACCCCAGTTTCGTGAAGGGGAAAAAATGTCACAAAACGTCTCTTGACGGCAATGTGACACCACAAGTTTGACACCCATGTCCTAGAGATTTAGAGTTTCCTTGGTAGTTATAGCCCACACTTTACAATGTTTTTGAGGTAGTGCTATAGGTGGTTGATCCAAATATGCAAAGGGAGTTGGCAACTTTCTCATAAACTAATGAGAACATAAAAAAGAAATCTCATTATATCACCAATCTTATCTCCAATGTTTTATTTATTCACAAGCTGTAGCATGCAAGCCTTAGAAGTGTTCTAAGTTTCCCACTATGTACAATTTCAAAAAAGGGAGCAGGAGTTGTCAGTTTTTTAAATTATAATGGTTATTTTTATATTGTATTTTACACCCAAATGCTAGCTAATCTGTGATTAAAAAACAAGGGTTAACTTTAAGTACTAAAAATCTAGCCTCTTTAAAGCCTTAGAATAGCTTTGCTCTAGAATAAAATCCTCTGGGAAAACCCCGTTTAGCAATTTACTGAACATAGCTTTTACTTATATTCACTAATAGGAAGCACTACATGACTGGTTTCATCCTATACTGGAACTCATCAGACATAAACAGCCAGATTTTATTCTGTGAGGTTTTAATACTTTACCAGGAATTGAACTCATGGACTGTTCCACTTTAAGACTTTATACAGAAACCATCCAACATTGTAGGAAGAGATAGTCTGTCAGAATGGTATATAAAATCCATGATCGTTAAACTTCCGAGCAGATAAACTTCCGAGCAAAATTCTCCAAGAGAAATTAAAATCATGTAAACATGAGAACATGACCTAATGTAACATCCGTGTGTTTTTGCTTTGAGAGCTTAAGGACAATGGACTGTATATATTATTTTGATATAGTTTTTGTGGTTAACTGTCAGATTCAACTCTTGGATATTTGATCAGGGTTAAGATTTCACTTGCCCAGGAAGCTCAGTAATTCAAAGGCAGGGTACACATACAGATATACAAATTTGGGAACATATGAGAAAGAGTTTGGGCTATAGCGACTTGCCTTGGAAGATAAGTTCAGAGGGCCAGAAACAGGAAAATGCATTTCAAATCTTACACTACTCACTCTGAAACTAACCTTGGCTTTTCTTTTCTCCAAACACCAGCATTGGCGGTCTCTATATGTCGTTTGTTTTGGTTATTGGGAAATTCATCCGACAGTATTTCAATGGTCTCTCACGTTCCATCATGTTCGAAGAGCTGCCCAATGTGGACCGCATCCTGAAACTCTGCACAGATATCTTCTTGGCCAGAGAGGCTGGAGAATTGGAGCTAGAAGAGCAGCTTTTTGCTAAACTCATTTTTCTGTACAGATCACCTGAAACAATGATCAAATGGACCAGAGAACACAAGGAAAAATAAAAAGCAGCATGGACGGGAGATTACCACTAAGAAACTCTACGAAAAACAGGGCCTGCACTTGGGAGTTGGGCATCACTTCACAGGACATCAAGGCAATGTTGTTTTGGTGTATTGAATATTTAATCTACATTGTGGAGGTGTGCAACTACATGTAAGATTTAATATCCAGGGTGTGATATGCAGTTTTATATTGCACAGAGATTGGAATTTATAATGCTGTACAGTGATTTGGGCCAGGGGAAATCCTCAGTAAATGTTAACTGCTCCTATGATCCCCCCCCCTTTTAATTGTATGCAGTCTGATTCCAAATTACCAATTCAATTCAACAGGGCAGTAAAGTTAGCAATGAATTAGGAATTATGTCTTTGTCAAATAATTGTGGCATGAACAAAATAAAATGTTACATAGGCATACAAATAAAATAAAACACAGAATGACTTTGCCCTAGGAAAATAAGTGTCTGCCTGAAGGTTAAAAGGTTTTCTAAATAGTGACAGCACTTCAATAATAGAACCAATTCTATCTATAAAGATAGTAACTCCCTTTTGCTGGATATATTCAAGCAGAGCATCTGTCATAAGTGCTACGATTCCTGCAGTGGATGCTTAGTTGGATATCATGGTCTTGGTAGTCCTTACTCATTGACACTAAGGTTTTAATGTTAGTAATGGGTTAAAAGACAGAGTGACTTTCCTAGCATGATCCCACTTTAGGCCTTTGACACAAAAGGTATAATAAAAATGCATTCCAGCCAATCCAGCTCTTTGTTTCCAGAAAGGACTGGCCAACCAGAGACCCCATGGAGGTGCCAAGAAGAGCAAGAGAAATTGCTTTTCTTGGAACCTCCATGGTTTCAATTGCTCTCATGACTTACTCATGAGACATTAACTGCTTCAGCTGCATTTAGCTGCCTTCCATCAACATAGCAATCTGTGTATCTTCAATTCTTCCATAAATTTCTCTACCATCTTTGGAACACCTTCAGGAATTAGCCAAAAAATGCATTGTAAATCTGATTTAAAAACCCAAACAATGTTGAAACAAGAGAAGCTTTATTCTGGCGTGGTTACCTCCCACAAGGTCTTTAATTCTAAACATTAATGTAATTCATCAGCACAAGCATGTTAAGAACTTCATGGAGATGTGCACTGGGTCACACTAATAAAATAATCATGCAAGAAAAGCATGTGGGGGAGTATTTTGTTTAAAGCTTATTTTTAAAGAAAGAGATTAAGGCTTCCATTAATGTCATGGGAGACAGCAGAGTCCAAAGTGATTGTTATCCCAAGATTGCCACCTTACAACTTAAGCAGGTGTTGGGCTTCACATTTCCCAGTGTGATGCAGGGCAAGAGAGACATTGTTTCTTCCAAATCTTCCCTCTTTAGTTCCTGCTTACCGACCTGCAGGGGACAAAAATGCAGACTGAGATGTCCAAGAAGCAGAATGTCTGGAAACAGAGTGCCTTTAACCATGAAGTATGTACTTGGTCACAACTTTAAGATGTGTGGACTTTAACTCCTAGAATTCTCCAGCCAGCCAGGTTGAAGTCTACACATTTTAAAGATGCCCAGATTGAAAAACACTGGTCTAGACTAGGGGTCACCAACCTTTTGGACTTCAGGGACCACTAAACTTATAATTTTAAATCCTGCAGACCAGAGACCCTTGGAAAATCCCCAAAAAAGTCTGCAGGAAAATTACCCACCCCGTTTTCCTACAGATCGATAATTGGGAACTCAGAATCGCGGAGGGGGGGGGGGAGAGAGACTTTTGGCTTCATGCAAGGAAAGCAGCAGAAGCTGCAGAAGTCTTTCTTTCTCTCCTCCAAACTCCGCCAGAAATGAGTCTTTGCTGGTGCAGCCCCTTGGAGCAGGAGGCCTTGCAGGGTCCCAAAGACTCATTTCTGGCAGAGTTTGGGGGAGAGAAAGAAAGGCTTTTGCTGCTTTCCTTGCATGCAGCCAAAAGCAGAAGGAAGTGGAAAGAAGCAGCCAGGTGGCCAGGCGAGGCACGTGGGGTGAGTGGGGCAAGTTCCCCCCTCTGCCTTTTCCCCCCTCCCTTCACTACCTCGTGTTGCTCGCAATGCGATGGAAGCCTGGTGTTCCTGAGGGCCATGTGGGCGGTGCAGCCTTGTGTTCCCGCACAGCCTGGATTAATTGCTTTGGGGGTGACATTTCACTGCAGACCACCAACATTTTCTCAAGGGCCACCCTCCCGGCCCACTAGTTGGTGACCACTGGTCTAGACTGTATGGTGACAACTGTGTGGTGTTTCCCCCTCTACTTTATATATTGTGAAAGACAAGGGGCTAAGGAAGCCCTGACAAGAGTGAGAATCCAGAAACTAACTAAAAAAACTCTATAGGAAGTAAGAAATCAAGCAGTTGTTATTAATAGGCTCAGATAGTTTTTGAAAGAGAAGAGATGAGAAACATTTCTTGGCCCTCCTCAACAAGGGCTGCTGGGAGCTGCAAAGCTGTTACACATTCGCAAAAAAAAAACTGTAATGCAAACCATTCTTAGAAACCAGTAGAACTGGACTTTTCATCATCAGGGAAAACCAGAATACAAGCAACCACAACTTTTGTGTCTATTCTCTTTTTACACTTGAAATGGCCATTTCTGACACATGCTATTTTAGGATTAGGAAATTGATCAGTGCAAAGTGAGGTAATTCTGGCATGCCAGCTCCAAAATAGGGAGAGGAGGGGAATTAAACTAAGCGCCGTCTCTTGCTATCTCTCCCCATGTCGTCTTCCAAGGAGTCTCCGCTGCAGCCCAATGGTGAGACCATATTCAGCAGAGGGTCTTCAGAGGCACGCCCAAAGAGTGACAGCAACAAAGCCACACCGTAGCCAGTGGCTCTCTCTCCCTAGAGGCAAACAGAAAGGCATCTCAGATGGTTAGCCTTTGAGCCCAAAACACACACAAAACACTAGGAGAAAACTCTGGACACTGATGCCAAATGTCCATTCACACAAGCAGCTTGTTTGGGACTGGCTCAGGCTATTGTGTGAACCAAAACCACTTGGGTTTATTCAGTAAATTCTAGTTATCCAAATGTAGCATAAAGGGTGCACACCTGAATCTACAGTTACATTTAAAAAAAAGAAAATATAATGAAGCACATCTGTCAGTCAAACAAGTCCCTTCTTCTCAAGAGAGAAGAAACTTTAGGGAAAAGGATTCAAGAAAGATGTAAAGACCAACCACTGCTTGTTAAAAGAAGTAAAATGCAGAAAGCATCTGTAACATCCACAATATTCCATTGTAATTTTTTTCTTATTGTAACTTAGGAGTTACCACTGAAGAACAAACAATTGTTTAAATTTTTCCTAAAACTAATATAAAGAAATCCTACACACAACTCCCGAGAAGAATATTTTATAATATTTTCAAAGAATACAGCATGATTGAGTTTGCTGAACCCCCAAAAGACATCCATGCAAACACCAGGGAAATCTTGAATGCTTTAAAGATTGATACAGGTAGTACTTGACTTCCAAGTGTTCGTTCAGCAACCATTTGAAATTGTAATAGCGCTAAAAAGTGATTTACAACCAGACCAACTTCCCCACAGTCACATGATCATAATTCAGGCATTTGGCAACTAGAATGAATTTATGACAGTTGTGTGTCTCAGGGTCATGTGATCACCATTTGTGACCTTCCCAACCAGGTTCTAACAAGCAAAGACAATTGGGGAAGCTAGATTTGCTTAATGACATGATTCATTTAACAACTGCAGTGGTCCATTTAACAACCATGGCAAAGAAAGGGTTGTAAAATTGGGCAGAACTCACTTAACAACGGCTTTGCTTAGCAATGGAAATTCGGTTGCCAACTGTGGTCGTATATCAAGGACTATCTGTACCACATTCCAAAAGCCATCTGCAAGCCTGTGTATTTCTTTAAGCAATGGAGTATTCCCAATACTCGATTCAGGTGAGAAGCTTACAATTACCGCCAGTTATGATTTGAATGTACGGCTTTTAGTTTCCAGAAAACTGTCAAGGACAGTCATAGATGCAACCAACTCAGCAGTCAATCCAGAACCATGAAATCACATAGTGAGACTGTATGTATTAATTAGATAAAAGAATAGAAAAAACAAATGGGAAAACAGTTACAGTGGACATAACATTAGAGGGGGAAAAAACCCTGTGTTTTATCATAATTGAAAGAAACAAACATTTATGTATCAGGAAAAAGTTTTTGTCAAGGACGTAAATAACTGGGACAAAGCTCCAGAAAGACAAGCAGCAGACAGAGCATTAAGAAAAATCTTTTTTACTCACCGCATGGACGGGAGCTGCAATATCTATGTGGACCCAAACACCAGGCCAATCAAACCCGATGTGTGAAGCAATGAAAAGTCCAGCACAGGAGCTGGGGGAGTTATCCCGGTCCTAAAGAAAAACACAACACAGGGGAGCTGCCTTTAATTCATTTCAGTCTGCTTTAGAATAGCAGTTCCCAAACTTTGCAGCTTAATGGCTTGGTTGGGGGGGTGGGGGGGAGAGACCAGACCCCGTGTCAGTGGCAAGCTGGCACACATGTGCATGCACATGCAACTCGACTGCAAGTTGAGCTTGCATGTATGTGCACCAGCCAGCCACTTGCGTGAGTCAAGCTGTGTGTGTGTGTGTGTGTGTGTGTGTGTGTGTGCACCGGCCCACCACATGTGAGGCCTGGTTGTGAACAGGCCACGGCCCGGCAGTGGCCTGTGGGTTGGGGACCCCCTGCTTTAGAACATCAAATTTAAAACTGAGACATGGACTTCTGCAGAGATGAGTAAATATACTCATCAGAGAATAGGAATGTGCAATATCAGCATTTGCAGGATGACAACATCAGTCTGCCATCACTGCAAAATGCTACAGTTTGCTATGGCTCCTAAAGCAGAAGAATCCTATAGAAGAATCCCATTTTCAAAATCCTTCAGGCAGTGTAGTTGGAGATCTGGAATCTTTTTTTCAAATTTTCCCCCTCCCCTGCCTTTTTTCATGGTTGGCCTTATACATAAAATAATCTGATTTTGAGGAGCCGTTAGCCCACACAATACAGGATGCACAATACATTTGCAAAGCTACTATCTAAAAAAACAAAAAAACAAAAACCATGTTGTAAAAAACCAGAGGACAGAAAACAGCCTGGCAGTTGACATTACAAATTATAAATTGATAAATTATTATAAATGAAGCAAACCTACTGCCACTGAGTTCTTCATGTCGGCTACAGCTGAGGTAAATTCACTAAAATGGAGCTCTGGGCAATAGACGAGGGGGTGAATCAGATCACCACAGTTTCTGCCTGCTTTGATACAGGCCTGTTCCCACTCTTCGTTATTGGTGAGGACAGCCGCGTGGTACTTCCCGGTGGCGATTCCCTAGAAGGGGTATAAGGGCAAAAGGTAAAAGCAGAAGTTATCCGAATGTGCACTTAGAAGTGTTTCAGCCAGATGCCTCGCCATGCACTGGGGTTAAGAGTTCCTCCTTCTTTTTCAGATGCTGAAAACGTGATGGGGAGACAGAGAATGTATCTCTGTATCCTCTGTGACCTGTAAAGAAGTCGGGATCCTTACTCTGAAAGGATGCTGTAGGTAAATCAGGGGGTTCCCGAACTATTGGTGACCTAGGAAACATAGGTTCAGGATTTTTGTTCCCTGGGAGTTGTTGGGAGTCAAGCAATGGCAATAGCACCTAGACTATATATACTACTCCACAGTGCTTTACAGTCCTCTCTAAGCAGTTTACAGAGTCAGCATATTGTCCCCTACAATTTGGGTCCTCATTTTACTGACCTTGGAAGGCTGAGTCAACCTTGAGGCAGTAAGAATTGAACCTCTGACAATCAGCGTTGAATTCATGCAATACTGCATTCTAACCACTGCGCTACCGTGGCTTTTATATCCTGTTATATGTTAAAGAACTAAAATAAATAAGCAGCATATAAGTGTGTGTGTGTGTGTGTGTGTGTGCATGTATACATATATACATACATTTAATGAACTACTGTTAATGTTGAGAGATGCTGTCCTGTTTCTTCACTAAGCTATTGTACAGGTAGTCCTCAACTTACAACTGTTCGTTTAACGACTACTCAAAGTTAGAAGGGAGCTCAAGAAAATGATTTATGACCAGTCCTTGCACTTATAACTGCTGCAGTGCCTGCGATCGTATGGTTATCATTTGCAACTGTCCCAGCTGGCTTCCAAGAAGTCAATGGGGAAGCCAGCAGAGAAGACTGCAAAATACGATCACATGGCGTCTCGTTTAACAGCTGCAGGGGTTCACTTAACGAATGAGACAAACATTTAATCAAATTGGATGTGTGGTCACATGGTGCCTCACTTAATGACCACACTGCTTCATGATGAGTTTTCCAATCCCAACTGTGGTTGTAAATTGAGGACTACTAGCAAGAACATGATGTTATTCTGAATGACAGGATATGAATTGTTAATTACAGTGCAAACCATACAAGTAACAATTCCCCCCTGCTTCATCCTGCCATTATTCTCTTGATATTATTAACCAGATCAATGATAGCTTTTTTGCATTTGTGGAAGAACCTTCGTTTCAAACTCTGCTGAGTCTCTCGGGAAGGACTTCGCACACAAACTCGTGCAAGCACCATCTCCCTTGGGTGGGGTGTCAGAAGGATCTCTCCCCACCCCCCTTCAGCTTAAAGCAGAATGGAGGCAAGCAATGCTATTTATGTGTTCACCAACTGTACCTGAGCACCTGTGAGAGTGGCCATGTCAAGAATGATGTCAGCCCCAAGGTCTTTGCAAGCATAGGAGACGCCGTCAGCAAGCACCAGACGCCCCTCTGCATCGGTATTGTTGATTTCCACAGTTCTTAGAAAGAGGCAAAAGGCGGTAATGGTTCATTTATATACAACCACCACCCAAGTTAGTGTTAACATTCCTACGTTAATTTCACAGGCTTCCTTTCTTGTGGTAAGCTGTGTTTTTAATATAGTAGCGACAGAATATTTATTTATGAGATTTAGAGGTCATTTGACCCAAGTATTATTCTGGGCAGCTTACATTAAAAATAGAAAACAGATTTAAAAAGAAGAAAATCCCATATCAGCAAATGCATCATCTATAGGGCTATGCAAACATCCTACCCCACAACAGTGAAGTTGTTAAAGATTTTCAGAACATCATTAGGGTGGTAACAAAGTGGTGCGGTGGCCTAGAGGTGGAGCTCTCGCCTCACAATCGGGAGGCTGTGAGTTCGATCCTACGTAGAGGCAGATATTTCTCTCTGGGCACAATGAGAATATATCTGCTGCGAACTCCACATTGGTGACAGGAAGGGCCTCCAGCCAGTAAACACTCAGCTTCACTCAGTTGCCCCGACTCCACCCCAATGTAAGGGATCATGGGGTCTTTAAAAGACAAAAATAAAATAAAAATAGGGTGGCAGCTATCTATATGGTAATTTTGTTCAAGGGGGCTGGCACCTCCATTGAGAGGCATTCACGGCATTGTTTGATTAAAGAGATGTGGGCTCTTTCAATTATTTGTCCAAGTAAAAGCCAACCAGAAAAGGAAAATTTAAAGATTAATGTGGAAAAAAAAAAGATTCCCAATCCTCCCTCCCTCCTTCCTTTATCCTGTTTTTCAACCCTGGTGAGTACTGAAGGAACCTAACAAAATTAAACAATCACAAAATGAAAAATAGAAAGCAGGTGGAAAATTTATTTCATGAAGCAGCAGAGACGGTGAGCAGATTGAACTTACTTTCCCGAGTAAAGAACGTGAATGTCATCAGGTCTTGTTGCATTTGGTCCAACAGAATTCTCAGCCAAGCAAAACACTGCATGAAGGTTGTCTTTAAAGCCCTGTTACAGGAAGAAAAAGAAGACATCAAATGATGGATCAATGAATCCAACCAGCACCTCTCTAGGAGACACAGCTCCCTCCCTTAGGTTTCTTTTTTCTTCATTTTTTTTTCTCCTTTTAAAATTTGTTGGTTATCTGCTTCAAAACAGCTTTTGGGAATGGAAGGCATACAAAGAAATGTAAAATGTCCATGTACCATAGCCAAACTATAGATATATGCCTGTGCATTTTACAGTATCCCTGGCTCAAGTCATGCAAAAATACTAGACAGCACATTACACAAATAGAGTCACACATGTGCATGCACACACACACTGCCCTCCAACTTACACATTTAAGCCCACTTTATAGTCTGTTTCTATTGCTCCCCTCTGGGAGGAGGTTTCAAACTATTTCTAGCAGGACTACCAGATTCTGTAACAGCTTTGTCCCCTATACCATCTGTCTGATAAACTCACAATATGTTTTTCTTGCCCTGTATATACATACATCTGAACTAGACTGTGTTGTTTCTCTGGGTCATGTATATGTGTGTATGTGGATATATAAATATTTTTTTTGTTATGTTTATATAGTTATAGATTGGAGTTGGTTACCCTTTGAGAGCTGTATGCAACTAAATCTCGTTTTAATGTATATACATTTAATATTAATATACATTTAAAGTGACAATAAAGTTATTCCATTCCATTCTATATTCTATATGCTGTTCTATTCCTATTCCTATTCCTATTCTATTCTATTCTTATTCCTATGCATACAACATACAAGTTAAGATTAAAAATTATAGGCAAAATTAACATACTACCAAAACAATACTAGAAATTAATATAAGCAAAAATTAAATATAGAAGAGCTTAGATAAGAAAAGTTAAAACTGAATTGTTATCAAAAAGTCCCTGTTTTTAAAAAAAAGCTGAATCTACTGAATTTGGTTAACTTGGAACACATCCCTTTATCTTCCCTCCTTTTAAATGTAATGTTTAAAAAACTTGAAAGCATCTCTCTTATGTTTTCATTTGGCTTGATTTGGAGAGATCTAAATAATTAGCTTTCACTTGAGGAAGGTTCACTAGGGACTGCTAACAAACTTTTGATACAACTCCTTTTTCTAACAGAGATGCTGTTTAAAGCAATTGCCCAGGAAAATGCTAATTTAACATTTAAGTTATCTTCTGACCAATTTTCTTGGCTGGCCTACTGTTCATTAAATTATTGCAGAGAATGTGTTTACAGATCTGGATCCCCAGGCAGTTGGTGTAAGGGATAAAGTGCATCAGAGCTGCCAGCAAGCTTCACAGCAATAGGATTTACTGTGGGAATGAAATTTCTTCCGTATTTCTTTTTAGAAAAAAAAGTCTTCAATAAGACTTCGAATGTCTGAATATTCCAACCCTTGTGTTTTCACTGTCTATTCCATCTATCCTCCATATCTGGGTGATAAGTAAAAATCATGTAACATTCAATTTTATGTAATGATCAGCAACGAATAATTTTGCATCTGAATTTTTTCCTATTAATTGAGTGTGTTTACAATTAGCATATTCATCTCAGGATCCAATCTGCTCCACTGAATCATTTGATGTAAAAATATTGATCCTAGTCCTATCTGGGGAATATTTAGAGAAAAGGAAATGAAGGTGTGACCGGCAATAAACTGTTATACAGCTTTGATATTGTCAAACTTGACCAAGTGGAAAATATTTGGGCTCACATCTTTGTGACTTGTTTGGTTCAGGTGCATGGGATTTAATTTCTGAAGTCAACATTTGTACAGAAATGCCAGGAAGGACAAATCTAGCAAAGAGAACAACCCCACTTTCATACATTCCCAAACTGCAGCAGAATGAAGAAGATAGAAGATGATACTCTATGGCAGGGGTGTTAAACTCAAGGCCCGGGGCCCGGATCCGGCCCATGGGGTGCTTACTTCTGGCCCACAGGACCGCTCTGGAAACAGCGAAGGACCGGCCCATGGTGCCTCTGCCAGTGAAAATGGGATTCCTGCGCTCCGTTTTCAGTGGCAGAAGCTTGCAGGAGGCCACCGTAGCCAAAAATGGAGCTCAGGAACCTGTTTTCACTGGCAGAGTGCTCGGGCCACCACAGGTGCCCCCGACATGAGTGAGCTGTCCATGCCCACCCCAGCCATGCCCCCTCACCCAGGTCAAACACAACTCTGATGCGGTCCTCCATGAAATCAAATTTGACACCCCTGCTCTATGGATGAGAAGGAGCTTAGTAGAAAGGCATGTGCTTTGTTGAAATCCCAAATTCAATCCCTTGGATTTCCATGTAGGGTTGGGGGAAAATTATTGTCTAAATCTGATAGCATGGCTCCTGCCAACCAACAGGGGAGGTGGATGGACTCAAGAGCTTGGTCCTAAAGATAAATTGAGATCAAGAGAAGGGAGCAGCTGGTGGCTTCCTTCCAACTTCGTATGTTGTTCCCAGGGGTTCCCAGCAGAGCCAGAAGTCAACACAGTGATTTGCTGAATCTGACTTCAACCGAAGAACACACACAGACAAGCTGAGAGCACAGTGACAATGAAAATGGCCACTGCGCATCTTGAACATGCCTCTATATGAATTTTAGGGGAAATGGAGCCTGGAAGCAAAGATTCTTCTTAATAGAAGGAACAAAATAATGAACAAATCATAATTTGGCATATTTATCAGATTAGATTTCCTTACTGAGAACTTCAAATATGCTTTATAGTTCATACTTCTATACTCCATCACACAAGACTCACAGCTTAACCGGAAGTGTCAAGCTGAAGATAAGGAAGTTTTCATTTTTTAGAGAGGGGGTGAGAATTAAGGTTTCTCTGTTGCAAGGTTGAAATTTTGAAATGTAGAACTTTGGAAGATTCTTTTTTCTTCATTTATAGACATACTGATTGCCAAGTATGCACATAATGTTATTGAATGGATGCTACGTTTTTGATGACATTACTTTAATTGCTGTGCTATTGTCATCTGGCTGAATTTGTGCATATATTGTATATGTATTCTACTGATTTACATTCCATTTGATTTTTTACCGTGACTTTCTTTGTAAGCCATTCCAGATGCCTTCCTTGTATGAAAAGGGAAAAAAAAAACCATGCACACAGTATTTAGAATTACAATAAAATCAAATCAAATGTCTACAGGTGTGCAGAACTTTTCAAATTCTCCAATGATGTCCCAACTTTATCACAAGCATTTCAAAGTGAATGTGAAAGATATCCTATATTGAAACACTACTTGCAAAGTTCATTTAGAACTGTGAATATATGGCTCCATGACTTGGATGAGATTTGGAGAATTGTGTGCATGCATTCATATACACAGGACCTGAGTATCCATGTTACCTCTAGCCAAAACAGTTTCTTTACAATCTGAGGAAAAGGGATTATAGGCAGTTCTCAACTTACAACCAAAATGGAGCCTGCCCTTTAACTTTTTTTGTGGTGGTCATTAAGCGAACATCAGAGTTATTAAGTTAACCCCCTTGTTTACTATGGGTCAGATTCAGATAAAGTATCTTCAAAAACCCCAAAAGGCCATCTCTGAGGCAGATGGGTGATTAAGAAACACGAAATATAAATCAATCAATCTCATTATTGCCAGATGGCTTAACCATAGATAGTTAATACCAACTTTCTTCAGTGATCCACAGAATTTCACTTACTTGTTTCACAGTGGCCTTGAAGGCACCCAAAATAGCAGCAGCCCCACCACAGTCTCGTTTCATTCCAGGCATTGTTGTCTAGCAAAATAAAAGCAGAAATGCAAGCATTTATCTCAAAGCCATTGAAGGACAAAGTATCCCCGGCTAACAGCTGCACGTCCTTCTTCTCAAAAGCGAAGTGCAACAAGTTCAGTGGAACTTCCTCCAACTCAAGGTACCAGATGTGACCTAAAGACAACATTTCCATCTCTTCCTTCCATGCTTATCTTTGCCTCTCCTTCCTTGTCAAAATTTAGTCTGAAATGGTTAAGGGTAAGTATAAATCCTAATTTGTGATGCTGCTGCATATTTGACCAACTAATTAACTAATGCCAGTTAGTCATCAGTTATGCTTTCGGTTTAGATGTCGAGGGGTAGATGTGAGTAAGGGAAAGGAGAACATTTCTTGGAGTCCATTTAACTCATGGATATTAGAGTAATCTGCCAAGTCTTTCCAGGACTCTGAACTTACCTTTCCTTTGATGCTGAGTCCTCCAGTGTCATAGACAATGCCCTTTCCAACCCAAGCAATAGTCTGGGTGGCTCCTTCTGGGGTATGACTGAGCACAGCCAGAGCGGGTGGGTGAATGGCTGCTTTCCCAACCCCATAGATGCCTGGAGAAGAAGGAAGATACTACGAAATTATTATCTCTCTCTCTCTCTTTCCTTCATCAGTCATGTGGTTCATTTTGCAACCATTTTGCTGAAATCAATTTCAGTCACTACACTGTACTTTAAGCATGATATCGTCAGGTATCGTTGTTCTACTTAAGAGATGGGTAGAGGGACTTGTAAAATACATGGCAGGAGCTCAAAGAGTTGCAACAAGTCTGTAACATCTTTGAGGTTCTCCCATGCTCCTCACTTTCCTATTTTTAAAGTTGTTCTACAAGCCTTAAATTTCTGAACAGCATCAGACAAATTTTAAGAATTAAGTCTAGAACAATGACCAGTGAAATCTTATTTGAGATTTCAAGACCCAAGACCCAAATCATTAGAGGATTTTGAAGAAGCAGGATAAAGAGCATTGATGCTTTTGAAATTTTGTGCTGAAGACTCTTGATAATCCCATGGTAGTTAAGAAAACAAACGAATGGATCACTGAACAAATCAATCAATTGGAATTCCTGGACCAAGTTGTAAGTAGATTTTTAAGGAGTCTGTTGTAGCTTTGAACAGTCACTAAGCAAGGTCTACCTATAGACTGACTTGACGTTACATGATCAATCAATGACTTTGATCAACAGAATGAGGAAGGGGTTGAAATCATAAGATGCCAGTCTTCCCTAATCAGGCTAGGACTACAGTTCTCATCCAGCACAGCAAACTCTTAAGAACTCTAGTGCCATCTGGGAAAGGCTGAATTAAGAAATAATTCTCTAGGGTATAGGAGGAGGAGAAAGAAAGAAAAATAAATTTTACTGCTTTGACTGACCTCCAAATCCTTTCTCCTTTAGTTCTTCATTTTGAAAAATAGTTGGCACAATCCCCAAATCCTTTCCCACTTTTCTGATTTCCTTTCAAAAAAAAAAAAAGTGAAAGAAGGCATCACTTGATCATCATCAAATGACCAATCGCTTTCAACAATGTTGAAAACACAAAACCATATTGTAAAGTCCAACATTTAAGCTATGTCATTGCAACTCTCGGGCCTTACACACCCAATTCCCCTGGGTCCTTATTACAGGGTTTCTTTGCAAGAAAGGCAGAATTCTCTCACCTGAGAGCTTTTTCTTTCTACCTCATTTATCATCTACTCCCTGTATTTCACCCTCAGATGTCATTTTGTTGCAAAGCCAATAACTTGTGAGTTGCTGCTGATCCATTTTACTTGCTGGTGGGGACTGTTCCTGCCTCTTCACTATAGTCCCCACTCTCTCGCCCTTTTGACAAGGGCAAGGTCTTGTCTACCATGGTCAGTTAAAAATGATGGACTTTAAGGGCCATTGGGCCAATAATATCATTTCTACTCTGCAGTGTTGAGTTGCCATGTGAAAAAGGATGTGCTGAAGCACGCACATCTATCTAGAAAAAAAATTAAATAATCCTTACTAATATTACAGATCAATATTTTTCATTTTAAAAAATGTGGGGGTATGTATGAGAAACTTTAGAGGCCATAACAGGTCCTAACAGCAAGGAGTCCCCATATGCAGTGAAATTATAATTTCTACATGGGGGATTTTACAGTATTTTTCCATTGTTATTATGGAGAACATTTGGTGGGAAAGCTGCTTTGAAAGAAGAAGGCTTATCATTTCTGTTCTGATTTTAAGAGAAAGCAGTATGGAAAAATCTCTGATCTTGAGTGATTAGGAATGGCAGAATTATAAACTATTATCCTGAAACAATTTAGAAGTTCAACAGTAGGTTCTACTATGAAATAATGAGGCAGCCACCCTAGGCGGTTTGTTTAAGAAATTAGAAAAGGGCAAGCAAATTAATATTTTGGTTAATTTTCTATCACTGGCACCTCTCCTCCAATCTCAATCAATTCTGTTGGTTGGACAGTTATTATTCATTAGAAGTGCTTTAATGCTGCTTCAAGTGTTTTATCTCTAAGCTTCTCACAAGCAGCAAAAAACAATGTTAAGAATTACAATCCTCATAAAACAAATCAAAGTTATAAGAATATTATAATGGAATTCAGTCACAATAATTCAAATCCTATAATCAAAAACATATCACCACCTACTTCAACTATTCATACCTCAACACACACTGAACAAGTTTTCAAATGTCTCTTGGGGCTCCAATCTGGTATCTGTGGTGCCAGTGGGGCCTTCTTGGACCCAGCACTGGAAGATATATTAGTGCAGGAGAAGAGGACATAGAGTTTGGGGACAGAGTTAAGCATTAAGTTTAGAGTCCTTGTATTCCCACAAATGGATTAATATCAGGCGTAAAGAATCAGGACTATTCATAAGGTTAGAACATTTAATTATTCAAGCCTATACACAGGAATTTGGTCAACTAAATAAAGTTCAGCATTAAATTGGTGCCAGATAAGGATCAGCCAAATTCAGAGGAGGACGGACCATGTGTGGGAACATAACGATTCTAAGCTCTGCTTCATAAAACTAAGTTTGTAACTGTGAATTATTTCAGGATAAAATAGTAAGTAAAGACCTTCACCCTTTTGAGCTACCAGGAAAAAAAACAAGAGTTCGGTAGATATAAAAATGAATCCTACATAGCATTTTTCAAATTCACTGGAAAAATACCAATGTTTGAAAGGCATCACCAACCTCCAGGAACTTGTCAGTGTTCATTTCATTGCAAGGGGTGTCAACGATTCGAGCTGCCAATCTAACCCCTTCTGTTGCACTTTCTAGACACTAAAAGAATAAAAGAAATAAAGGGAGTCTGTGTTGGCGGAGTTTTGTTTCATCCAAACAGTGCATTTTTACTGCCCATAGACTTTTACAAATGGATTATCAGGGGTGGGCTGCTAGGGGTTCGCGGGGGTTCAGGAAAACCTCTAGCTAAGATTCTTCACAGTTCGGAGAACCCCCCAAATCCCACTCCTGGCTGGCCTACCCCTTCCCTCCTCCCCTCCCAGGAGTCCTCACATGGCCCATTTTGGATGCACGTAAGTGCAGGGTGCCCACGGAGGCTCGGGGAGGGCAAAAAACAGGCTTCCCAGAAGTTTGGGAAGGCTGAAAACGGGCCTGTTTCCAGCTTCCAGAGAAAGCCTCTGGAGCCCGGGGAAGCTGTTATCGCCCTCCCAGAGGCTTGAGGAAAGCCTTCGGAGTCCGGGAAGGAAAAATGCTCGTGTTGGGGATAATGGGTGTTATCATCCAACGTCTCTGCAGGGTATCTATTCAGGAAATGCGAACTTCTACATGTAGGATGTTATATTCGAAAAAGCTTGTTGATGGTCATTTTTTGCAACCACTGATATGTTTGATATGTGCACATTTTAATTTCATTGTTCATTTTAATGGCAGGTTGGACCATGCCCTGGTGGAAGAGATCAGCACAGCTGGTCCTCACTTAAGGATCATGTCAGCCTTCAGGATTTTCTTCCTTTGCTTTGCATCTTTCGGCTGTCATTAAGTAACGGGGGGAGGAGGGGGGACATGATTATGGGAAGCGAGCTGGAGGATTTTACAAAACAGAACTGTATAAATTGGGGTGGGGGGCCAAGGTTCTTGCTTAGGCTTCTATCTTATGCTACGCACAGCCACAACTCTATCAAAATATGTCAAGGTCAATGGACAGAGGCCTCATCACCACCTGGAGATGCCCACATGATGTGGTACACAACTTTTAATTGGATGAGCCAATTGAACTATTGGGGGTGGGAACGTTGCCATCACTTTGTATATGTGATTTATGTGCTCATTTTCTCAGATTCAGAATTCTTTTGTTGCTACCGCTTGATTTCCAGTAAAAGATATCTTTTCTCTAAATAATGGAGTCTTGAGTATTTCTTTCTTGGATTTTGAATGGAGCACCATCTGACAGATCACTAGTGCAGTGACTGAACTTGAGACAGCGCTGAACAAATGGTAGTCATGACTGAACCTCGAAGTTCTAGCTGTTGCAGAGCCTCCCCAGTCATGTGATTGCAGTCTGGTCACTTGGCAACTGGCTTGGATTTCTGACCATTGCCGTGTCCTACAATCATGTGATCACAATTTGAGATTTTTCCTGTCAGCTTCCCAGTAGCAAAGTCAATGGGGAAGTTGGCAGGAAGTTGGACATTGCAGTCATGTGACTTCATCCATAATGATTTGCTTAGTAACGGCAACCGGGCACTGCGAAAACTGCCGACGCCAAGTGGCACAGTCACTTGATGTCATGCTTTACAAATGCATTGCTTAAAGGTAAAGGTTCCCCTCACACATACGTGCTAGTCATTTCCAGCTCTAGGGGGCGGTGCTCATCTCCATTACAAAGCCGAAGAGCCAGAGTTGTCCGAAGATGCCTCTGTGGTCATGTGGCTGGCATGACTAAACGCTGTTACCTTCCCACCAAAGTGGTCCCTATTTTTCCACTTGCATTTTTTACATGCTTTTGAACTGCTAGGTTGGCAGAAGCTGGGACAAGTAACGGAAGCTCCCTCCATTACACGGTGCTAGGGATTCGAACTGCTGATCTTTCTGATGAACAAGCTCAGCATCTTAGCCACTGAGCCACCGCGTCCCTGGTTTTGGTTCTGGTTCCAATTCCTGTAGGTAAGTGAGGATTACCTGTAAATAATTTGTTTGTAATCTGAAGAACTCTCTGGAAAATGTCAACTTACTTTCAGCATCTCGACTTCTACTGGGCCATTGTTCTGCCCAATTAAGAAAAACTCCACAACCACTGTCTTCTTCTCCGTACGTCTAGATGAACTGGAGCGAAGGGTGAAAAGTGGGAAGGCCCGAGCTATGGCACAAGCTGAAGCGAAGACCTCTGAGCGCTCACATACCATCTGAAATAGATAACCAACACTGATTAAAAAAAAAACAACAAGTACGTTGAACTAGTTTTCACTTAGATAAAAGGAGTTTAATCCATGTTTTTCAAACTTCTTCCCTGGAACCCCTGAACCCCACAAGAACCCGGTGATGCAAGAGACAAAGAAAAACCAAAATATTCATTTTGTAACACAAGAGCAATGTTTTTTTTTTTAGCCTGGGCAGATTTAAGGAGTACGACCTTCAATTCTCAGAATTCTTCAGGCAACATGTCTGGGTAGGGAATTCTGGGAGATGAAATCTACATATCTTGAAGTTGCTCTGGTAGAAAAACACTACGCTAGAGCTTTGCTTTTTGGTCAGCAATTCTGAGGATGAAAAAAAAAAGAATCAATGGGCTCTGTAGCTTGAAAAAGCTTCAAAATCCCTTCTATCATCTTACACACTTATACTTGGAAAATTACAGCCTTAGGAGTAATTTTCATCAATGGCTTTTGAGTTGCAATGAAGCTGGAGACAATTATTTTGTTCCATTTCCCTTCTGTGTCTCTAGACACAGAAAGCAGGCTAAAAGATTAAAATAAGCAAAGCATTATGATGGATGGCTAATTTCCTGGAAGAATGATAATTGCTTTGTTGTTATGTAGTCCACCCACACAGAAACTGGTCTTTGCTTGAATAGTGACAATTTGTACAGTCCATTGCAGAGAAGGTGAATTGATTTAGACCGCAGAGAGAATTACAGCAAACATTCAGATCGCAGCAATTGCATTTACACAACCAATTAATCTGATGGGTTTCTGGATTGGCATATTCTCGGTAAGATAACCAATTGGTCTGGGTTACTACAACACACCATAGAAAAAAAATCTCACCAATATTTTGCACGCTACAAAGAGACAATTGCCAGGCCTTTAACTGATACACACTTAGTCTCAAGTATATATTCACCTCCATTTTAGAAATTAACTAAAGTTAGTCCTTGTTTAGCAACCACAATTGGAACCAGCAACTTGGTTGTTAAGCGAAGTGGCCATAAAATGAAACTGCAACTGTGGTTATGATCTTCCTCCAGCTTTACAGATCATAACCACAGTTGCAGTTTCATTTAATTACAGATTTGCTTTACAGATCTGCAAAGATTATCAATGCAATGATTGGTCACAAGGTGACTTCATAACTGAGAACAATCACGAAATGAGGACACCTCCAAATTGCAAGCTGGCTTTTAAGAAAAATCACCCCCTTTCCACCTTGAGTGCTTTCTCTCCCATCTTCACTTACAAGGATGCATCTCTTGGTTCCTCCAGGCAAGCATGTTCGGATAACCCGGGTCAGGAACTGAGCAGCAGATGGGCTGTTATGTCGGCTCACCCGGGAAGGTAAAGCAGCTACTGTGGCATGGTTCAGGTAGAGGGGACAGCTGTCGGTGGGGTTGGGGTTCAAAGTATTTAATGCCGCTTGCCATATCTAAGAACAGAGGGGAAAAGGTTAGTGTCAAGATTCCGGCAGTTACCCCCATTTAAATCATGAGTCTTGAGCCAAAACTTCAAAAGGATTTATTGTGAGTTAAAATGTCCAGCACTACCTCGGTGTAGCCGACTATGAGACACATAATTCATTGTCATCCTTCACCCTGGTTTCCACCCACCCACCCCCTGGGTGTATCGTAATTCATATTCTCCAAAGGGACATATCCATAGCCCAGAGTCATCAATCATGCTCTCCAGTTAGAATTTTGCACGGCAGAAACTTTGGTCACCTAGTTACTATCTTTGAAAACATTTATGGAATGCAGTTTCAGTTTGCAAGTGGCTGCACTGCGCCCCGCTCCCTTTCTGTTGGCAACTCTAAAAAGACCATAGAAATATTTTATGAGTTGACAGTTCGGTCTTCAGCAGGCACACTGTTCTTTAAGCAGAATCTTCAGCCCAGGGAAATCCTCAAAGGTAGGTCCAAAAAGTCGAGATGGCAACCACAAGGGTGCACCTGAAACTCTGCCCATTTTTTTATGTGTGTGGTATATAAAAAAACAGGCAGAGCTTCAATTGTACCCTTGTGGTTGCCATCATGGTCCTTTTTGGACCATACCCAGCATTTAGGCTTAAATACTGCCCTGTAGTGCTTTGAAGCACTCTCTAGGTGGTTTACAATGTACAAGCATTATTTGAGTATTCTCCCCAACAATCTGGCTCCTCATTTTATCGACCTCAGAAGGATGGAAGGCAGAGTCAACCTTGAGCCCCGTCAGGATTGAACTCCAGGCTGTGGGCAGTTTGCCTGCAGTACTGCATTCTAACCACTGTGCCACCTGGGCTCTTATGGGATGGATACCCTTGTCTGATCTGAACCATGTTGGGACTCTTCTTTCTGTGATGCCTGAAGGTTTTCCTGCACAGAAAAGACTGATGCAACTGGCAGGGATAATGGGAGCATTTAAAATTCAAGGTGTTTTTTTTTTTTAAGTGTACTCTTATTATGATGGGGTAGTTTTGAGTTTGAATGCAGGGTCATAAAGTGCAGTTTTGAGTTTGAATGCAGGGTCATAAGATTTTTGTGGAATTAAATGGCTGAGAGTAATGGGGTATTTACATTTTTAAATTGCATAGAGATGATTGTATGGTTGGTTGTGTTTAGTTTAATTTTTTTCTTTTTAGTGGTGTTTGTCCAGTTTTTACTTTGTGGAAGAGCACCTCATTTCGTTGCACCCGCTTGCGAGTGTAATGACAAATAAATAAATTCTTATTCTTATTCTTAAACCTGCATGCAACCATTTACCAAGTGACAATTTGCTACTGTCTATGGGAGATTATTTTCTCATCCCTCTACCAAAAGTTAGAAATCATGAGATACTGGAAAGTCAACAATGTTCTTTTTCTAGACTGAACGGTTGCCAAGTGGTTTCTCCTGAACTCCCAGAATTCTTGGCAATGGCTGGGGATTCCGGGAAGAAACTTTCTGACAGTGAGAACAATCAACCCCTGGAACAGAAGTTGCCCTCGGAAGCTGTGGGAGCGCCATCACTTGAGACTTTCAAGAAGAGATTGGACTCCCATCTGTCAGAAATGGTGTAGGGTCTCCCGCTTGGGTGGAAGGTTGGACTAGATGACCTACAAGTCCCTTCCAACTCTGATTATCTGTTATCTGGAACTAAAGTACAACATCTGGGTGATGTCTAGATTGAACAAGGCTCAAAAGTGTAATTTAATTTGCCACTTAATTACCACATTGTTATATGCTCCTCAATGTAAAGCAGTGGTGTCAAACTCACGTCGTCACGTGACATATTGAGACTTCCTCCACTTCGCTAAACCGGGTGTGGGCATGGCTGGTGTGTGATGCATCCGGCCTATGAGCCGGGATTTAACAGCCCTGATGTAAAGTATGCATGTAACCAACAGCAACGTTGTCCTAGCACTTAAGAAGCGGACTTTTCCTCTGGAATGATATCTCCTCCCAACATTCAGATCCCTCTAATCGTACAAGCCTCTTTTAAGAACTTGTTTTTTTCCCCTCAAAAAGTTGATGGTGTGGCAATCTGACAGGTAGTGCTGGTTTTGATTACAATATGTAATGTTCTGAGTTTTTGTTGCTGTTTTTAAAGAGGGCACTGGTTTTAATTGTATGCTACCCAGAGCTGCCTTTGAATTCGGGTGGCTTTATCAAGCAAAATTATACCAATCAACCTGTCCAAAAAAAACGTGCAGCTATGATTAACTGCTCTTATAGGCCCACTGGCCAGAGAGAGGGACAGTTCTCTGGGCAATTCAGGGGCAATCAAGTCATTTGAGTTAACCTACATATATGGCTGTCATCCCTATTGGTCTGAGCCTCCAAAATCTAATTTTTATAGAGCTATCAGATCTGTACCCTATCAGTCCAGATGAGTACAAGATGGTAGCAGAGAAATATAGAAAATTCCAGCTCTTTACTGCTATCCAGCAGTTACCTGTACTTTTGCAGCCCTACATTTTGGCACAGCAGTCAATGTAGGAATAGCAGTCAACATCAGTGCTTCCCATAGCGGTTAATACAGGAAACAGAAATCACTCATTACCCCCAGTGCAACGGGAGTGTGGGCATTTAAAGGAACCCTTCATTAGTTCCCCTCTATGGCTGGGGGATTTACCAGCGAGTCCTAACTTATAGTCCTTTAAAAATGTATGCATGTGTAATCCTTTTCTAGACAATCTGAAGATTCTTTTGCATTTAAGTGGCTGCTTTCGCACATCATGCTAAGTATAGCTTTTTTTTTTTGGTTAGACTCTTTTGGCTGGGTGAAAGCTAATGATTCATAAATTGCAATGGCCAAAACTAGATATGGTTTTAAGTCAAGCCTATCTCTGTCTTAGTGCACTGGGAGAGCCCAGATAGACAATATTTTAAACATGGATTTGTCATGGCAGTCCCCATCTTTTTCAGAGAAAGGGGAAGGAAATATTAGAGAAAGCAAATACTAACTATTAATAGTTCCCCTGAAGAATTATGGGCCTATTTAAAGAATCCCCAAGAAGGGGGTTGTTTCAAAAAAGGCCATAAAAAGCTGCTGTTGCTGTTATTATTATTACAATTAAATTTGTACACCACCAGGATCCCAAAGGCTTCAGTCCAGATTCAAAACCATTCTCCAATCACGGGGAAGTCCAGCTGTTGAAAAGTAAATAAAAATAGCTGGGGAAAGTCATTAAAAGGGGAAGTGTCCTTAATGTAACTGTTGGCACACACTTTCACAAAATGCTTCTCAAGTGTATGATATGATATGGCCCTGATGCTGTGCCAGTATTGCTCAACTGGGAGAATAACATCCCGATTAATCAAAACAGAACCTGCACGTCTCTCCTGGCTCAGCAGAGCAAATTATGGCTTATGTGGCACTCTGCCTATATATAAAATGCTAAAACTCTTGCGTCTGGTGCCTTGTAACCTTCCATGAGACAAAATAGGAAAGACTAGGGTAAGAGTGATTGAACTACAATAACTTAAATGGGCTAGTTTTAAAGAATGCTGGGATCTATAATTTCTGTGGGGATGAGAATTGTGCCAAAGCTTCTGACAACACTTCCCAGAAGCCCATAGGTTGCACAGCACAAGGGAAGATGGAAGGGGTGTATTCCCACCTTTATTCCTGCCTCCCTCTGGCCCCTGTACTCAACTGGCTGGTAGCAAGACCCAATAAGTGAGTGGCCACTGGCTGCTTTGGGCATCTGATATCTTTTAATAGTGGTAGCTGTTGAGGGGAAAAATGAGGAAGCATCTCACATGCCTGCTGACAGGGTAAGGATGGTGTGTGTCAGAGGTGGTATTCAGCAGGTTCTGACCAGTTCTGGAGAACCGGTAGCAGAAATTTCGAGTAGTTCGGAGAACCGGCAAATACCACCTCTGACTGGCCCCACCCCCATCTATTCTCTGCCTCCTGAGTCCCAGCTGATTGGCTGGGTCTTCTTTTGTTGCCCTGCACAGGAGAACAGAGCTGGAAAGCAGGTTAGTGGGATGGGGAGGGAATGGGGATTTTGCAGTAACCTTCCCCCACCATGCCCACCAAGCCACACCACGCCCACTAAGCCACGCCCATAGAACCGGTAGTAAAACAAAATTGAATCCCACCACTGGTGTGTGTGTGTGTGTCTGTCTGTCTGTCTGTCTGTCTGTCTGTGCTGGCGATGAGCATTCTTCCTCTCCGCATGCTGGCTGGGGAATTATTCTGGGAGTTGAAGTCCACACGCTTTAAAGCTGCCAAGGTTGAGAAATACTGTTCTATTTCAGCTCTATATAACGTTTGTTAGATTTAAAGCTCACCAGAAGGCCAAGCCTGCATTTGTAGCATTCTTCAATTCTTCTCAACAATAATCCTGTAAATTGGGCTGTGAGTGACTGGGAAGTAGCACATCCTCCATGTGTTTCCATGGCTGAGGGTAGGCCTAGCCCTAGGCCCTAGTTCAACACCTTAAATCTTAAAAAGCTTGAATTTCATACTCCCATTGTGAAATTATTTGTCTTCAGAGTGCTGAGACTGAAAAATCCCGCTAATCTTCAATTTACAGTCACAACTAGTTGACCAGAATTTCCATTGCTATGCGGGGCGGTTGTTAAATAAGTCATGCCTGATTTTATGACCTTTTTTTGCCACTGTTGTAAAGTGAATCATGCAGCTGTTAAACAAACCTGACTTCCCCTCTGACTTTGCTTGTTAGAAGCCAGCTGGGAAGATTGCAAATGGTGATCACACGACCCCAGGATGTCACAACAGCTGTAAATAGTAGTAGCCAAAAACCCAAATTTTGTTCATGTGACCTTGGGGAACTATGATGGCTGTAAGTGCGAGGATAGGTCATAGGTTACTTTTTTCATCATTTATTCATTTATTTGTTAAATTTCTACGCCTATACTTTATTCCTGGCCTTCGAATGATCGCTAAATGAATGGTTGTTAAGTCGAGGATCACCTGTAAGGAAATCCATTCAATTTCCTTGTTAATTTAAGAACCTTGGGGAAAATGGAATAAAATCTAGAGCAGCGTTTCTTAATCTCAGGAACTCTCACATGGATGGACTTCAACTCAGAAAATTCCCCAGCCAGCATGATCTAAGGCTCCATTCACACCACATCTTATATTATTTATTTTGCTTAATCATATTGATTCAAACACAATTGGCCGAACTCACATAACACCTTAAACCACAAACAACTCTTTACTAGGCACAAAGATTAGGTTTACCCAACGGCCTCAAAGAAGCAAGCAACATTTTGGCCCAGCCCAAAAATCTGTGACTTCACATAGCATTACCAAGCAATAAATCTCTCTGAAGGACATTGTATATCTCTCTTAGGAAGATATGATAAAGAGGCAGGCAAACACCTGGAAGCCTATCTGGTTAACTGGGGGGGAAAGGGCTGGGGGGGGGGGGAAACAGGGGAGGGGGATAAAGCGCAGGCAGCAGATTGCCACGAGGTTAGCAATTTCAAAATCCACTTCATGCGGAATCTGCACCAACAGCAATGAAGACCAGAGCACCGCTGCTCCCCACACACCTCTCTCCATCTTGCAAAGCTCTCCATGGGGGCAAAGGGCTGCAACCCCCCCCCCCCTGCAGAAAACTATTCTACCAATGGAAGTGAGTATCTGTAGGTCAGGGTCGAATTGTGGAGTCACAGGTTGTCTCTGAGCTTGGTGACATTTCATTACCCCACTAGGTAACACCATCCGTGCTAGTCATCAACACTGGAAGGTTTTTTTTTTAAAAAAGACGAGACTGGACAACCATTTGTCTGAAATGGTTATATAGCCTCTCCTGCCTGCCTGAGCAGGGGGTTGGACTAGAAGACCTCCAAGGTCCCTTTCCCAACTCTGTTTATTCTACTCTATTCTAGTTTAGTTCAGATAACGAAACATCTGCAGGCAAACCACCCAAGTCGGGCAGCACCGAAGGAACTCCGCTCCCGAGCAGGGCGCCGGGAGAGGCGAAGGGATTCAACCCGACCGCCGCGGCTGGAGCGGTTCCCGGCTCAGCCTAGGCCTGCCGGGAAAGAGAAAGGGCGAGGGGAGGGCGACCCCGGCTCGAAGCAAGCAGGGGCCGCGGCTGCAAGAACCACGCGCTGGGGTGGGAAGCCGCGGCTGCAAATCGGCGGTGGGGGCAGCGCCCCTTCCAAAGGGCGAAGGGGGCGTTCGGCAGGCAAGCCCGCCCCAGGAGGCGAAGCGATGCCAGCCCGACTCCGCGTTACCTCCTCGGTGACCCTGGGCTGCAGCTTGCCCCGCACGTGAGCCCACGGCAGCCGGTGGAGGTTCTGCAGCTGGCCCAGCACCAGCACCGGGCGGCTTTGCGGGTCCGCCTCGCCAGCGCTGGCCTGGAACTCCAGCTGCACGCTCGCCATCTTTCTGCCTGCGGCGCGGCGGCTCCTCCCAGGCAGGTGCCGCGCCTGCCTCCCGCGGCCGTAAGAAGAAGGGCAGCGCGGAAGGAGGAGGAGGAGGCCGCCGACTGGAGCCGCCGCAGGGCCGGCCGGGTTTCCACGCGTCGAAACGGGCCATCCCGATATGCCACCGGCGGCTGCCGTTGGCCTTCTTTGCAGTGGATCATCGTCAGGGTCAGGGAGGTTGTTTCCTGGGGGCCCAGCTAGATTAAACTGAAGTCTGGTCCCGCTAGAAAATTCACAGGTAGGAGAAGCAGCAGGCAAAGAGGAACGTGCCTCTGCCAAGCTTCACAGGAAGGTATTGAAAGACTCAAGAGTAGAGCTGGAAGGGATCTTGGAGGTCTTCTAGTCCACCCCTCTGCTCAAGCAGGAGATCCTACACCACGTGGGCCGGAAACAGCAGCCCTGTGACCCCCACCCCACCCCACCCTCGTTGCATTGCCCACGAAAAAAACTGCTCCAAGGTTGAATCCAGATTGAAATCTAGAGTTTTCACAGGGAGTAGGACAAAACTGAATTGATGGAGCCTTTCAAATTTCCTCACAGCGAGAGCAATCAATCAATGGAAACAGAAGTTGCCTTCAGAAGTAGTGGGAGCTTCATCACTCGAAGCTTTCAAGAAGAGACTGGACTGACATCTGTCAGAAATGATGTAGGGTCTTCTGCTTGGGGACTGGGGTTGGACTAGATGACCTTCAAGGTCTCTTCCAATTCTGCTAATCTGTTAAAATAAGGAAAGGGGAGGAATGAGCCCAGTAGTAGACCCAGAGTTGGAAGGGACCTTGGAGGTCTTTTTAGTCCAACCTCCTGCCATTTTAGACAAATGGTTGTCCAGTCTCTTCCAGTGTTGGAGTGCCCACAACTTCTGGAGGCAAGTTGTTCCACTGGATTTTTATGTTAAACAAATTAATAGAAGACCCCTTGGATTATTGTTAAACAAATTAATAGATGGAAATACTAGATTTTAATGGGCCGGTGGTGCTCGCCGAAGACCAAGTGGTCCTGTGACGAGTTTTAAAGGGGGAGAAGGGAGAAGAAATCAGCTTCTAGTTAGAGTTGAATAGTTTATTTATACATTACAAATTGTCCACAGAAATGGATGAAAATAGACTGTACATTGTTGGGTAAAAACAGATCCCTTCCGTTACATACACCATAAATACATTTGATTTAAAAGCAAATCCATCATTGCTTGAAACCACCGTTGGTCCTACTGGAGTCCCTACGCGATGTATCCAGTTAATGACTTCTCATTTAAGGATGATTCTCCTTTATTGGGTGTATCAGGAGCCTTCACTCTGGGCCCAACCAAGGTGTGGAGTTTTGCTGAAAGGCTGTTTGGCAGCAATACCACAAAGCGACGGGGCTGAACCTCTATGACAGGCTGTGGAGATTTCCTTTGTAGCTTTAAATCCCGTTTAATCCCAAATGCATTCAACCCTGAAGCAGGCTGAAGGGAAGACCTTCCGGAACACACCACAAGCATCATTCAACAGTGAACGGTCACACGAAAGTCAGAGTTACTGTACATCTCTTTTTCACCCGATTAATAGACTCGGTTCAAATCAGGCTGTAACCACTGGTTCTTTGGGTAAAAGGGTGCTACTACTTCTCAGCTTTGGTTTTCCAGTTTTGCAAAGAGGGCAGGGTTGTAGGGAGCCAATTTATTTAGGAAATAAAAAGGCTTACCAAGAATAATATTAGCCTGAGAAATAAAGCATCCAGCAATTTTTCTGGAGATCGAGTCTGCTAGAGGAGTTGCTGGTTGGGGGGAGTTGGTACAGAGAAAACATCCCAGTAAATTTTATGCAACAAATCTACCAAAACAGAGAAGCACCAAATAAGGCAGACAAGAATGATCAAATCTCAGGCCATTCTTTTGTAAATTGCTAACTTATCTCTTGCCTGACCCTTTTTCGGTCCAGTTAAACTACAAGTCAAGTTTAGTTTTTCACCAATGGGTCAGACAAATCTTCAACGTAGAAACGCCCCTGCCACCATTAAACTATTGCATTTTAAATAAATAATTTTAAATAAACTTAAAAAAAATTCTTCCCAAAGTACAGTGATGCTATATGAAACCAATGACCACAAGGAATCTCCAAACTGCAAAACCCACCCCTTGGAATGTACATATCTTACACTGATTTGTTCTCATGATTTAAGATTTTTTTTAAAAAGACTTTAGAGAATCTGTGGATTGGGGAGAATTCCAAAAATATATTGCAGTAGACAGAAATACAAATGAAACTTCAAAACAGTATCCACAAATAACCTTAGTGGCAATAACATGGCAAATTATATTAACCAACGTACGGTTGGGGTGGTGGTGGCATGAAAATAACTTTTTCTCTTGCAAAAGACATTTTTTTTTCCTGTAAGGAGAATAGCAGTGATTTTTTTTAGCAGCAAAATACCTTTTTCTTCCAAACATCCAGCTTGTTCTATCCACCATCCTCTTTAGAGAACACATTTCTCTCTTGGCTCAATGCTTTTCCATGATTCCCTATTTCCTGGTCCTCTTCTGGGGGGAAGAGGGGGGAGAAGGAAGTAAAATCTGTTTCTGTATCCAATTGATCCAGTCTTAATTAAACCCACAGTGATACACAGATTGCAATATTTATACATGTGTGCATATTTTCAGAGCTAAGCAGTGGGGTCTCCAAGGTGTAGGCCACACTAGGAAGTCTAGAAATCATCCAGAGAAAAGGCAATGATAAACCATTTTCATATACTTTTGAAGAGATGTGACAGTAGAGTATCCAGAGTAGTCAAGGATTAAAGGTTGACTTCAAGGACACACACGCATTGACATGCACCAATTTAGACAAGTGGTGGCCAACTGGTGAGCCTACTGGTGATCTGTGAGAAAATTTTGGTGGTCCGCAGAGAAATGTCACGCCCAGAGCACCCCCAAAGAAATTAATCCAAGCTGTGCTGGAACACAAGTCTGCCCTGCCCACATGGCCCATGGGAACCCTCTCCGCCCACTCACTCCTTACCTGGCAAACTTGCCTGCTAAGTTGCTATTTTTCCTCCCCCCCCCAACCACCAGCTGTTCTGCTGTGCTGGGAGATTTAGATTAGCTAGAAAGCAGGAAATCGTTGGATTTCTTGCTTTCTAGATAATCTTTAGATCTTCGGCTCTGCTTTTAAACAGAGCCAAACCTCCCTTAGGACTGAAGGTTCTATTATTCAGTGCACTCAGATAGCTGATGGCAGAAACAGAGATCTCTAAGTGAATCTGTGATTCTGTGAGCAACTCAATCTGCCTGCCTGCTTTGCCTGCTTTGGGTAAAAATTACTTTTTTTAAATAAAAAATTCTGTATTAACATACATGGTGTGTTGTGAGTTTATTTTGTGAGTTTGCTTGCAAGCAAATTTTTTGTGACTGACTCAGGTAGCCGATGGCAGAAAGATAGATCTCTGAATCTGTGATTCTGTGAGCAACTCAATCTACCTGCCTGCTTTGCCTGATTTTGGGTAAAAGTTGCTCTTTTTTTATAAAAACTTCAATATTTACATAAATATTTATAATATTTACATACAAGCCATGCCCAGCCAGTCACATGACCATCAAGTCACACCCACAAATTAGGCCACACCCAAGAACCGGTTAAGAAATTTGAATCCCACCCCTGCCTCTGTGTGTTTGTGTTTGTGTGTGTGTGTGTGTGTGTGTGTGTGTGTGTGTGTGTATGAGATAGAGAGAGGGAAAGAGAGAGGTTAGATCAGATCTCTCTCTCTCTCTCTCCCCCTCCCTCCCTCCCACCAATGTCAGCAAGCCACCGTCAGTCAAAATTCATATTAGTGGTCCCCGGCATTTAAAATTATGAGTTTGGTGGTCCCCGAGGTCCAAAAGGTTGGCAACCCGATTTAGACTGCAGCCAAGATGGCCTTTTCTAAATCATGCCACTGGTTTTAAGTACGTGTTTATAAATATTTTTTTCTTGTTATGAAACCTAATAAAATTGATTAAAGATGTTAATAATAAGCATAAATGGCAGAAGGAGGTTAAGCATGGCCTGCTGAAATTTGTTATCTTGAGCAAATCATGGAGAAATGTAAATCAACTGATGCTCAGCTTTTCCTTGTTTTGAAAGGAAAGAAGTCCAGTGTGTAATTGGTATTCTACTTTAGGTAACAAAATAATACTTTCAGTAAATATAAGTGGTTATCCAGTTGGAAAATACAGATCAGACTCTGGCAACTATCATTCGTGGCACATTTTTCTCTATTTTATGCATGCATAAAGAGCAAATGGATTTTTGCACGTGCATAAAGTACAGTATGTTTATTTTCTATATTTCTCATGCTATCCTGGTATCTTGTTATTCACTGCTATTTGGCTGGGCCAAATAGAACTTGTTCAAGTCACAAATCTACCTGTACAACTGATACTGTAGTTGCTGCAAAGGATAACATAAAGAGATTGAATTCCATTCTGCATACGCAGTGCAGGTAAGTGGGGGTTGTGCACGCATGTGCAAGAAGGGCAGGGCACATTGCATTGTGGGTGCTGATGCGCGCACACTTTCGGCACACTACAACAAAAAGGTTCACCACTGATTTGGGTCATTTTACCCACCTCGGAAGGCTGAGTCAACACTGAGCCTGGTGGGATTTGAATTGCCAAACTGCAGGCAGCCCGCAGTCAGCAGAAGTAGCCTGCAATACTACAATCACTGCGACACTGAGGTAAGTCAAAATAGCTGAGCAGAGTTCACCAAGAGCACTTCTTCACCTTCTCACTGACAGAATCACAGCAGCAGCTAAACACAATTCTCTTGTGAAAATCCTCTTTACGTCAAAGGGGTTTCAACTACAGATTTGGATTTTCCCTTTATCTAGCAAGCAGAATCTTCCAGAGACCCAAAGTAGGACTATGATTTCTGTTTCCCTGTCATCAGATACAAGAAATCTGAATGATGCAAAGAGCTGGATGAAAGGAAGAAAACAAGGTGTAACAAGTATACAGGCAGCATTGCAATTATTCCACGATCAAATGAATAAGAATCTAAGGCAGTTAAAAAAAAAAGTTGGCCATTGGTGTTGCTAAATCACAGCAAAAAGAGATGCAAAGTACAACTTTTTAATTCTTCGATAGAGGGTGCTTTAAAAAAAATGACTGAACACCCAAATAGTGCAGCAATTTTAAGTTGCACTTAAAAGGACGAGATTTTTTTTTTTTAATCACGAAAACTTTCTTTTTAAACAGAGCCACCTACAATGAAACAAGAAATACTGACGCAAAGCAACATTTGCTCTGAACAGGATTCCAAATTCTCCTGAGATCCCACAGCTGAGAACAAAAGTGATTTTATTTCAATGTAGGTTCCTGATACTGCCATTAGAGTTCAATTTAAACCGTGTGTGAATTGTACCATGCCTTTTTCCGTTTGCGCTATGAAAATAATAAGATGAAATATGTTAACTGCTGCTGTATATTAACAGATTCAGTTTGGGAAGGAAGATTCAGAAAGATCAGAGAAACATCTTTCAGTTCAATAGTGGGAAGGGGTGGAAATAATCAAAACACATTCCTGATTATTTAAAACTTAAAAATAATCTTAAAACAATAATACTCTCTGTGGTTAGAGTATTATTGATAATGCCAAAAGCCACTTTTGGGATAAAAGAATGAAATTAGAAATCATTTTTTTACTTCTGTGAACCCATACCAATATTAACTCCGGAGAGGAAGATGGTAAAGAGGAAATATTTTACCTTTAAGGCATTTTTTTAAAAAAATCTCCAACTTAATAATTTTGCGAATGATGTCCACAATCACAATTTGGACAGTTTACCCTAAAATTAACCGTAGGCTAAGCCATAACAGAAAGCACATTATTATTCCTGTTTAGTGAAAGCATTTTCTAAAATGTTTAAATCATTTTTAAAAATGCATTCTAGCATTTCAATGGCCTGGGTAATGCCTGATTTGGTAGCTTTTCTCAGAAATTCTGACGTTTCTGCACATTTCTGATTTTTTTTTACAAATCACTGCCTTCCATATTCACTGAACATGTAAAACAGAGGTTTTCTGTATGAACATTGCACAGACTTTGCACCATTAGATCCCATACATTCATCCAACAGGCAGCTTTCAAGAGCAGAGAGGCTCAACCATTCCTGTCAGGAACAAAACGGGAGAAACACAACACACAAAAATTTGTGGCTACCTCTCAGACAAACACAGAGAAAAAGGAAAGCATCACCGGCACATCGCCTAGCGAAATTTTACAGCAATAAGGACAATGATAAGGATAATAACTATGACAAACAAAATTAAAATGATGAGCATCTTCCGATTCTTCTTTTGATAATGCTCGGCCTGCAGATACAGAAAAGAGGACTTTTAACACAGATTCTTTCCTGTAGATAAATTACTCTAAATAAGGAATAATTTGTAGAGAGCCATAGAAATCACCTTGGAGAAACTGAGAAGAGATGATGACAATGTGCACAAAAATGTGCTTTAAGTTTGGAAAAGACAGAAATAAATAATGGGCTCAGACTGACTGGTATGACCTACCTCAAAGTCTTTAAAAAGCTTGATAGCATATTCTCTTCACTCCTCTTATATCCCAGGGAGTAAGGACAGAACCAGTTTGAGTTTATTTCTAATGGTTCCTTTGTTTTCTGAACTTTTCTTTTCTTTTTTTTGTTTTTGTTGTTTTCTGGACTTTGTTTTGTCGACAGACAATAAATTTGCACCTTTTTTTTCATTATGTAAACTGTCATAGGAAGTTTGGTCCTATGACAAAATTATTATTAGATTATAAATACATCAGTGGTGTTTCCCTTTCTGGCACAAGTGTATGTAGTGTAAGTCTTAATAACTGATTGATATCCCACAAATAAGATAAGGAATTATCTTAATCCTCATAGAACTCAACTCTATGAACTCAAAGGTGAACTCAACCTTTACACCTAGACTATTTTACAGTTCTGCGGGTAAAAAGAAATGGGTACAATACTCATCTGCCAACTGCAAAGAGATTTGGGGGAGAACTGCACAGAGGAATAATCAGGAAATACGTAATCACATTCATGTGCAATCATTAAATGCTAGATATTGAGATATCTAGGATAGGAGCCATTTGTCTCATTTCCTTAATTTTAGCTAACTCCCATTATTGTCCTTTTAACTTCTAAAACAATAGCTATGGAAAGAGACAATGTTATGCCTCACATTTCTGGAATGGTAATAACAAGATCCTCAACAGTATGAAATGGTGGCATTCAGAATAAGACCTCGGAAACACATTATCTGCTTACTTTATGTAGTTGTTTAAATCCTTCTTCTGTTTTTATGCATGATTGTTCAACATTGTAGTCAATCCTATCGAGTACGGTACCCTGAAGAAAAAAATATGCATCAGTTCTGTAGACTGGAATGCTGGTCTGTGATCATAATAAAGATTGATTGATTGAAATGCAATATGTATTAAGATAGGCTTAAATTATAGAACGTTTTCTATTAATATAAACTATAGGTTGGCTACTGAATGCTGGAAAACCGGCATATGATGGTAAACCAGCACATGAAAATAAAGCATGTTCAAAAATAAGTGAAGCTTTCCTCTACACCTCTAATAATGTATGTGTGTGTGTGCAGGTATATATAAACACACACACACACACACACATTCTTCAATATAGAAATATTTAATATTCTATATTTCAATATCAAAATAAATTGAAGAACCAAATGCAGATAATTCATCCTTTTCTTGCTTCTTGTATGTACACATACAATTGTGACTAACAATCACAATTAAGCCCAACATTTATGTTGCTAAGTGACACAGTTAAGTGAGTTTTGCCCACAACCTTTCTGATGATCCAAATGAGACCCTCCTACTTTAGGATGTATGTCCGTCCGTCCATCCATCCATCCATCTAACTGATCACCCATCTGATCACCAGGTGACTCTGGGTGATTGTCAATATTAAACGGATAACGCTTTACAAAATCCAAATAATATAAAAAGGTAAATACCCAACCCTAACTAAAAGATGGGGAGAGACGGAATAGGACCAGCGGGGTGTGCGTGTTGGGGGAGGTGGGATGTGTTATTAGTCTGTCAAACTACCCCCCCCCCCCCCGTGAAGCCCCCCACCCCAGCCTCATTGGAGCCCCAAGCCACTGGGCACAGCCTGGTCTTTAAGCTCTTGCGGAAGGTCAGGTGAGTTGGAGCCAACCTCAGTCCAGGTGGCAAGATGTTCCAGGGGGAAGGTGCAATGGCAGAGAAGGCTTTTCTCCTGGACACCCGCCAGCCATAATATCGCGGGCGATGGGGCCTGCAGGATCTGCTGACACAGATGGGGCTGGCCAATCCCAGTGGGATGAGATGGTCCTGCAAGTAGCCTGGACCCATGTCATGAAGCGCTTTCAAGGTGATTACCAACCTGGAAGCAAACCAGCAGCCAGTGCAGTTTACGGAGTAGTGGTGTTACATGGGCCACTCCCAAAACTGCCCACACTGCTGCACTCTGCACTTACTATAGCCTCTGAATGCATAGGACTCCATCAGTATGCTTTCTAAGTGTATTCACAGAGTTGATACAAAATTAGAGACAAGATACCTAGCAAAACTCAGGATTTCTGACAATGTTTGAAAGTAGTTGGCAACTCCAAAACATGCATAGAAATGTTTTAATCCTGACAGTAGTAATCATTCCTAATTAAGGCAAACACAAACAGAAATACAAAATAAAACGATTAATTTTAATTAGGTTTGGACAAGTTTCAGAATTACCCTCAGCTGATAAGTCAAAGTAAAATGATTAGATCTAACAGACCATTTTTTCAGTGATGCTACTTCAATGTGGTTAGGTCCAGCCCACCTGATTTTTTATTATGTTCCCATCCTGCTTTTCTTCAGGTGAACTCCAGGAAGACATATAATGTTCTAACCCGAGATCTTATAAGATGCAAACAGCATTGATATCAAGGAACCACTTACCTGTTCAACTACCATTGCTCCTAAATCCCTGAAAATTTCATTAAGATCAGTAATGGACTGTACAATTTGTCGAATTTCTCGTTCCCGCTCTTCCACCAACATAGTGTTTTGTTCCACTAATACTAACTGGTCATCTGTAAAACCCTTATTGAAATAAAAACAAAAATGTCAGACTGTAAATAGCTAAATATTGCACCATTCAAAATGCATTAAAAAAACCCAAAAGTTTTTCAAACCGAACTGGATACGCATAGCTTCCCATACAAATATACAATGTAATATTCCTCCTTTATTTTTTAAAACATTGTTCTCCTCCTACTCTCTGCAATCTCTTTAATCTTTGTCTTAAAAGTTCTCTTTTAAAAAAGATAAGCACTATAATTGTGGCATAATTCTGAGCCCAGCTGCACCCTTTGAGAGTTCCAATGAATCAGTTTATAACCAAGTGTCCAAAAATCCAGCAGCAACCCCATTTTTCCTAGCAAGTGTGAGGATGATTTTTGGCAGATATCCTAGAGACCAATTTTTTTTAACAGCAGGTAGTCAGCCTTAAGCCAGAGGATAATATGGGACTCTAAGCTTAATTCTAAAGCCCTCCTGCAAGAGTGATTTATCATTTCCCTTGCAGCTTGCTGGGTGATCAGAAATAGAGAAAAATGTCAGAAAGGAAAAGGGAGAGGGAGGGAGAAGGGGGTGGTGTTAGTGCTCTTGATTCTTTGGCATGCCAGCTAATAGCATGTAGTTTTTAAAAGTTCATCTCTTCTGAGAAATTTGTACCTTAATACAAGAGAGACTCACTAAACTTAACTGATGCATGCAATCATTGCTTTAAAATTCAGCAAAAATCATTTTTTTTATCATTAAAATCATTGCTTTAAAAATCATTAAAATCATTGCTTTAAAAATCATTAAAATCATTGCTTTAAAATTCAGCAATAGAGTGGTCAATGTCTGGAATACTCTACCCGACTCTGTAGTTTCTTCCCCAAACCCCAAAAACTTTAACCTTAGACTGTCTACTATTGACCTCACCCCTTTCCTAAGAGGTCTGTAGGGGGCGTGCATAAGCGCACCAACGTGCCTACCGTCCCTGTCCTATTGTTTCTCTTATTCTTTTATTTTTCTTATATGTACCCATTTCATGTATTCACAACTATGTATACATTTATACTTATTATCTTGTAAACAATTGGCAAATCAAATAAATAAATAAATAAATAAATTCTTCATAGCAGGCAAATGAACACCAGACGCTTTGTACTTTTTCATAAAAAAATAACCCAGTTGACAATTTGGCACCTACCCTGTCATAGAGTGTCATATCCTCCCCATCATCCATAAGAGAGACCGAGGTATCAAAGAAATGTTTGGATCTTTCTTCTCGATTTTTCATGCCTACAGGAACAAGAAGATTATTCACTAAGAAGTCACTAAGAATTCTCAGCCACAGAGGGAAGAGGCCCTGTTATAAAAGGAGGCAAATGGTCCATGGCTTACTGTTAGGGATAACATTGTTTACTCTAACTGGTTTGGGTAAAAATAATAAATATGGTATCATGGTTTGTTAGTTAAAGTGTGTGTAACTTTAACAGCAAGAATGTAATTAAGGGTGTGGTTGTAAAAGCACTATATAAGAAGCGAGGCAATTGCAGCTCGCTCTCTCTGGCTTACTGATCTCTAATTACTGGATGGATTGATGACTGCGTTCTTGCTGAAACGGGGAGAGAAAAAGGAGTGTTGATTTTCTCAATGGAGAGAAGATTGGACTGATTTATTGTAAGTGTACTGACATTGGCTATTCAACACGGACTTTGCAAATAGAATATCCCCGACAAGACTTGACTGAAATTGATATATGACTAATGGACCGTTTATTTGACTAAGCTATAATTCTTAAATGGAATAAACTATATTTTTGATAGCACAAGCGTATCTGTATTTTTACTGCGTGTTAACTAGAAAACTTATCTCACACATTTACCTGTCTTCCTATCTGACTTCGCTGCACGTTCTGTTTAGTTTGTTTTCCTTAACACCCGTTGGGGAATCCAGGCTTAACACTTACGTTTGAGATAGTCAGACTGCCCGTGTCTAAAGCTGCTGGAGAGGTCCTGCAGACACTGAGCTAAGGAACACACAACATTCTTCAGAAGACGGCACTCTTGGTCCGTACAGCTTCGAGACTTGCTGTGCAAACCCTGGACTGCTCTCTGACACCTGTGAAATAGCTGCAGAAGAGAGGGAGAGAGAAGGCAAATCATTTTTATAGTGAAACAGGAACAAGCAGTGCTCGTGCAATTAACAACAACAAAGAATACCCAAGAAACTATTTCTTTAAACTAAGCTTATCTTCTAGAGCTGTAGCATTCAACTATGTCTTAAAGGCTTATTTAATTGAATCGCACAGTAATTTTTTTGTGCTGAGTATCTGGTGATTTTCACTGTGTGGAGAATAACTGAAGCCAAGAGAAGAGAATATATGCATCTCAAGAGTTGAGAATATGCATATAGTTTATCACAATAACTGAAGCTATTGTGATATCTCCTTGATAAAAAGCAAAAGCAGCTGTGTTGACCTTTATGAAAAAACAGAACAAAATCCAGACTGAGGTATACAGCAATAAGGAGCCTACGTACAGTTAGTCAGGCTCTCTTGAAAATTTCAAAATAGTGCAGGAAGCAGATTCCATTCAACCACCTTGTCCTCAAAGGGAAGGATGGAGACTGGATGAAGATTGTCCAGAATCACTGAGTCCACCAATGGTCTCTTGAAGGACTGGTATACCATTACCTCTTTCAAAACCCAGGAAACAACTTCAAAGATCAATTCACAGGAAGATTTGACCAATCAGGATGAACCTGGATCTAGCAAACAGATATCCGGGTTCACAATCTGGAGAACTATGTCCACTTCCTCATGAGTCATAGTCTCAAACTTGCCCCAGATAACTGCAAGACTCCACTTCTGGCATCTCAACAGGGCCTGCCCACTGGATTTCAACTGGGAGGAGATCACAGTGACTTTATTTGCCAGCAAGATACCGTAGCAAAAATAATCCTTATATAAGGGTTCGATAGAAGTTCTTAGGTCTTATTCCTCCCCACTAGAACATGAGCCATCTTGAGCCAGTGGGTTCAAGATGGCTCATATTCAAGATGGCTCACCCCAGCAAGCCAAAAAGCAATCAGAAAGTGATTTGACCAGGGCAATGGATGGATGGTAATGTCCTCTAAAACCAGATCGTGCCACATTTGCTCCAAGTAAAAACAACAACTCAGATGCAATGTGCAACCTCCAATTTGTGCTGGACTGTCAATGACCTGGGGCAAGTCCATGGTTGCTCTGGAGCTACCAAGCTTCATGGCTTGAGAAATTCCAGACTCCTTGTCACATAGTGGGAACTGAAACCCCCAAGGACAAGTAACCATGGGATCTGCAACACCGGCCCAGCAAAAGAATCCATAAGATTAGGTAGATTTAGCATCAGAGGGTTTCTAACCAAATTCTATTATCTTTGCTGGCAGAGCGCATTTGATTTTTTTTCAAGAAAAGTGGGAAATTATTCAACAACCTTTTCCCAAGTCTTATAAACCAGGCAACCCAAAAATTTCTTCTTCAAGTGTTAGATTGCTGCGAAATGTTGTTAAACTGAAATAAATCTTTATTTGCATCAGTGGCATTTAAATTATATGTAGTTGCAACAGCTGAACAATTAAATCTATAGCACAAAATCTTAAGTACTGTTTTATTCAAATTGGGTTTCCATTGTTTAAAATAGTAATAACATTTTCCCATTACCATCAATCTACACAAATGTGTTTTGGTTGGAATTCTTGACTGTGGATGTTTAAAATCTTTGCATTTTTCTTCTTAAAATTACATATGTATTCATATATCAGTACAATATTGCAATTTTTAATTTTTTTGTTTAAAAAGTAAAACAAAATTGACTTCTGGCTGCTGGATTTTTCCCTTTATCCAAGAGGGCATAAGGGCAACTTACTCACATATCTGCATTTGGTAAAACCCAATTCTATTTTGAAAAGAGAACCACAGTGGCACCTGTGTAATTTCTTGAGTGGTTATTTCTATTGCATGCTCTTCCTCGCTGCTATCATCCAAAGTCGGTCTGTTTAAATACTTGTCATGCAAACTGGCTAGTTCTTTCATCTTCTGCTTTATCCTGGATATCTCATATTGAATCTTAAAATGAAATTTAAAAAAAAAAGGGCAAAATTAGAAACAAAGAAACTTAAGAGAAGAAAACATTCCAGACAATAGTAAAGTTTTTTTAAAAAAAGTTGATTATATTTCAAACAATCACATTGGCTTTTTATAAAAAAAAATGCTATTCAATTTCAGCTATATACACAGAAGTGGAATGCTTTTACCCTTTTCAGACTTAGGGTTGGATCCATGGGGGGGGGGGGGGGGGGGAGAGGGGGGGGGAAAGTCAGCATATTTTGGGTTCAGATCACTTCCGAAATGGTTGATCTCTCACTGTCTTGACCAAGAAACTGAATTCAGTCAAAAGTAAACTGATGGAAATACAGGTTGTTCTCGACTTACAACTATTCATTTAGTGACGATCTGAAGTAACAATGGCACTGAAAAAAGTTACTTATGACTGTTTTACACACTTATGATTATTGCAACATTCCCACGGTCACATGACTAAAATTCGGACGCTTGGCAACTGGCATTTATTTATGAGGGCTACATTGTCCCAGGAGCATGTAATCACCTTTGGCGACCATCTTACAAAAGCAAAGTCAATGAGGAAACCAGATTCATTTAATAACCATGTTATTAACTTAACAACCGCAGGGGATTCACTTAACAACTCAACAAGAAAGGTCGTATAATGGGGGAAAATGTACTTAACTGTCTTGCTTAGCAATGGAAATTTTGGGCTCTGTTGTGGTCATAAATCAAGCATTACCTGTAATTTCACTTATTCCTTTTTAAGTGCAATTTCAGCAAGATATAATCCAACTATTGCCTTAGGAATGTTATTGTCTTCAACCCTATGCATTTCCTCTTCCAGCTAATGCTAGCAATTTGAACTTTTGTAAATCAAATGGATCCCCCTATCAAAACCCTCCTCCTTTGTCAGAGTATATTCATGAACTGGAATAGAGCTCAGTAACAAGGTCAGCCAATGAGAGCTGAATTGAGGGCTGAAACTAAAAAAGAGAATCTGGGTGTGATTTATCTCTGTTCCATGCTCAGCTCTAAAGTGAAAGAGAAACTAACTTGCTTGCTGAAAACTAGAGCTCTGCTCTGAACCTGTAACATATCTGCTTCTGTTTGCGTTTGCTCCATGTTGGAGAAATCTACAACTGGTATTGTAAAATTTACTTTACATGTTTATAAAGAAGTTAAATGAAGCCTCAGTCATCTGTGTTTATTTTTCTGGCACTGAATTTATGCTGCAATACTCTGAACATCCTTTATAAATGGGAGAATAAAATACCATATATTTCTATACTATGCTCCCCCATTCCTCTCTGTCTTAAAACCTGAAATACTGTAATATATTGTAAAGAATAGTACAACTTGTAAAATTGTAAAAAGCAAATTCACCTTTGACTATTTCATGGAGTTTTATTTTTAGAACTGTAACTCTAAACATCATTTTTTTAAATTTTACATTCTGCTCTGAACATCGGAAGGTAAAAATGAAGTGAACAAAATACTGCCAGTTTTTACTACTGCTTTTCCAGAATTATGCATGTGATTACATTCTTTATATACTTACTTCTTCTATACCATCAATCCACTTGGGAGATAACCTCCTAGATACACAGACAGCTGCTTCAGGATCTAAACTGATACCTGATACCAGCGCCATGCGATCATCTGCAAGCTGGAGAAAAAAACAGAAGAAATGTGTTTAGACTGTTGTGAATCAAAATGACACAGCTTCCATATTCAGAGGAAAATAACTTGAGCATTTAGGGCTCAAGCTAATGGTTTTCTGATTCTTTGCAACTCTTGAGATTTCTTGGATGCTAACCAAGGTTCTCTGGTCAGAAATATGCTTATTTATTTATTTATACAAGGTTGACTTGTATAAATACAAGGTTGGCTTCCATCCTTCTGAGGTGGGTAAAATGAGGACCCAAATTGTTGGGGGGGCAATATGCTGATTCTGTAAACAGTTTAGAGGGGGCTGTAAAGCACTGTAAAGCGGTATACAAGTCTAAGTGCTATTGCTATATCCCACATTTTTTGACAAATAACTCAAGGCAACAGACATATCCAATGCAGCTTCTTCCACCTATTTTCTCCCCCAACAACTCTGTGTGGTTGGTTTGGCTTAGAGTGAGAGTGACTGGCCCAAAGTCACCCAGCTGGCTTTGGTGGCTAACGAAGGACTAGAATTCACAGTCTCCCAGTTTCTAGTCTGGTGCTTTAACCAGTAGACCAAACTGACTCTATAACTGTAATGAGAGACAAGTGAAGTCTGACCATTGTTAGATCACTCCATTTTAATTTAGATTTGCAAAGGAGAGCTGAATGGATTTCTTGAGATAGTCATGTAAGACATTATAAGAACCCACAAACTAGGCCAACATACTTGCAAACAAACATGCATCCAGTGTCCTCTCTTCAGAACTCTGCAATTTGCAAGGGTTCTATGGCAGAAAATCACAGACAAGTTGATGTACAAAGTTATCTCAGGTTTAAAACCATTGGCGTAAGGGAAAGGCTGTGGCTCTGTACATAATACCTAAAATATTTCAACTAATGATTCATTCATACCATTTGACAAACAAATTCCCAGGCCAAGCTTCATTTTACACTGATGTTAAATACGCTGCATATAAATGCAAAGTTTTACTTAAAACAGAAGCCAAGTTTGAAAAAGTAAATCTAGTTAGGCAAGAAAAGTAGATGCACAAGGAAAAAGAAGGGCTTGAAGAATTTAGGGCAAATGGAAAGAAGGCTCACACTGCAATTTGATTAAAGCAAAATTTAGTTTTGGACCCCTTTAAAAAGTTATAAAGAAAACAAAATAGGTAGTATGAAATTATTTCAGCTTTTGTTATTTTCTATGTTACTTTCCAAACATACGTGTGCTTTTTATGCAACTGAAGTGAGGGTTAATACCTGATAAATTATTTTGGGCCAAGCTGGTAACTATTAAAGAAGTTTATTTTACTATTTTCTTTTCAAAGACCAAGGAACATTTTATGTACCAGCTTAGCTGTCTATCCATTATCAACTTCATCAAAAATGAAGATAGGTATAAATACCTTCATCCTGGTTTAAACCATGATTGAGTTTGAAACAAATTCTACATTTGATATAACATGCTTAACCTTTGGAATAATGGGGTTTTAAAAAGCGCAAATCTACTAGACTGGACTTAGCCAAAATGTGGTTTGGCAAAGCATGTCGAAAGAATCCAGCCACTATATTTAGCAAACTGTATGTTTCAGCAAGTTGGACAAAACCATCCTAATATAATTTATTTAACAAGTCACGGTTTAATAAATAACAACTTAGCTGGATGTGCACAGTAAGCCAGACAGAGTGAATGAAACCGAAGCCCAAAGAGCATAGTGGGGAAAAAACAGGCTAGAGGGAGCTGATTTTGGGCATCCGTTCCAAATTAATCTTTAGATCTGAGAATTTAGCTAGCTCTGGGTCCCGGTCTATATTGGCACTACATTCTTCCACTTAACATCCAGGCAACATCTGCTTATTAAGGACAAGTAGTTGCTGGCTGCCTCTCACAATAGAACCCATGAAAGGGTATTGTTTCTTCAGGAAGCTATATAAAAATCTACAGTTGGCTTTATAATTAAAGGAAGTGGTAGGCTTGATATATTAAAATTATTTATAGCTTACAACCTCTTTTGTTCAGACCTTGTTAGCTCCTGGTTTGAGAAAATGTTGCACTTAAGGAACTTTTAAAACAATCCACCCTGTTAGACAGGGTGGCTCATCTGCAGTGGCAGCTATGTTTTTAAAAGTGGCCCTCAGGGTCTTCCTAGCGATATATTTAAAGCCTAAAAACCTACCCACAAAGTCAAACTCTATATTTCTTTCATTTCCAAGTGAACATTCCAGTTAAGACATTTGGGTATTGTTGGGCTTTAGTCCTTTCTAGAAAAAGGAAATGGCAATTACGCTGAAGCTAAGCTAATAAAAAGTGTCTCCATATATCCATAGCTTTAAAAGCGAATATAAAAAGGGAAAATGTTTGGGGCAATAGTCAGCTCCAGTTTTTGTTCCTCTAAATATAAATACCTGGATAAACAGCAAATGTTCACATCCTCCTGTGCCGATTGCATTGTACATAGTTGGGACCGGAGTGCAAGGAAGCAGAAAAATAACTGAGCTAGTTCTCCCCTGGGGAAGAATTGTCTGGACTCTTAAATATGGGTTGCAGGGTCCAGCTAGGTTGTGTTGGTTTCCTGGTACAGCCACAGGGAGCAGTCACAGGTGTTGCGTAGAGCCTAACCCAGAGGGCAGGTATTATTCCCAGCCCTTGCTCCCACTTCAAAAGCCACAAATTATTGTTGTTGTTGTTGTTGTTGTTGTTATTATTTCTGTTAAGATTTCTATTAAGGCATCAGAATGGAACAGTCCACTTAGAAGACTTAAATTTATTAATACACCAGGCAATCATCTTCTACTCTCCCGTCTAAACATTCTAAGAAATAACTTAGTGCTTCACACAACTCTCATGAGGAGAAAAACAAAGTCACATTATCTCCTGAGTAGAAGGCAAATAAGCACATAACTGAACTAACAGATATACTGCATTAATAGCAAGCATGCTAGTTAAGCAATGCACATTTGTTAGAGTATAGGCATTTAGGATTACCACTGTAAAATTTGGGAAATCAACTTAGAAAATCAGAATGAACCAGTCTGAACTTTCTTCTACTAGACATTTTAATTTGTGACCACTATATACAGTATGTTTAGCAAGCATAAAAGTAAGGTTCGCTACAAAAAGTCTACTCTTTGGCATTAATCACTGATCAAAAAGCTACAAAAGGCCTACTTTATGGCATTAATTGTGGCATTCGCTACAAAAAGCCCACTCTATGGCATTAATCACTCTGAACTATAGTATTTCAGAGAAGGTAGTTGTGATAAAATACAGTGGTTATCCAACCTTTTGGATTGACTGGGCCACATTGAGCGAAGGGGAATTGTCTGGGCTGCATATATAATACGTGGAACAACTTGCCTCGTGAAGTTGTGAATGCTACAACACTGGAAGTTTTTAAAGAAGAGATTGGACAACCATTTGTCTGAAATGGTCTAGGGTTTCCTGCCTGAGGACTAGAAGACCTCCAAGGTCCCTTCCAACTCTGTTATTCTATATTCCAGTTATTTTGTATTATATTTCTAGTTGTATTGTTTTATTTAGTTACGTTGTATTGTATTTCTAGTTGTATTGCATTGTTGGATATCATATATCTATTATTATTAACATCATTATCTCTTTTATTCATTAAACATGAAACTCAGTCAACTGAACATTTAAAAATGTATCATGTATCATTGATTGGCACTGATGGTTTATATGGGTTGCTGCCAGCATCCTAGGTATTTTCTATTATTATTATTATTATTATTATTATTATTATTATTATTATTATTATTATTATTATTATTATTATTATGTCTTTAGTGAGATTCACAGCCTTTGGGGCTGGTTGGTAGCTCAACAGCTCAAGGTCCCAGGAACTGTTCAGGTAGCGTCGGAGGATATAAGCTGTTCCAAGTAGGATGGTTTTTATTGTTATTATTATTTTGTGGGGCCCACATTACTAGCTGCCAGGTCTGCATGCGATCCGTGGGCCATGGATTGGATATACCTGGTTTAAATAGTAATATTTTAAATCCTGGCCACTTAAAATATCCATGCATACGGCTGTAAGTAAGGAAATGAAGTAAACCAGAGACAAATTCCAGATGACTATTTGCAAAGCAGTCTCCTGGTTTCTCTTTGGAAAAACCCCCAGGAGGATAACCCTAAGTTAAATGCAGTAGTTGCCTTGCCGGAACAAGGCAACTTTGGATGACATTTTATTTGAAAGAACAGATTAGACAAACAGCACTATACCTCATCCAGCTCCTGAGATGGTTTGTTGATCACATCAGCCCATCCATATAGAGACAGCAAAAATTTTAAGAGAGGGAAACAAAAAGAACAGGACAGAGCACAGGGTACAGTCAGATGAAGGAATGCAAGTATTTTATTGATCAACATTGGCAGATTATCACAGAAAACAAAACAGTCTTTTAAAGCAGTATCAGTTTTCAAGTGGATTTGGCATTCAGCCTTGGGGAATAGCTGCATATTGTATTTTTCCTTTCAATATATTTCTAATCATATTCTTGATCTGTAAAGAAATGCACATTTTAGGAGCTTTACAAAACAAACTTTTTAAAAGTTCATTAAGGAAATAAAAAAACCAAGAAAGACTCTCACAAACAGTATAAATTGCTAATTCTTAATATGATAGTGGGTCCAGAACTTTCTACTTAACCTAGCCATTAAAAGAAATCATTCAATCCAAACTTGTTCACTGATTCCTAGTTTAGAGGATCTGATTCAGTTCTGATCTTAATGCAGTTACATGACACTTCAAAATAACACAACTATTTATTTACCAAATTGGTAAATCTTGCCAAAGCGACTCTAGGGTGGCTTACAAACATTCAATTAAAATGCATGATAAACACTGAAACAATAAGTAGGGGATCTTAAATTTAAGATTTAAGTTATGTAGCCATGAGATGTCTAAAAAGAATCTACTGGCTTATGTACATATGACGTTGTAATGAAACAGGAAAAATAGTCAAAGTTTACATGCAGATCATTCATTACAGAAAGTCTGTATTTGCAACATTCATTAACCAATCTCTAAATTGGATTAGTTTCAGAATCAAGTGTGGCCAAGTGGAAGCCAAAAGAATTCTCACATTCAGCGCTGTTCCTATTTTTAAGAAGCCGTCTCTTCTTAATTCAGAGAATTGCACTAATGGATTTCCTAATTAGGAGGACAGGATGAATTCTTGAGGATACTTTCAATCCTACAATTTTGCTATCTAGTCGTAACTTCCATCCCTCATTTAGTCTTATGCTTTTTTGCCTGTTTAAACAATTATCCTTTCTAGCGGGTCAAAAAAGGTAATGAGAAATAAGGCATAACCTGTAGGGGTGATGTCACTGGGGGGAGGGGGAAACTAGGCCAGTTTAAAAAGTAAAAGGAAAGCACAGGTACAATTGGTTCATGTAGATCATGGGAGTCAAACTTGCCGCATCACAATGCCATCATGTGACATTTCGTGATGTTTTCCCCATTCACGGAGCTGGGGTGGGTGTGGCCCGCACGTGATACATCTGGCCCACAGGCCGCCAGTTTGACACCCCTGACGTAGACAGAAATGGATGCCTTACTAAGGGCTTCTTATGGAGACTTAATCTGCTCTTCATTAGTGCTGGAACAACGATAGATGACGTATGAAGCCTGTCAGCTTATATTGCTGACCATCCTTCTTTCTATTAACAATTTAGTTCATTCCAATAATTTATGATACTAAGAATGCTGCTCTATTCTGCAGATACCTGTCTGTCTTCCTTTAACACCAATATGCCTGTTTGCTTAAACTCCTTTTGTTTCAGTGTTATAAAGGTCTATAAATGTAATGCATCAGGATTATTCAGCTATTTCTTCTGGCTTCAACTGCCTCCTTTGATCACACCCACAGAGCACAGTCCACATCAAAAGGCAATGTGGCATGCCTTTTACATTAAGCTGATTATTGTTTTATAGTCTTCTTTAATTGATTGATTATACTCTTCTCCAGCATTTCAAAACTGCTGTGAACTCCATAGTGACTTTATACAGCATTTTCAGTCATTTCAACTCTATTCCCTTGAGGAATAATTCTGGAAATAATACAAGACCAAAATAACAACTATTCTGAATGCACACTGCAGGAATCAGCCCCTTAAGGAGAGAGGGCTGGATAATGTATCTGCTTAAACCTTGGAAATTTTCATACTGCCAGCTAAGACAGTAAAATGAAAAAATGATATATCCTGCCAGTTACCTGCTGGGGAGGAAAGTGAGGGATTATTTTATTAAAATTTCAGTTGTAAACTCAGGGGTGGTCCCACAAGTGCCTCAACTTATGACTGTCGTGACTTATGATGGGAATTCTGGGCTCCATTAGCAGATCCATTGCATATAAAGGATGAGGAAGAAACATTCCTCTAGTTCCCAGTTTTCCAAAGTGGTCAATATCAACCCCAAAGGCTTATTGAACTATTCAAGGAGCTGATGTCATTCATAGTAAAGGTAAAAAGAGGTAAAGGTTAAAATAGTATTTATTATATTTTCAAATATAAATGTTTGGGGGTGTCAATAAACAATCTGAAACTTCATGGAGAGGTCAATGAGCTGAAGAATTTGAGAATCCCTTCTTTAATCTAATTCAAAAACATTTGAAGATAAATTAGATGATTTTCTAAAGTCTGTACCTCAGCTATAAATTAGTTTCATACATCCACTCTCAAGAAAAATGTGATTCTATCAGCATTATATCAATAGAACCATATGAACTATTGCTAACTTTGCACCATCAACTTTCTGTGTTTAATACTAGATGAAAGGTTTTCAGAAGGTGTTCAAAAGATACTGTATTAATACTACTGTGAGCCTGAAACTCCCCATTATGTACTCTAAATAGTTGTGCCCAGGAACATTAGGAGTTTGAAACAGGTATTCCAACTTTAAAAGAAATATCCTGACCTCAACACATTCTATTTTGATACTGAAACAGGCCATTTCATACTGCCAAGAAGCTTGTTCAAAGGCAATCAATTGCTTAAAGATGGCATGAGAAAGTACAGGGCTATATTAATTTTAACTTCCCCTTTATGTCTACCTGTATAATGATAAAAGGCATTTCAAACATAACGAAACACAGCCTAGGTCCACACAAATATTTCCAATCATAATGACAAGTATTCACTAGTTTTATTTTTTAGTGCACCTCCACAGTTATGTTATAAAAATGCTTGTTAAAAAAAACCCTGAGTTTTTCTGAGTGTGTCCTTGCCAGGTGGATGGCAAATCAAAAGAAAAAGAAATCAGCCAGGCAAGTCTATTTCAACTCTCTCAGCTTCTGAGCTATACCAATATCTGGCAATAAGCAGTTTCAATTGATAGGATGAATAAGGATTGATCATTTTGCATTATAAAATAATTATACATGCACTACTGATTAGAAAATGGGGAAGAAATAAATATTCCCTCATCCAAAAACAAAAAATCCAACCCAACAAAATGAATTAAATATTGGGGGAATTTACTTCCCGGGCAATAAAGAACACCTTCTATTTCTGGTCCCTTTGTTATTATCCTTAGCTGGTTTTAAAAACCAAAACTGGCCACATCTTTACAGATCATGTTTTTCCACAACAAATGTATAGAATGATCCATCTTTAGAAAAAGCCTTATTAGCTTTATTATGGAATCACAGAGTACAATAAAAACATAAAAAGTTAAACTAGTGCCCTGCTGGACTACATCCCTACATTCAGCAGTCTTTGGGGGGGAGGGCAACCATCTGCCTAAGGAAGCCCACTGGTCTCCCAGTAGATGGCCTTCAATATGTTGGCATAACACAGCCATTGATCCCAGTTAACACCCACTAATCAGTCCAACCTTCTTTGATCAGACTGAACCAGATTGGCAGCCCGCATTATGAAAATAAGAGCTTTGCTGGACCAGGCCCATCTAATCCAGCATTCTGTGTCACCCAGAAGCCGACCAGGTGCATTTATAGTTAAGTCCACATGCTACCTAGGGCTGCCTAGCATCAAAGGGGAAAATACACGCGAAATAAACCCGTTTGGACGGTCAGCCAGATCTCATAGATGGGAGAAAAGCGGAGAGGATTCAGACCTTGGGGAAAGTGGGGGGACCCCTAAAGACATGCTCGCTATCTCAAGCGGTTGGCATACAAAACAAGCGTCATGTGGGATACAGTAGGAGGAAGGGAGACTCACCGCAGCAGCCATGCTACGTGAAGTCAGAGGACTGGAGGAGCTGTAACTACTCACTTGCTCGGCCAGCAGCTGCCGGCTTTGGATCGCGTTGTTCCGCAACAACAAGTACGCGTCTGTTAAACGCCGGGTGGCCATGCCTGAAAGTTTCCTAGAGGTCCTTGTAGGACCCCCCCACCCTCCCCGACCCGCTTCGCTGAGAGACTGCAGGAGCCCCCGCCCCACTACTCAGGCTTAACCCCAAGGGATCCTCCCCCACCCCCACAACCGGGGTAGTTTCCAGGCGGGACCCCGGTTCTTAAAACGGCCCCCGGTGTTGTGGAGCGGCCGTTGCAAAGGGGTTCTCGTGGGGGCTTTCCCTGCAAGGGTTCCCCATGCGGTTCTTCAGCCCTTCCACCGGACTGCTCCTTTCATCCAAGGAAGTGCCTTCTCCTAAGGGGAAACTGCTCCCTTTCCCCACCCAGACGCCCCCGGGAGTAGCCCGCGGAGCCCCCCCGTGTTAGTCCCCCCGCCAGCCACCCCCCCCCCCCCCACACCCCCAAGGCAAGCCCTGGAAGGTTTTCCGCGGGCGGCGATGCGGCTGTTTTGTTCCTCCTCCCCGCCGCTGGCCGGGCACGGAAGAGAAGGGAACCAGCCCCGACTCCCTCCGACTACCCTACTCTTGCTTACTTCCCCCCACCCACCCCTACTGCAATCACGGGCCCGGCTCGGCTCACTTCCGCCTAGTCCGGCGCTCAAATCCTTCCCCGAAAGAGGCGTGGTTACTAAAAGTTCCGGAGGAGGAGGAGGAGCAGCAGCAGTAGAAGCGGGATAAAGAGGCTCGGCGCTTTGGGGCTGACCCTCTATCGCTGGCTCCCGTTCGATGCGCAAAATTCGGTCCGCCTGCGTGGCCTGAAGGAGGAGGAGAAAGTGGGGAGAGTCCGGTTAAGGACGGTATTTCTCTCAACCTCAGCAATTTTGAGATGTGGGGAGATTTCGGTTAGATTAAGTCACCGGTTCAGAACCGCCTTAATTTGCAAGCCTCACTGAATTCATGCAACGCATTAGACAAGGCTAAGTAGAATCGATTTTCATTTACGGAAGTAACTGATCAAATCTAAGTAACCACTGATTGAAAGTAATGGCCTGAAAAATAAGGCATCCCATCAGAGGTGGTATTTAGCAGGTTCTAATCAGTTCTGGTAGCGGAAATTTTGAGTAGTTCAGAGCACCAGCAAATCCCACCTCTGACTGCCCCTGCCCCTTCTATTCTCTGCCTCCCTAGTCCCAGCTGATTGGCTGGGTCTTCTTTGGTTGCCCTGCACAGGAGAACGGAGCTGGAAAGCAGGTTAGTGGGGTGGGGAGGGAATGGAGATTTTGCAGTATCCTTCCCCTGCCATGCCCACTAAGCCACACCACGCCCACTAAGCCACGCCCACAGAACCGGTAGTAAAAAAAATTGAATCTTACCACTGTAATCCCATGTATAAAATTAATTGATCCTTCTCCCTGTAAATATTAATCGTGCATTCTGCCCATCCTCCTAGCAGAAATTGCAGGAAAGAAATCAGGGTAACTGGGGGTCTTTAAGAAGAAATACGAAGCTTCCACAAATATTTTCTACCGGTATAACAGGCTATGATGTAGCTACATTTGCTCTGAAAAATTAGTAGACATGTACTTCCTTTACATGATGTGACTTTAAATAAAAGCTAATACTGAAGAAGAAGGAGGAGGAGGAGGAGGAGGACAGACACATCTCAAATTGCATGTTTCCTGCTTGAGCAAGGGGTTGGCCTAGAAGAACTCCCAAGGTCCCTAATAGCTCTATTCTGATTAATTTAAATGTGAGAATGCAGCTTTGGTCTTAGCATGTTATAGGAGCCAGGCCAGCTTGTTAATACATAATGTATTTGGCATAACACTTTATGCAATTTCAGTTTGTAAATCTGGGCCTAATCTTGTGTGGATTCGGCTGCTGGAGAGAAGTGAACTTGCCCTCTTCTGTACCTCTGCGGCTATTCGCGTTCATTACTTACTAGGCAGAGAGATGTGTTGGGAATACAATTCCATTCAAGTCTTTTACAGTATTGGATCATCATTAGGAAGTTATATCCTCTGTTCTTCTCGGGCAGTTGTCAAAATAAATGCACATCTGATTTTTCTGTTGGAAGTTCTTACAACTTTCGTTTCGTACTTTTTTTAAAAAAAAAAAAAGACAAGTTTTATTAGTTTTACAAAACAATACACAAACAAACAAGGCATAATAACATAAAAGATCTTTTCTGAAAAAACCAATAGAACATACAAAATAATTCCAAATTATATATATAAATTATAATATATATATTTACGTTATCTGTTCAACTTCGTATCTTATCCCAACTTCCCCTTTTCATTCTATTATCCAAATTATATTTCTTGCTAATTAAAATTTCATTGCTTTTCAAAAACAATACACAAACAAACAAAACGTAGAACATAAAAACATAAAACATCTTTTCTGAAAGTTGCTTGATCCCGGGTTAAAACTCTTCGCACAGACACAAATTCAAAAATCATATTCACTTTATATACCATTCCATATCTTATAACCATTTTCAATTTTCTATATAGCTTCTTCCCTCTTTTATCTTTCTTAGTTTTATTTATCTCATCTCAGTTCAATTCATAATACTTATCATTCTTTGTCTGTTCTATTTCCAGCTATCCATTCATCTTTTCTCTTTAAACAAACTTCTCCTGTACACTGATTGGAGTGACGCCTTTAACTCTTTCCCCTAGCTTAATAATACTTAATATAACACTTAGCTTATATTGGGATTCTGTTTAGTACATTCTAAAATTACACAATGAATTTTATAAGAAAGGAAAAAAACAACAATAGCAAAGAAAAAGCATATAAGACCACTATCAATGCCATTAAGAAACTAATCATACATATTAATACTCATTTATATCTTAAGCATTTTATTCTAAATACACATATAAAAACACAATCTTATGTACCTTACACTACAGAATCCCTTTTTTCAATTAAATTTACCCATTGTCTCTAAATGAGTTTTGTTTCTTTAAATCTTGCTTCCCACCATTAAGGCTTCTCATCCCCTCCTTTCTCTCTTGCTTATTCTTCTCCTTGCCCTTTTTACCCCTTTGTCTCTCCTCCTCCCTTTTCTTCTTCTGCTTTCCCCCTTTCTGTTGTTTTCTAACCTTGTATCCACCTTTCACCTCATTTTTCTCTTTTTTGGTTGTTTTTTCAAGCCTTAAAATCCCCTTTTTCTTTTCCTCTTTCTCCTCCTCCCCAAATAAAACCGTTTGTTCATCAAAGATGGCTTCTTCTTTGTCCCAGTCATCCTGCTGCGCAGTCAATTTTTCATAAGTGCATACCGCCATTTCTAGAAATTGAAAAAGAGTGCCCAAAGTATCTTTTCCATCTTGTTCTTCTTTTTTATATTTTTTATATTCAATTTTTAGTTCATCCACAAGCAATGCCATCGTGAAGAGAAATTTTTTTTCCAAAACAACCACCCGAGTGTTTTTAATCAAGAATAATCAAGAATAATTCCCAAAAGTTCCAAAGTCACCAAAGAATCCAAATAAACTATTTCTTTTAATACTTTTTTCTTTCTTCCATTTCTCTTTCTGGGGTTGCTGTTTGATCAAAGAGTTCCAATTAAAATATATCTTTTAGAAGCCGTATTAATATTCAAGCTCTTTAAAGTTCTAGGCAATCTTCTTTTTCAAATTCTGCTCCAATTTTTTTTCCTCTCCCTTCCCACTTATAACAACAATTTTCCTTTAAATGTTCAGAAATCCATACCTCCAATGCGGGTTTTCCGATTTCTTTTAAAGTTCTATCGTTGTCACGTTCGGAAGGAGAGTGAAAAGAAAAAAAAAGCTTTTCCTTTAATTTACATTCGCCGCTTGACACATTCTGGAAACGATGTTTCTTTAGCAAGTTTCAAATTCCAGGATACTTTCTTTTTTTTTTTTTTTTTTAAACAAGTTTTATTAAAAACAAACACAAATACATATAACATAAGACATAACATAAAGAAAATAAAAAATCATCTTTTCTGAAGGTTGCTCAATCCCGGGTCAAAACTCTTTATACAGACACAACTTCAAATTCATATTCATTTTATATATCATTCATATCTTATTACCATCTTCACTTTTATATATAGTTTATTTTCTCTCTTAAATTCTCTTAATTTTATTTTATTCATCTCATCTCAGTTCAAATCATAATATTTATTATTCTTTGTCTGTTTATTTCCAGCTATCCATTTGCTTTCTTCCTTAAAATAAAATAAAAAAACTTCTCCTGTCCACTAATTGGAGTATAACGCCTTTACCTCTTTCCTCTACATTTATAATATTTAATATAAAACACCTAACTTACATTGGGATCCTGCTTGGTACATTCAAAAATTATACAATATTATCACTACCAGAACTAATCTATTCATTAATATTCATATTCTTTTATAACATAAAAAACTTAGCACATTGCTTTTCAATTAATTAACATACTTTTGTGGGAGGACCTACTTTCCAATTATTCTCCCCCACATCACATATTTTAAATCATTATTTCATTAAGGTAATCCTCCTTCTCCTCCTCTCCCCAACATTCTTTTATACCTTAACCATTTTATCCATTAAATTTAATATCATATCTTTTTGATAATAGTTATATTTTCCACAGTTATTTCCCCCCCCCCACATCATATCTCCAATCTTTATTTCATAAAATGTTCCCCTTTCCTTAACACCAATTTCACTAAGTTATATTAAATATTTTACCACATTTTAAATTACACTTTATTTCCAACCTTCTAAAAGTTATTTCTAAGTACAAATATAAAAAACAATCTTGTGTACCTTTAGAATCCCTTCATCAATAAGATTACCCATTGTCTCTAAAAAAGATTTGTTTCTTTACATCTTGCTCTCTACTACTGAGGCCTCTCATCCCTTTTCTCCCTTGCTTGTTCTTCTCTCTGTCCTCATTACCCCTTCGTCTCTCCACCTCTCTTCCTCTCCAGCTTCCTCCCCTCTGCAGTTTTCTAACATAATACCTCCTTTTCATCTTATTTTTCTTTTTTTGGATTGCTTTTACAGATCTTAAAGTCTCTTTTTCCTTTTTCTCCTTCTCCTTTCTTTGCCCAGCCAAAGTGACTTGTTCCTCCAAGATGGCTTCTTCTTCCTCCAAATCTTCTTGGTATTCAATCCCTTCCACATAAGCATAAACCGCCATTTCTAAATACTGACACAGAGTATCAAAAACATCCTTCCCTTCTCGCTTTTCCTCTTGAATTTTTTGACGTAAAAGTTCCAAATCATCCACAAATGATGTCATTGTGAAGAGAAAAAGTTTTCCCAAACAACCACCCAGATGTTTTTAATTAAAGATAATTTTCAAAAGTAATAAAATCACCAAGCAGTCCAAGTAGATCATTTCTTTAGGCACCTTCTCCTTCCTCAATTTCTCTTTCTGGGGTTAAAATTGGATCAC